AGCAACATTTTGGACCCCAGCGGTTCGCAGTCGGCGTTCTCATCAGGCAGTGGCATTGCTATGGATGTAAGTCTCTTGAACAGCGTGCTTCGAAGTACACTCTCAAAAGCCCACGAAGCATTTGCTTCATAACTGCGAAGAGAAGGCGTTGTAGAAATGCTTCGTATTGTGAAGAAAAGCTTCGTCTTCCGAAATATTTGTTTCATAATACGTAGCATTTCTGTGTAGATTCTACAATGCCTTCATTTTCTTCAAGTTTACGAAGCCATTAACCCCCCACCTCCTCTCTCAGCGTAACGTTACGCAAAATTACTAAGGTGAACACTATTTTTACCCTCATTTACTGTTTGTACTTCTAAAATGTGTTCTCACATTAAGTGTGTTTAGGTACACCGTAACGTTACGCTGGCTCGAATCCACCGTCCCACACTGCAAGAAAAAGTGTGAATAGTACAACAAATGTACAACAAAAATTGTACAATAAAAGTACAACAGGGATTGTAGAAAGTACAACGAGGATTGTACAAACCACAACGAGGCCTGCACTGCCCAGCACTCGTCATGCCGGTTCCATTGTACTTTGTACAACAATTGTTGTACTTTGAAAGTACAATAAAAAACCTGATAAAAAATTTGCCAGAAATTTGTGTACTTTCGTTGTGGTTATTTCCTGCAGTGCATGCACCGCAGCGTTAGTCTAGAAGTAACTTAGTTCCTGACTGAGTGTACACTCTCTCTCTCTCTCTCTCTCTCTCTCTCTCTCTCTCTCTCTCTCTAGGAACGTGACATCATATTCAAACGATTGTGACAAAATGTCTCGTTTGTTTGAGCATTGTGTCACGTTCGTTTGAATGTGAGTGAGCTGATTTATGGCTGATTGGCATCCAAATGAATGTGAATGTGACAATGTTCAAACAAACGTGACATCTTGTTACATTCTTTCAACGTGACGTCACGTTTCTCAAATGAGTGTGCCCACACTGAGAAAAACTTGCTAACTATTTCAGGCCTTTCAAGTCGAAGTATAAGTACTTTGTTTTATCAAAATATTTTGAGCTTACATAAGCTTACAAAGAAAATACTCCGTTGTTTACAAACTATGTCTTCATGTAAGAAGGAAAATTGGTTTGCACTTATGCATGCTCAAATTACTTCGTAAGGTTTTAAAAGTGCAGGACCCAAAGTCTTGGTCAGGCACGCCGTTTCGAAGTGCCTGACAAGGACACTTTACACGGCAAGAAAAAGTGTGAATAGCACAACAAAAGTACAGCGCAAACTGTACAAGTTAAGTACAACAGGGATTGTGTAAAGTACAATGAGATTTGTACAAACCTCAGCGAGGCCTGGACTGCACAGCACTCGTTATGCCGGTCCCATCATACTTTGAACATCAATACTGTTGTACTTCAAAAGTGCCATGAAATTCTGATAAGAAATTTGCCAGACATTTGAGTATTTTTGTCGTGGTTTTTTCTTGCAGTGTATAACAGTGTGCACACAGGCTCACATTTCGAATTGTGTGCCATGCTCACACTTACCCTCCTTGCCATTGTGCCCACAGCTCCTCTCCCTGCCGGACGACGCGTTGCTGGCCGTGCTGGCCTTTCTGCCCTCCAGGGAGATCCTCAGCCTTCGCGTATTGTGCCGCCGCCTCAGAGACATTTGCCTGCACCCCGACCTGTGGCGACGCCGTGCTTTGAGGGACCTAGATGTCTTGGGCGGGAACGACTTTGAGCTGGAAGTGGGCCTTCTGCGCGCTGTCCTGAGACTGGTCCCCTGCATTGGCAGACTTGCTGGTCGTGTAGAAGATTTTGCATTTATGGTGTCCATGGTGCCTACCACTTCGTGTGTAATAGCTGAGCTGGCGTTGTCTATTTACGAGGATGAGGCCTTGACCACAAAGATTCTGCTTACAGTTCACTCTCTCGGTGGCTTGAAAACGCTCGATGTTTATCTTGACCTTGACTTATCGACCGCGTGTACTGAAGTCTTAAATACCATCTGCAGTCTTGAGGGTTTACGAGAACTCAAGATTTGCTTTGGAGACTCAGTAGCGCTCCTGGTCGGCCCATGTCTTGGTTTGGAAGTAGAGCCGTCGCTAACGAAGCTCTGGTATACCCTAGGGTGGCGCCGTACCGGAGGCGCGGACTGTTTTCTTGTTTTGCTCCTGGAAACACATGCTGCCACACTGGAAGAAGTGGATGTGGGAGACTTCACTGAACAGGTCGTCTGGTCGTTGTTGAGAACGTTACCTAAGCTGCGTTCTTTAGCCTGCTCGCCGAGCCCTGTGGCTTTGGACTTCGTGCGACAGTCGTCGCAACTCCGCTCCCTGTCGTTTTATGAATTTTCTGAGCAGCCTTTTTCTGCCGCACTGCAGGCTCTCACTGAATCGCGCTCTGCCAGTCTTCTTGAAGCTCTAGACCTGTCTAGCTGGAGACGTGACCCAGATCTCATGGCTTTGCCTGCTTTTCTGCCCCACTTCCCTGTGCTGCGTGAGCTGTCACTTGATGCTGCTCCCACGGATGACTTTCTGCGGGCGCTGACACCCACGTCCGCGCCCCGCCTCACCAGGCTGTCTCTTCGTTGTGAAAAGACGTGCTTACACGCTTGGCTGCACGACATCCCCATCCAGGACCTGCTTCAAAGAAACCCTCGGCTTCACTTGCAAGTATGGAAGTACCGCAGTTGTAATGAAGAGTACGCCTACGAAGGAGTCATCAAGTGTGACTGTTGTTTCTGCGAGAAGGAGAAGAGCCGTGGCCGTCGTTCATGGTTCTCGTTGCACCGTAGGACGGCTGGCTGCCCTCCGGGCTGCTTGCAGGTGGCTCAACTTTCGTGCTCGTCCGCTCCTCCTGCTGATTCCTCCAACCTGGAATAAGCCTCGGCAACCACCACGTTCCGCCGATCCAGGTTCGACAGAATTATGAAAAATTCACTGGGTGTTTTCCAAAATGCATTTGGTTCCAATCGAGTCGTTCAGTGCGGCTCCACCAGGCAGCGTGATGTTCTCTAGCGCTCTCGAGACCAAGTGCAACTTTTCAATGCTTAAACAAAAGTTCAAAATATTCCATTTTATTTTTACGCTTTGTAGTTTCTGCTGTATATGCTAGGTCTGAACCATAGAGGTGGTTCTAGTTCAATTGTGTTCAAATGATGTTCAACCTAACCTGACTTATCTAGATGTAAGGCCTGTAAATGCATATATGAACAATTTTGTAAAATTGTACTGCAAAGCATAGGCCAAAAAAAAACTGAGTGATCTAGTGTGTTGGGGTGGTATTATCGCCCTAATTTTAGCGATGAAGGATACATCTGTTAATCTTTAAACCGAATGTTAAGAATCAGCAACAGTGGAGTGAAAAAGTAAAGAAATAAAGATTTGAGAATTGAATGTGCTTCTTAATCCGATAATAAAGCGTACCTCAAACAATATTTGGACAAGCCTCGCATTTCCTATTGCCCCAAAATATAAGTCATGATTTTGACTGGTCTCATTCTCAATGTATGCAGCACTCCTGTGAACCGCGCGCGATGCGCAGACACCGATTAAATTATTGCCAACCCCAGTTGCGCCGGAGAACCCTTTTGAAGCACAGAATGGACTGTTTGTCTAGGCTTAGGAAGACGGTCAATCTCGGTCAATCTTGGACGCAAGGGAAACGGCTCTGCAAAGTGTGTGCATAGAACACTCTTCTTAGAGCATACTTCCAAGCACGCTTTTATTTACTGCACACTTTCTGTCCAACTAGAGTGTGCCGCCTGGCATGTACTCGCTAAATAGGAGTGAACTTGCAAGTACACTTGAACTACTTCAACTGGCCCATGCTTATGGCTAGGACTAATCGGGACTAATTTTAGCGTGTACACTCTCATTCCAGGAACGTGACATCACGTTAAAACGAACGTGACAAAGTGTCAATATCGTTTGAGCTTTGTGTCACATTCGTTTGGGTGTGAATTGGCCAAAAATCAGCTTGTTCACATTCAAACGAACGTGACACAATGCTCAAACGACGTTCGTTTCAACGTGATTTCACGTTCCTGGAATGAGAGTGTACTTGAGGTACACACTGAGAATGAATTGGTCACCACCATCACCCTTTAAATGGGTGATGCAACTTCGTTGCCCAAATTTTGGTGACGAAAGATTCATTACCCAAAATTGGGTAACAGGCGTTTGGTCGCCCAAATTTGGGTAACGCCGTCGGCAACGCTGTGAGGTTCCCAATGGCGTCCCTCCGGGGCCACCACGATGACCGGAGGCCTCAACGCCACACGGCAAAAGTACCGCCTGGGATTCCCAGGCGCATCATGCGAAAAAGGGCCTATTTTCCAGGCACCGCCTGGGAATCCCAGGCGGTACTTTTGCCGTGCACATTGGGTCATCGTGGTGGCCCCGGAATAGCGCCATCGGTGACCTTGCGGCGTCGCCGACGGCGTTACCCAAATTTGGGCAACGATTTTATGACTGCCCAAAATTTGGTCACCGCGGGCTCGTCACCCAAATTTGGGCAACGGTGCGTGCGTTACCCAATGAAAGGGCGATGGTGGTGACTCTTTCATTCTCAGTGCAGTCAGGGCCTGCCGTATTGAGTTAAGTCCAATACGCGGGGTGCACTATTGTACGACAAACCCTGGCTGAGTGTAGTGTCAGATGGGAGTGAGAAGGAAGTAAAGGAGTCTAGATTTAGATTTCTTTGGCCCGACCACCAAGTACTTACTTAATGAGTTGTGAACTAGCCGAAGGCCGCGACACGTCTGACTTGCGTGTCGCTCGCCAGAGCCGTGGAGGCCTGGCGAGCCAGCCGCTAAGGGCTGCGCTAGCATTTCCGCTAGTGACGCGAGTTCCTCCCTGAGCGCGGGGATTCAATCCTACTCGCTATACTGTCAGGTACACGGTAAAAACGTGCACTTGGAATCCCAAGTGAATGGTCGTCGGTTTGAAAGAAGTATGAGAAATTACGTACACGTGTTGTTGTTTCCCATAGAGTCCTCCAGGGAAGAGAACTGCGAACTGCGTCCATTAGATTTGTACGCGTAATTTCTCATAGTCGCCATTTTCCACGGAAATCAGCGGCATGATTCAAAGATGGAACACAGTGTGGGTTTTACGAAGGGAGTGAGAACAATTTGAATGCATATTGTAGGTTATTGTGCATCATGAGTGATTTCCTGAAGCATGGGTTACAAGAATTGTGCGTAAAGTAGGGTCTGTTGTAAACGTCAACAACACGCAACTGCCGCCATTTTCCACGGACGCACCGCCATTTTTCACGGAAGATGAGAATATACGCATAGCAAACCGCCAAGTATGAGAAGCGTGCGCGTAGCATTTCAGGGCTTCGCAGTTCTCTTCCCTGGAGGACTCTAGTTTCCCAGAGTCCGCTCGGCTCATAGCCGCACAATCAAATTTTTCATACTTCCGCTGAATCGAAGATTGCCCACACTGCATTCATTGCGACTTCCATCGCCGTCACTCTTGCTTCGCTTTCGCTGCGCCGGAGTGCCATCTTTTCCGGTCTGAACCGACACGAGCAGTTTCACGACCTTTCCTTCAGCCTGCGGTATTCCTTCAGGAGTCACATCCGACATCGCGTCGCCTTCCAAGGATTTACGCCTGATTCAGGTAAATAGAAATTCCGAAGGTGAAAAGCATAACCCGCATAACCTGATTGTTTCTACGCGCCACATTACCTCGTCTAGTTAACTGTGCACCAGTCTGTGTACTTGGATGTACACGGTGAAAACGGAACCTGGTTTTCCCAGGAAGCCAATGGTGAAGGTATAGGCCATTTCCAGGGAGTTTCTGGGAAAACCAGGAACCGTTTTTACCGTGTAAACGCCCAGTTTACAGGAGTCTTACTTTGGCAAGTGCACTTCTATATACGTAATTTCGTTCAAGCACTTGGCTTTAATAGAGATGTGCCTACTGAAGTTCACTTGCTCAAATACGCTCGAGCGCCCGCTTCAACGGGGATAAACCGGGCAGTACACTTTGCACAGTGTATATGTTGGGTCTGGAAGTTCGTTACGTGAAATTTTCAAGTGCACGTTTCACTTGGCATCTCAAAATTCGGACCTTAACTGCGTGAGACATTTGTACCGCGCTCTGCTCCCATTCTGAAGTGATTTCGAACCCAAGGAAGGTGGGTTTCTTCCAGTCTTATACCGTTTGAAATTAGACGTTTATCATATGTACTCAAAATTTTCTTGTTTTGGCCCTTTTAAATGTCTCTTACTTATCGGATCCAACGAACTTCCGGTTTTAATTTCCTCACTGCTGGTCTACACCCTACAGCCGCGTCAATATCGGCCAGATTAATCTTTTGATTGAAGTGGTACAGTGTACGGAGGAAGCAAACGTGGATATTCACTCTGAAGACCTTACGAAGTATTTTGAGCATACATATAACAAACTAATTGACTTTGTTATACGAAGAAATAGTTCGTAAATTACGAAGTTTTTCTTTGAAAGACTATGTATGCTCAAAATACTTTGTTATAACAAACTGCTTTTCTTTGAAAGGCCCAAAAAAGTTTGAAAGGTGTTCCCACTGTTCGTTACTGTACTGTCGTAACAAGCATGCTTGATTTGCCACCGCGTGAAACCTTTGATCGTTTGCAGCCTTGCCGAGTGGATCGCCGCTGCAGTCTACTTCGGGGCGGCAAGCTCGTGGTTGGGAACTGCAGACGACGTGACTCGACGCGGAGAGCCAACCCTTGGCAGCGGGACACGCGGCATCAGCAACATCCAGCATCGGCAGCATTTTGGACCCAGCGGTTCGCAGTCGGCGTTCTCACCAGGCAGTGGCAGCCATGGATGTAAGTCTCCTGAACAGCGTGCTTCGACGTGGGGTGGAAAGTTTACGTAACGCAACTGAAAAGATGGTTGATTTACTTTGTATTGCGTATCAAAAGGGGCCGTCCATTAAGTACGTTACGTAATCAAGGACATTTTTAACCCCCGTCCCGTTCCCCATGTTAAGAGGCGTCACGTTACACCAGAACCCCTCACCCCCTCTCAGCGTAACGTTACGCAAAATTTCTTAGGTGAACACTATTTTTACCCTCATTACTGGTTGTACTTCTGAAATGTGTTCTCATATTTAGTGTTTCGGTATGCCGTAACGTTACGCTGGCTCGTACGCGTCTCATCACCGCAGCGTTACGCTAGAAGGAACTTACTTTCTAACTTAGTGTACTCTCTAGGAACGTGACATCACGTTCAAACGAATGTGACAAAATTTCACGTTCGTTTGAGCATTGCGTCACATTCGTTTGAACGTGAATTAGCTGATTGATGGCTTATTGGCATCCAAATGAATGTGACACAATGCTTAAACAAACGTGACATTTTGTCACATTCTTTCAACGTGACGTCACGTTTCTCGAATGAGAGTGTGCCTACACTGAATAACTTGCAAACTATTTCAGGCCTTACGAATCAAAGTATTTTGTATTATCAAAATATTTTGAGCATACACAAGCTTACAAAGAAAATATTTCGTAGTTAACGAACTACTCTACAAATCAAAGAGTGTACATAGTATGCTCTTGGAGCATGCCTGCAAGCACGCTCTAGCTAGCGCATGCCTGCCAAGCATGCACTAACTAGAGCATACATGCCATGTACACGCTTCCTGATGCAGAAAACTCCCTATCCCTTATGCAGTAAATGTATGCTTCAGTTAGCGTGTACATGGCATGTATGCACTAGTTAGTGCATGCCTGGCAGGCATGCGCTAGTTAGAGCGTGCTTGCAGGCATGCTCCAGTTAGAGCGTACCATGTACACTCTTTGATTAGTAGAGTATTTCTTCGTATAATGAAGTAAAGTAGTTCATTGTATATACACTGTAATCCAAAGGCTATACTTTTGGTACCTTTTTTGGCGATACCTTGGAGTATTGCCTCGATATGGCAATAAACGTCGAACAAATCAAGGGGACAAGCGCTTGGTTCAATGCCGTGGTTTTGGCAATATCCAAACGTATTCCCAAATTTTTGGCAATACTTTTTTGTATCGCCGTTCTGAAGGTAATACTTTTCCGTAAGGCCGTTTATTGGCGATACTCAATTGTATCGCCAAAAAATGTACTTCAGTATCGCCTTTGCATTTGCAGTGTAGGACAATGAGAATTGTACAAACCACAACGAGGCCTGGCCTGCACAGCACTGGTCATGCCGATCCTATCATACTTTGTACGTCAATATTGTTGTACTTCAAAAGTGCAATGAAATTCTGATAATAAATTTGCCAGTGGTTTTTTTCTTGGAGCCACTGTAAAATAAATGTCCTGTCAATGCCGTTAATTTATTACCAGTTTTCACTGTAGGTCAATTCACAGCGTTTATTGTGATCTGCTCACGCGATTCACTGTGATCTTGTTCGCGGTGTTCACTGTGATCTGGCCCACAGTAAACACTGTGAGTTTGACGCCGCACAGTGGGCGATTGGACCCCAAAACTGCGACATAAATCAGGCGTAACTTTTATCGATCTGAAACTTAATATCCAGGTGTTTTCGGCATTGCCTAGTTCATTGGCAGTATCGGTTTTCCAGCAAAAATTTTTTTTTTTTTGAAAACAATTTTTACCATGAAAATAGTTAGTTTTGTGTGTTTTCTAACGTTTTATACTGTATTGATTATGATGCCATTCATAAAATATCTGATAAAGTCATTCTTATACAATATTTCAACAAAATAAGAGACGTTAGCAGACGGCTGGCTGGTCGCAACTAGGGGAAAATAAACGATTGCTAACAAAAAGGGGGCAGACATGAGCAGCTTATCTCACTTGGAGAACAATAAACACGGTCTAAGCTATCGACTCATGCAGAGTTTTTAATACGAGTCGACGCGAGTCAAAAGATATCTCAATATAAAGATACGACGGAACCTAACCTCGCAGTCGCATTACGACTGCTTTTGAAGTTACAGTTTTGAACTCTTTCTCAGGTTGTCAGTGGGTTATTTACAGCTCAAAATGTAGCCAGTACTTCAAACTATCATCACCCGGCCAATGAATACACTAAGTTCTTTATTTTCACGACGGCGAGCCCGAAAAGAAATCTACCTGTTCGGGTGCCGCTGAACTGTTACGCAAGAGGGTGAGAAACAATAAATCGCTACTTGCGACCCAACGCGTGCGAAGGTTCAAAACCATGCGGGAAAGGTGGCTAGAGGGGTTATCTAAGGATGGGCAACCAGAGAATTTATGTATAGTAACATTTCTTTTTTATCTTTTGTCGCGGTTTTGGGGTCCAATCGTCCACTGTGCGCCGCTGAGCACCGAAGTTCTGCAAATCAGGCTCCAATTCACGGCGTTTATTGTCGCCAGATCACAGTGAACACTGTGACCGAGATTACAGTGAACGCCGTGAACTATTTCACAGCCATAGCCGTGAATTGCAAAACAGCAAATTGGTAATAAATTAACGGCATTGACAAGACATTTTTTGTACAGTAAGTGTATAACAGTGTGCAAACAGGCTCACATTTTAAATTGTGTGCCATGCTCACCTTGCGCTTGCAGGCCTTACCCTCCTTGCCATTGTGCCCACAGCTCCTCTCCCTGCCGGACGACGCGTTGCTGGCCGTGCTGGCCTTCCTGCCCTCCAGGGAGCTCCTCAGCCTTCGCGTTTTGTGCCGCCGCCTCCGAGACATTTGCCTGCACCCCGACCTGTGGCGACGCCGTGCTTTGGGACACCTAGGGAACTTAGACGAAAACGACTATGAGCAAGAACAAGGCCTTCTGCGCGCTGTCCTGAGACTGGTCCCTTGCCTTGGTAGACTCATTGGTTATGTAGATGATTTTGAATTTATGGCGTCTATGGTGCCTACCACTTCATGTGTTATATCTGAGCTGAAGTTGGGCATTTACGGAGACGGGGACTCAACCACAAACGTTCTGCATACAGTACACTCTCTCGGTGGCTTGAAAACGCTCGATGTTCATCTTGACGTTGGCTCAATGACCACGTGTTCTGAAATCTTAAATGCCATCTACAGTCTTAAGGGTTTACGCGAACTGAAGATTGTCCTGGGAGCCTCTCCAACGTTTCTCTTAGGCCCATGTCCTCGCCCATGTCTTAGTTTGGAAGTGGAGCCGTCTCTAACGAAGCTCTGTTTTGTCGAATCGCTGTTCGACATTCGCCCTGACGAAGGCTCGGAGCCTTTTCTTATTTCGTTCCTGGAAACACATGCTGCCACACTGGAAGAAGTGGAGTTGAGAGGAGTCACTGACGAGATCGTCTTGTCCCTGTTAGGAAAGTTACCAAACCTGCGTTCTTTAGCCTGCTTCCCGGTTCCTGGGATCATGGACTTCGTGCGTCAGTCGTCGCAGCTTCGATCTGTGTCGATTCATGCATTACGAGAGGTCCCTTCTGCCGCACTGCAGGCTCTCACTGAATCACGCACTGCCAGCCTTCTTAAAACTCTACACTTAGGTTGCTCCATGTATGGCCCAGATCTCATGGCTGTGGCTGGTTGCCTGCCCCGGTTCCCTGTGCTGCGTGAACTGTTATTGAATGCTTTTCCTTCGGATGACTTTCTGCGGGCGCTGACACCCACTTCCGCGCCCCGCCTCACCAGGCTGTCTCTTCGTTGTGACAAGAAGTGCTTACACGCTTGGTTGCACGACATCCGCATCCAGGACCTGCTTCAAAGAAACCCTCGGCTTCACTTGCAACGTTGCAACAGCACTCGCGACGAGTTCTACGAATTTTATAAAGAGGACGCTTACTTCGAAGTCATCAATTGTGACTGTAGTTTCTGCGAGAAGGAGAAGAGCCGTGGCCGTCGTTCGTGGTTCTCATTGCACCGTAGGACGGCTGACTGCCCTCCGGGCTGCTTGCAGGTGGTTCAACTTCCGTGCTCGTCCGCTCTTCCTGCTGATTCCTCCAACCAGCAATAAGCCTCGGCAACCACCAGGTTTCGATATAAAACTGTGGAAGGGTATTTAAACGCAGTTGCCTAATAAATTCATGTTCATCGAAACCTATTCATGGCAACCACCACGTTTTGTATGAATTGTTGATGTAAACCAGTGAAACGATGTTTTGATGCCGTCGTCTTTTGAATTCACGTTTATACTACTCTAACAAAGAACAAGCCTTGGCAAACTACACGTTTTTTGTATAAATTGTTATTGTAAACCTGTGGCAAGGATGTTCAAATTGCAGTTGTCTGATAAATACATGTATACAAAATCTCTGAGTGCTGATATATGTTTCCTATACCGAAATGCCAGATCCTAGCACATTAATGGTAGAATTTTATGGATTTTTTAGAGCCGCAGGTTCGGAACTAACACCTTACCATTTCCACAACGTACAGTATTCACACCATTGCAGGGGCTAAAATCGGTTACGCCCCATTAGGGCATAGTTTCAATGCCTGTGTTTCACCAGTCATTCACATCCAAAGGACCGTGACATTTTGTTTCATTCGTTTCAACGTTACGCTGGAATGTCCCTGTAGTGGGGGAAGAGTGCTCTTCGTAAGTCTTTCGACTGCACTGAGAATGAATTGGTCACCACCATCACCCTTGAAATGGGTGATGCAACTTCGTTGCCCAAATTTTGGTGACGAAAAATTCATCACCCGAAATTGGGTAACAGGCGTTTGGTCGCCCAAATTTGGGTAACGCCGTCGGCGACGCCGCGAGGTTCCCGATGACGTCCTTCCGGGGCCACCACGATGACCGAAGGCTTCAACGCCACATGGCGGTCATCGTGGTGGATCGTGGTGGCCCCGGAAGAGCGTCATCGGGGACCTTACGGCGTCGCCGACGACGTTACCCAAATTTGGGCGACGATTTTATGACTGCCCAAAATTTGGTCACCGCGGGCTAGTCACCAAAATTTTGGCAACGGTGCGTGCGTTACCCAATGAAAGGGTGATGGTGGTGACTCTTTCATTCTCAGTGTGCCTAATGCCTGCGGACTGACCGTGCTACGTTGGTTGGATTGTCTATTCCGCTCGGCGTCGTGCACAGTGGGCCAGAGGACCGCTGAAGGCGGCCGAAATAAAAGACGGCTTCGAGCTCCAGAGTCGCTAAGCGGAACTCGAACCGAACCTGTGAATCTATTGGTGGGTTCACACGTTTGGTTCAAGTCCCATTTAGCGACGCTCAAAATGCGTCTAGAATTTTGGCCGCCTCCAGCAGTCTTCTGGCCCACTGTTCTCTGCTGCGTAACTTGAGATGTGCGTTGGGAAATCGACTGGGAAGCGAAGATACCTGCCTTCTGTGATTTCAGATGCAATATCCACTGTGTGCACTGTCATAAATTCTGTGTTTTTTTGTTGGTATCACTGAACGGATTGTAAAAGAAAACTGAATTCTGGTGTGTGGCGAGAGAACCTCATCCGGTCACGCAGACGGACAGAAATTGTTTTACAACCCCTTTCGAGTAACTGGCGCGCCAGTTACTATGCCGCCATGGCGGCAGCAGAACTCTCCCAATCGCACTGCAGGTGGGCAACTGTTTCCATAAAATCAAATATGTTCGGTATCTCTTTTTTTATTTTATTTTTTAAATTATAAAAGGCTTATTGTACTCAAAGGGTTCAGTAGCATGTTGCTTGGTTTTATTGGTCACTATTTACAGGCTTCAAATTAAAATTAGGGGGCTAATACTAACAAACTCACTCTCCACCAACGAAATCGATCGTAGAGAAATGACCTCGTTCGCTCGAATGTTGAATTCTAAGCGAGCCACTGGTAGAAAATCATATCACAGATGAACGCAGTTTCATACTGGTAAAACTAAAGCGTATTATTACCCTCTGTTTTCAAGCGTAATCAGGTTACGCTTGAAATCAAGCGTAACAGGCTCACCCGCGAAGACTCCCCCAATACAAATGCATGGGGGACTGGAGTATGCTTCATTTCAAGCGTAACGTCTTCAAGCGTAACTTCATGCTTGACTCAAGCATAGCATAGTTTTACCAGTGCAGTTTTCACCATTTGTAGCCGATGCCCGCGCGACGGTTGCCGCGAGTGTCCGCGCTGCCGGTGATGTCGACGCGACGGTTGCCCTCTCCCTTCCAGACGTTGCCTTGCCCGCTGATAGTGGCCTTGGACTTCTCGCCCTTCTGGCGTTCGGCCTCGACGTTGATCTCACCCTCACGGCGCACCCTGTGCAGGGCGGCCTCGGCCTCCAGGGGCTCCTCCAGGGGCACGGCGGCGGCCTGCTGGAACACGGCCACCAGGGCCAGCGCCAGGAGCAGCAGGAAGGCGGCACGCACTGCGGCGGCAGGAGGACAGAACGGTTAGTACTCAGCAAGAAGTTGAACGTCTCAATGCAATTACGTTTCTAGAAACTCAGGTGTTGCACTCCCCATTTTCCTACTGAGAAATGCCGTGAAGTCATCACACTAAATTACTATGTAGGTTTTTCTGCGTACTTGCGTACGAAATCGTGCATTGTCGCGCACAAATTCGTGCGATACGAAGCACTGAGAATGAATGGGTCACCACCATCACCCTTTAAATGGGAGATGCAGCTTCGTTGCCCAATTTTTGGGTGACGAAATATTCATCACCCGAAATTTGGTAACCGGCGATAGGTCGCCCAAATTTGGGTAACGTCGTCGGCAACGCCGTGAGGTCCCCGGTGACCGCTATGTAGCGTTGAGGCCTCCGGGTCTCACGGCGGCCTGAACGCCACATGGCGGTCATCGTAGGCCCCGGAAGGACGCCATCGAGGACCCCCCGACATCATCAACGCTATCCAAATTTGGGCGACCTAACGCCGGTTACCAAATTTCGGGTGATGAATATTTCGTCACCCAAAATTGGGCAACGAAGTTGCATCACCCATTTAAAGGGTGATAGTGGTGACCCATTCATTCTCGGTGAGTGCATGTTTAATTTCGTGCATTGGCACGCAGAAAAACCTACATAGTAATTTAGTGTGTTACGAAGTATTGTGAGCATACATATGTATAACAAATTAATTTATAATGTTACTCGAGGAAATAGTTCGTTAATTACAAAGTATTGTCTTTGTCTGCTTATGTATGCTCAAAATACTTTGTTAACAAACTGCTTTTCTTTGAAAGGCCCAAAAGAGTTTGTAAGGTTTTCTTAGTGCTGAAAATACTCCTACATAGTAATTTACTGTGTAAGGTATTTAGAGTACGCTTCGATGGGTACGAGCACTTACTGGTGTTGGTGTTCGGGTTGTGGAGCGGAAGTGGACCTGCAGACGTAACGGAGGCTGCTGGGCGAGTGGATGCCGAACGTGGAGGGTCCCTTCATTTTATTCCCGCAGCTCCATCGCGACCGCGGCAGAGCCGTCCAACGATGACCTCATCGGCAGCCAATCACAGCCGAGAGCGAGACGCGGGAAACGGGCTGCTGTTCGAAACGACGTGCGGATTCGACATGGAAGGGGGAAAAGGGGGGGGGGGGGGAGAGGTGGGTCGCGCCCGTCGTCGTCTTGGGCTGCCGGGGAACCACCGCCTGTTGTCGAAGTGAGGCGAATTCGTGGAAAAAGGTCGTCGCAGAGTTGCAAAAGAAATATCTCGCGAAAAAGTTGAAGCGTTAGCTTTTTGAGAATTGCCGTTGGTGAGATCGTGTGTAGAATTCATGGACCTCAGCTGAGGAAACGCACTCGAGGTGCCGCTGGAATGAATACCCATGCTAAATGTTATCAACGATTTTCAAGTAGGCTTCAAAATAATCCCAGAAAGTTGAAATTTTGCTTAATTATTAGGTTCATTATGGTGAGTAGCCAAAACAAAATTCAATCCAAAATGTTGAACGGTCTCTGAGAAAAGTGGCTTTTTAGTGTTTTTTAGAGTGTTGGGGAAAAATCTTCCTGCGTCTTTCATTGGGACGGAAAGTCTTGAAAATTTTTTTGGGTTATCCTAAAGATGTATTGAAGAGATTTTAGTGACGGAATTTTCAAATTCAACTTCTGTCCTGAGATATGAGTTTTCAAATTTTAGCATTGAAAAAAAGTGACTTTTTTCCCCTTTTTTCAGACTTTTAGGTGTTTGTAAAAAAAAGTAGGGCTGATATCAAGATTCCGTCACTAAAATTTGTCGACAAGTCATCAATGAATAGAGTCCATGCAAGACGACTCATGTAGGTGTCAACCAGGAACGCAGGAAGTCTTTCTAGGACAAAATTTTTTGTCGACTTAGCAAAGCTGTGAAGTTGAGCGTAGAAGCCAACGACAACTGATCTCAATGTTATTTCCTTCCAAATGATTAAAAAACTACCCACTTAGCTTAAAGGTGTTCAACCTGTTGAATCTGAAACCTTCTATGCACATTTTTATCCATGAACTTTAAAAATACTATTTTTGGCAATTTTGGCGATTATTTCACCAGGGTCCCCCCTTAAGCTATTACGCAAAACGTGCGAGGCTCTTTGTCTCGTTCGGTGAGAGGCCTAGGCTTGGAAGCTGTGTCACTGTGAGAAAAAAGGACGGAAAAAGTACGGAACATGTCTGGTCAATAGGGTACTTTCGTAGATCCCTGAACCGGAAGCACACAGACGCCATGTTGGCGGAAGTAGATCCAAACTTGACATGGGAAAGAGACGTTCGTCTAACGTATCGGCCACACTTGAACATAAACAGTCGTTTGATACTTGTTTGCAGTGCATATGTGTTTCGCGAGCAATATTTGTACAGCTCGGCTATAGTTTTGGATCCGAAGAGAGGTTAGTTTCCGGCCAATTTGGCGTCTGCTGGTCTGCTTGCTTCCGGTTCAGGATTCTACGAAAGTACCCTATAATTTGCCTGGACCGTCCGTACTTGCCAACTACGGAACGTTCCGTACTTTTTTTCTGTACCCATTTACATGGGTTCATATGGAGCCGGAACGATCCGTACCATTCTCCGTACCTCCGTACTATATTTTTCTGTACCATTTCCGTACAAAAGTACGGAATTTTTCACAGTCGTGTGTACGGACTCGGAGGGATAAAGGAGGCCGTGCGTCGCCCTGGCGATATGGCGTCACTTTTTACGAGTCTTTTTTTTTTTTTGGGGGGGGGGGGACTTTACAATTTTTGTACATTTCTCTTGATTTGTGCAGAATCGCACATTAGAGTTCATCTGCACAAACAATTTTGTCGAGTCATTCTAAATTTGTACGAATTCATTTAGAGAGTTGACAATCGACGGATCATGGAACGCGTCCTAAGGCGAAGAGGAGATAACAGTGCTAGGCGCGTCGGATTTAAATATCCTAGGCGCCTCACACTGAACTTGAGGGAGTCGTCGAACTTTCTTGCCCACTTACAGGTGGATTGAACTGCTCCTTGCCTACCTTCAGGCGGATTGTACTTTGGGTTACCCACATTCAGGTCCCACAGCACTGAAAAACCAAACGTGGTCCAGACCGCACCACTGGTGTGGTCAGATGGATGCCATTTTGACCACATCAGTTGGTGTGGTCTAGACCACGTTTGGCCACGTATGGTGCGGTCTAGACCACGTTTGGCCACGTTTGGTGTGGTCTAGACCGCACCAAACGCACCAAACGTGGCCTAGACCACACCAACTGGTGTGGTCAAAATGGCATCCGTTTGACCACACCAGTTGGTGCGGTCTAGACCACGTTTGGTTTTTCAGTGAGGGCCCTGACCTTACTTGCTGCCTACGCCCTGTACAGTACAGTGTCGACCGACCGAATCTCTAGACGAGGTCCCCCCCCTCCTCTCCTGGCGCCCGCCGCGGGCCGACTGTACTGTACTTATGCTCGTGGACAAATCAAAACACAGACGGCGGCGCTGACGGTGATCAGTTTGTTTCTGAGAAAGCAGACACAAGTATCTGGGAATCGCCACGGTGTGGGCATAGTGTGGTAGCAACGCAATCGAGCGGTACTTCCCCGGCCAGACCGCTCTAGAGGGCCTAACTGGGGAAAGCTGTTCACGAATTCTCAATTTTTCCAAAATATCAACACCTCAACACGCTTCTCAGTGGGGCAATGGAGGCGGCGAAAACTCTAGAAAAGTTATGAGCTCCAGAGTCACTTAACAGGACTCAAACCGAACGTGTGACGCCACCAATGGATCCCTCGTTCGGAGAGCAATCAATTGGTAGGATCACACGTTCGGTTCGAGTCCCATTTAGTGGCGAGAAGTCACAGGTTTTAGAGCAGACGAACTTTTTGTTAGAATCTGTTTGCTATTTTGCACTTAAGTCGAGGGGTTATTCACTCCGGTAACATTTGGTAGTTCACTATGTTTTTGATCTGAAATGGTTTCGAAATGTAAGTGATTATGAGAACAGCAAGAAGGAAAAGTGAGTGGCAATTTTGGGTCATTTTGGTCATTGTTGTCTTTATAACAATTTGAAAAACTTTTCCGTCCCGATTGATGACGCTTTCAAAAACTGCACCCAATAAAAGGGACGTATCACTGCATTCTATTAAATAAAAATGTCGTGCGAAATCATTTTAAGAAAATTCGTTTCGGACTTCAAATTTCAGGTTTGTAAGAGGAGCATAATTGGTCTAATACTTCTGTAGAAGTTATAGTCTGTTAACCATTTTCCACAAAATAATTTCAACTTTTAAAGTGGGAAAATTAGTGCAGTTTTTCGTACGAAAAGTTCATCTGCATAAATTGTGACGTGTGTAGGAATCGGCAACATTCGTATCACATCGCAGCCTCTAGGGAGGTGGCTCTGGGACCAGGGGTTCCCCTTCGGTTCCCTCCCCCTCCTTTCCTCATGTCCCAGCGTGGTCCCGGGCCAGTGCCCTGCCCCCACTCGCCTGGCCTGCCCACCCGCCTCGGGATACGTCATGGTGGGACAGTGTACAACATCAACAACTTCAACAACAAAAAGAGCGCGACTTTCATAAAACCCGGTTGAGCCCCTTTCCCAGCATCAGTCGTCCTCTGAGCCTCCCAGGAGCTTCACGCCTTCCTTCAGTCCGAGCTCGCCGTCTTTGACCGCCACCAAAGTGAGTGACTAGTTAAGCGAACTCCATTTGTTGTCCACTTATCGAAATCAAAACTGCTGGCTGGCAATGTACACGTAGTATGGGTTAACTTCTTTTAAAGTAACGGGTAAATTACCGCATTTGGTCGCGTCAACGCCTGTGTGCACTTGTGGTGCGTAAATTTTAATACCGAACAGACCGGAAATTTAGTCGTTTGAAAAATGAAGGGGGTGTAAGGTGGGTTTGAAAAGGAGCACTTGAGGGGAAATTTTAAGTATCCAACGTGAATTACCCCAGATTTTTCGGCCACAGTTCTAAAGTGCCAAAATTTGGCAAGCTTCGACCTTGAAATCTTCAAAGGCTTGCCAAAGTTTGGCAAGCTAGGCAGCAGATTCCGGGCCAAGCTTGCCAAATTTTGGCATTCAAAACGGCTTGCCAAATCTGTGGCAAGCGAACTTACCACTGGTTTTGCAGTTGCAGCTGACTTCGTAACTTACCGTTCAAAATTCATTGTACCTTACAGATATTTTGTCGAATTTCTTTTGTATTATGCACTCTAAATGTTGTACAGTGAAGATTCTCCATATTAGGGTGAAAATATTCCATATTATGGTGGTGCAGCTGACTTCGTAACATACCACGGTAAAAACGAAACCTGGGATTCCCAGGAACCCCTTTGTTATAAGGTATAGGAGTTTCCAGGAGATTCCTGGGATTCCCAGGAAACGTTTTTAACGTGACCATTGAGAATTCACTGTACCTTATAGAGATTTTGAAGAATTTCGTTGGTATTTTGGAGAAAATCTCCACCTAACCTCCACCTTTCACCGTAAGGCATTTAGAGTGAGTATTCCGTAATTTCCCATAGTTTCTAACAGTGCGCTCCTGCGTTGCGTTGCAGATCACCATGCACTCCGTGACCGTGGCCCTGCTGCTGTGCGCCGTCTGCGCCGCCACCGCGTCGCCGTTCCAGCCCCAGGGGGGGCCCGGCGCGCGCGGCAGCCCCGCGCCCGCGCCCCGCGACAACCAGCGGCACGGCGGCATCGGCGGCGGCATCCAGCGCGACAAGGGCGTCGGCACCTCGGTGCACGTCAACGGGCACGCCGACGTCTGGCGCTCCAGGGACGGCAGCGCCAGGGTCCACGCCGAGGGCAACTACGGCCAGGTGGTGCACGGGCCCGCCAAGGGCATGAAGGACTACAACGGCATGGTCACCTTTGAGAAGAAGTTCTAGACTCGGTTCTCATCCTCACGTTTCATTCTTTCAAAAGAAGTGACTTGGTTCCCGTCCCCACGTTGCACCCTTCGAGAAGAAGTTTTAGACTCGGTTCCTCATCGAGGGGGCAACCACATTGGATGTTTGGGGACACAGGATTTCATAAGGCTAAAGGTTTCGTCAGATTTCTCAAGATTTTAACCGATATTGCACCCGAAATTAGCTTGGTTGTGGCCTCTCTTGGGGCAAGATTTTACATTTCCCAGAGATTTTTAGAGTAGTTGCCCCCTCGGTTCCCATCCCCACGTTGCATCCTTCCTAAAGAAGTGACTCGATTCCCTTCCCGACGTAGCACCCTTTGAGAAGAAGTTTTAGACTTGATTCCCATCGCCACGTTGCATCCTTCAACAAAAAGTGACCTCATTCCCGCGTTTCAACCTTTGGCGACCGAAATCCTCTTCCTCTTGGCATCCCTGAATGTATATTCATTTCTTCTTGTGGCCGCCTTGTTTGAAGAATACTCATTCGTATGCCTACTGTGGAAAAACACAGGCATAGGAGCAGGGCATCAGTCTTATTACTCCTTTTGAGCGTGCCGTTAGAAGGGCATCAAAATTTTGACCTGAAGTCTCGCCCCTATCCCTATCTTCCAAGGGTATAACCGATTTACGCTCTGTAGGGATAATATTAAACCTTTGCCCTTTGTCTCACCCGTGACTCGGGTCTAGCCATTCTTCATTGGTGTAGTGCATTGATGAATCTTTAATTTAACTACAATATTCTATGAACTGGATGTGGAATTGTGTGGCTGAAACGTAACATGAAAGTCACACTCTCCTCTGTAACGCTTGTGATGTAAAGTATTGTAATTGTAAAACAATGAATAAATGGAAATTAAATCCCAAACACTTTTTACTTATTTCAGCTTTTCCCTTTGTTTCCGGCCTTTTCATGGGTGCAAACCAGGTTATAAATGAGAGTACACTGGTAAAACTAAAGCGTAACTCTACGCTGGAGTCAAGCTTAAAGTTACGCTTGACGACGTTATGAAGTTATACTGTGGATGCATTTATGTAGGGGGAATCTTGTCGGATGAGCCTGTTACGCTTGGTTTCAAGCACAAACTGATTACGCTTGGTTTCAAGCAGACACCGAGAAATTTGTCGCCAACCCACGAAAATTAATTAATTGCGTCCTTCCTGCTACGAACTTTTTACAAATGACAGACTTCAAAGATGTTCTAGGGACACTATGCAATGCGTTAGCATTCACTGACTTTCTAAGTGTAATAATGAACTAATTTAAAAAGCCATAATTTTTTTATTGCATTAGTAGCGCCATAAAAAAGTTATTGCATTATAAGTGCAATAATTATTGTATTGCATTAGTGCATTTATCGCATTAATAGCGTAGTTATCAGTTTATCACACCAAAACTGCGGTAATCTGGGCCCAGACCGGCCTAAACCTAAGGGACGTATTGCATTTTTAATGCGATAATTTTTTTATTGCATCCACAGATGCGATAATTTGAAGGAATCACGTTTGCCTTTTTACCTTTTTTTTGCCTTTATGAAACTTATCACATTAGAAATACCAGTGTTATCATTTTCGAATTTCGCGGCGTTTTGATTTCTTTTTATCGGCGACTTTAAATTTTGACGGGGACGGGTGGCACGATGGGACCGTGCCGTTGCCATGGAGAAGCCACAGACCGAAAACAATGGGGCTCTTGGGAACCCATAAAAATATTGTTCGACATTCTTCGCCAGTCAGCTTTCATACACCCTAGAGATTGATCAGACAAGGCCATTTCGTGAGTCGAACGCTTGTACCGCCTCTTGTCCTACTCTCGCGATAGTTGGGCTGCCTACCTTGAGGCGCTCTTCCGCTTCGCAGCGCCACACACGAAAAGTATAAATACAGATACAAATTTGTAGTTTTGGACGTGGTCTCAAACAAATTGTAACATGCCAACTTTCTCGAACAATTATTGAACGCAGAATCGCACGAATTCGTGCAAAATCGCGAGAAAATTTGAACGTGAAGTGAGTGAGCGCACAATAATCGAGAGAGACCTCGTACAATAAATTGAGCAAAGGAGTTGAATGTGTACTGTTGTGCTCGAGCCGCAACAGAGGTCATATTAGATGACCTCAGCTTTGCCAAGTCAGTCCATGTTTCAGGAGGCTTCTGTTACACTGTGAAAATTTGTTGTCTCTTTATGTCAAAAACGTGGATGATATTTTCAATAATCTACATTTCTATGACAATATATACAATATTTGCGGTGTGGAGGGGAGGGGGGACGATCTTCTTCGAGGCTATCTACTCTGCTGACAGTGCGTCCGTCGGCCGGTGCAGTGCTGACCTTGCACTGACGGCCATGCTCGCGGGGCGCTGGGCCTTCGCCGTCCCCGTTGGCAGTTGGCCTTCGGCGTTGGTGCAGGGAAGTCGTTGCTGCTGCGTGCGGGGCAGCCGCGCGGTCTACACGAAGTCATTGAGGGGCCCTTCGGGTGGGTCAACGGGCGGGCACCGTGGTGTGCGGGCGGTGCCGTCGGCTAGGTGAGCTTCTCGCTGGCCTGCTGCTGCTGCACTCACTTTGCGTGGCCCAGCTGGAGCCGTTGTTGGGATTTGTGGGCACCCGCGGGCGCCTATCGTGCGGGGCGCTGGCGCTGCACAGTGGGCCAGAAGACCGGTCATCATCGTCATCGGCGCTGTTAGGCCTCAGCAGACCTTTAGCGTTCGAGTAAGCAACTACAACAAACACAGAACTCAGACTGCAAACCTCAAATGCAGGCTGTGTCTTGTCTGAGGCAGCCACCCTCTACTGGGGGGGTATGGGGCAACCTCCGTGGAAGTATGACCCATCCCAGGTTGAGGAAAGTGAGGTTCGTTGCCTTTGGACCCTTGAGTGTTGTGGAGACAGTGGAGGATGCATTGCGGTGTAGCATGGCGCCAGTCCTGCTCCTCACGTAGTTGTCGAACCTCTTCATTGCGGGACGGCGCCGCAGATGCGACGAACTGCACTGAGGCGGGGCTGCTGAAGCTGATGAAGCGGCGCCGTTGTCCACGAGTCTCTTTCAGAGGAAGTATCCCTCCAGCCGGCGGCCCCGCACGACTCCGCGTCCCGTTGACGTTGGCCCAGGAGGTGAGTGCACGGCCGATCACGGGAAGCTTCGCGGATGGCGGCAGAGACACGGTAGAGGAGAAGAGCAGTGGAGGCTTGATTGTCCCCGGTCGGGGCCGCAGGGGATCTGAAATATCTGCAGCACGCCAGGGAGCTCCGAACCGGCACTGCCACACAGCCAAGAGCCTGAAAGAGGGACCACTCCGGAACGCGACGGTACCCGCGCCGACGAAGGTGCCATGGAGGGCGATGGGGTACTGCAGACACACCACAACGACGTCTGGGAAAGCCGCACCGCAGCGCGCATACGCGTCTCGGACAAGTACAACCAGTGGAGAGGGCCTCCTGGAAGTTCGTGAGCAGCCCGAAACGGAGATAGGGTGGGTCCCGCAGCGCAGATAGTGAACTCCTTTTCAGTCTCGCACGGTGCAGAACGGAGCACCCTGAGACAGCTAGATCAAATCGGTGGACTACTCCGGGACTCCAACGGCCTGCATGGAGGCTTACAGGGCGGAGCAGTGCTCACTGTCGCAGCTTCTGGAAGTCCACGCAGAGCAGTTAACCTCCTGCGCGGAGTGGCAGAATGATGCGTAGGGTGACGGCCTGGACGATGGTGGACAGTGGCGGATCCAGAGGCGGCCTTTGGGTGGAGCAGAGGAGGTTGGTGCCTGTGTACAGGGGCAAAATGTGGCCTGTGCCTATTGTTCTGGCGACTATCGGTGCCGTGACGGAGGCGAAAAACCCTTTGCTCCTCTCCTGCATCCGCGTGGGAGCGGACGTACGGAGCGCATGGCATGCGAGGCAAGCCGACGCAAACGCATCAGGTGCGTGGTAAAGGTCCTGTGTCCCCGCATTGGAGGCAGTACCGCGGAAATTGGAGCAATGTACGAGGGCGTCCCTGCTGCCAAACGGTCCAATGACAAGCTTCCGTCATTCCTAGCAATTGGTTTGCTGTTGCGTTTTTAGTTGGTCCCCAGCGGCGGCGACTTCACTTGAAACAGTAGCGCGGCGATGTCGGCAAAATAAAAGCAGCAAAGGGCCGTGTGACGTCAGTCTCGCAGCGCGGCCACAGTCCGTCCGGCCGTCCGCGCGCCTCGCCGCGGATCCCGCCTGGCCGCTGCCTCAGCAGTACCGCTTATCGCAGTTGCGCCGCGACGACACCGACTGGAACCAAAGGACCACGCGGGCCCGCCAAACCGACGCCTCCATCCGGCCGCTGTCTCAGCAGAGCCGCGTATCACAGCCGCGTCGCGACGCTACCGGGCCGCGAACCAAGGACGAGACGAATGCTTCTGGCTGGGAATTAGAAAAACCAGACGAAGGGAAGCCTTGAAAGATCGTGACGGGTGACGGCAAAATGCGCTGTTAACAAATCGACGAGGCTGCAAGAGAATGCTGTAAAAAACCTGAAAAGGAAAAGCTGGAAAAAATGGGTGAAAACTGTCCGGCCTATGGCGCGCCAGCAGGGCAAGGCCGGGCGGCCGGCCAAAGCCAGAGGACAGGGGGAGGCCCTTTGACGAGCCACCACCGCGTCACCCAGCCCAGGCAACACCAGCCCGTCTTACCACGCCGCGCGTCCCATTTCCTGGAGCAGTTTGACTAAAACTAGACAAGGCAAACACAACAGCAGCGGCCAAAGCAAGGCCCTGCACCTGCAGACAACGGGCGGGGAGCACCCGGCCCCACTAGACCCCCCTAGCCCCTCGGCCCGCAGGCCCCACCGGACGACGCAGAGTCACCTGGAATTCCGCCGAATGTCGGTGCAGGAGAAGCGGGAGCTGTAGGAGGATCCACGGCGATGACACCAAGGAAGGAGCTGCGGGGCCCCAGGGTCCATCGTGACGCGGGCAGACCGAGGGCCGAGGGCCGCATAACCTCACTCCGCGGGGCACGCAGGCGCGTCACAACGTGCATATCGCACGCGCAGACCCGCAGCGAACAAAGGAAGCACGTGGCGGGACGAAAAATGCCCACAACGGCCACAAAACACCACCGATCGGCACACGAACACGCACACACAATCACTGCTACGACACGCGTCGGATGGTACCGAAATCAGCCGCCGGGACCGACTTTATACCACCTCAAACGACACATATACGGGAGCGGCCCCGCCCGGCGGCCGGCAGCGCTCACGTCCCCCTCGCTGCTCCCAGAAGACCGGTGGAGGCGGACAAAACTCAAGACGCTGAATGGGGCTCAAAAATGGATTCCTCGTTCGGAGAGCAATCCATTAGTGGGGTCACACGTTCGGTTTCAGCCCCATTCAGCGACTCTGGAGCTCAAAACGCGTCTAGAGTTTTGTCCGCCTCCACCGGTCTTCTGGCCCACTGTGCGCTGACGCTTTGTCGATGGGTACAGTCCGAGCCCGGGGCCTTCTTCAATCGGAAGAAGGGGCCGGGTTCATGCATAGATAGGGCACACTCTCATTCCAGGAACGTGACGTCACGTTGAAACGAACGTGTCAAAATGTCACGTTTGTTTGAGCATTGTGTCACGTTCGTTTGAACGTGGGCAAGCTGATTTTTGACCAATTCACACCCAAACGACTGTGACACAACGCTCAAACGAACGTCTTAGTCTGTAACGTTCATTTCAACGTGATGTCACGTTCCTGGAATGAGAGTGTAAGCAGGTTTTCTTAGGAGCAATGCCGAGTTGTCCAGCTGCTGTTGCGAGTGACTCGGGGGGCCCAGTTGACGATGTCAGCAATGTTTCTCGGGCCCGCTTTAGCTGACGTGAGGAAGCACTGCTGGGCTGCACTGCTCGATTCCACTTGCTGCGTGGAGTTCATTGAGTGCATTGGGGACGGAGGGTTCGGCCCAGCGTAGCAGCGCTAAGCACACCAAATGTGTGAGCAGATCTCACAAGTACAACCACACACTAAATGTGTATGCAAAATTTTGTACGTGGTGATGCACAATTTTAAACTTGTGTGCCGTCATGCATAAAATTGTGCGTGAATTTGCATAAATTTATGCATTTTCTCGCATAAAATTATGCAAATTCCCCCCGCATGCTCAAAATCGTGCAAGTGGCACGTACAAAATTCTACTTAAACGTTAAGTGTGCAGGGATCCTTAACGTAACATTAAACCAACACTGCTTTCTTAACGTAACATAAGACAATGTTCACTAAAAGTTAAGGGTATGGACAGTTGCAATGACCTCCAAACACAAATTCGAAAGGCTAAAAAAACAACTCATGTTTTTAGAAAGAAGTCATAAGTTACGGGTTATAACTTAAACGGGTACGTTTAACGTTATCAAGCCCTTTCCAGATAAGTTAAAGATCCCTGGTACAAACGGCAAATAAGGAAACAATGAAAATAGCTTTGTTGGAAAGTTCCTCACCCATAATTGGGTGATAAAATAATTTTCATCCAAATTTGGTCGATAAAGAATGCCTCACCGCCAAAATTTTAGTCGTGATTAAGACTCTTTCTTTCTCAGTGTAGTTTCCCTGAGCATGTGGTTCCGCGTGTGTCTGTAACGTGTGCGCTTTTTGTCTGCTTTCCTAGGATGGAGAAAGTAACCAGCTGCACGGTGTGCTTGGAACGGTTCAGCGGGTTACTCCGCATCCCTAAGGTCCTGTCCTGTGGCCACTCTCTGTGCTATGGATGTGCCCAAAGCCTGAACGGGTTTCGCCGCCGCTCCAGGTCCAAAATACCGTGTCCACTGTGCCGAAAGGTGAGTTCTGTCGGGAAGGACGATGGGCGATTCCATGCCAAACCAACGAACTCCTGGAAATTCATCTCTTCGATTTGGATGAAACTTTTTTTAGGGGTAGGGGTCACACGAGTAATATCTCCGTAATACCGAGTACTCTGTACAGTACACGATTTCTTGGAGTGTTTACCCCCTCGAAATCACCAAAGGGGCAGAGACTAATAGTAACATTTTTGGGGAATGGCCCACATACTGTGAACCGTAACTCAATAAAGTCTCATTTGAAAAAGCCAACTACACACTAATTCCAGGAACGTGACATCTAGGATAGTGAAATTTCACGTGTGCCGAGCCAAGGGCATGCCCGAAAAGTGTGCAAAATCTCACCGAGATCGGCCGAGCCGTTCAGGAGGAGAAGTGCGGACAGACACACAGACAAAACTTTTCAACCCCACTGGAGTAACAGGCTTCGCTATCGCTCAGCCAATAATTGACCAAAAATGTACAAAATAGACAAGTTTTAGGGACTTTTCAGCTTATAAAGCTTACAATTAATAATGTAATGGAAATTTTGAGCTATGCATGCCGGCTTCTTTTGAAAATGAATCGAAGAAGTGAAAAATGTCAAGGTCAACCTTTTACGACAAAATAGTATGCGCAAGAAGATTTTTTAAGATACAGCCAAAATCGGCTCAAAAAGACTCTTCGACTGGGTCCAGAGCCTGGCATAGTGCCTTCAAAAGTCAAATTTTAGTCTCATCAAAGAAAGATTTTATATTCCGAACAAATTGTGACAGTGGGATCCATTTGGAAAATAGCAAGATTTTCACCAGAACCTCCCAAGCCGTATTATTTACAAGGTAGGTTTACGCCAGACCGCGTCTTGTCGTAACAGGCTTCGCGATGTCTCGCTGCCTGTTCCTCCAATCCACGCCTGGCGTACCTACCTCGGCCTGCGGCGCTAGCCTGCCTGCGGCAGGCAATGGCTTGTCCGTTGTCGGTTATTTTTTAACTTGTTGAATGCTGGGGGCTCCGCCCCCCAGACCCCCCTACATTCTAAATAGAGTTGTTTTATCTACAGATAACACGATCTTGACCCTTGTCACTTTTTACCTTGTCGAGGCTGGGGGGCCCCGCCCCCCAGACCCCCCTTTCTCCAAGACAGAAGTGGTCTATCTGCAGAAATCTCTATTTTTCGCCGTTTTTTAGGTGTTTTTCGCCTATAAAAACTGAACCAGTTGAGCTAGGATGGTGAATTTTCGCGTGTGCCGAGCCAAGGACATACCTGAGAAGTGTGCAAAATCTCACCGAGATCGGCCGAGCCGTTCAGGAGGAGTAGTGCGGACAGACAGACAGACCGACAGACAGACCGACAGACAGACAGACCGACAGACAGACAAAACTTTTCAACCCCACTGGAGTAACAGGCTTCGCTATCGCTCAGCCAATGAGGTTAGGTGAAACCTGATCTAACCACTGACTCTCACTTGTGACTTATTCCACAGGTAACTGAATTGTACCCTAGCGATCTTCCCGTCAACTACGCTATCTTGTCGCTGTTAGAAGAAGTCCAACTGTCTGAACCAAAATGGTGTTCAGACTGCAAGAAAGTGGCCGATTCGACTTGCGAAACGCATCATTTTACTTGTCTGTGGCGAAGGGAGCAAGAAAGACAGTTTGAAGACGTGAAGCAGTATTTGGAGACTGCTGCCGCGTCGCAACACAGTCTGGAAAGAATGTTGTCTGAGTCATTCGGAAAATTAAGTGACGTCATCAGTTTCCTGGTACAGTTTAAACAATCTTCAAGTTTACTTTACTGTTAAAAATAAATTGGTGATTCGTTTTTCAATTATATTTAATTACTGGTACTATGTCTGCTGGAAACTCATTCTGAATTAGTAGTTTCGCGTTTTATGGAGTTTTCCATAGTTCCCCGTCAATTTTTTCCATTGAGTTCTCTCCGGAAACTTCAATGGTTTATGTTAACAGTGTTGTTTTGTATTAGATGGATGAGGTAGAAGCTTCTCGGAAGGACACGGGAGACGCTCTGTCGTTGATGGACAGCGTCCTGGGGGTGGCTGGTCCGAGATGGGACCGCGCTCGGGCTTCCATCGAGCAGGCTCGGCTGAGATCCGAACTCAGGTACAGTTAAAAATCCACAGTAATATTACAAGACAATCACCTACAGTAATGCTGTTAAATACCAACAGTATTGTTTTGTGTCTGAATGGGAAACCCATCCAGAAACAACACTTTCGTTTTACCTCCTTGCCAAGTAACAATAATGTAATCGTGATTCAAAACAGTTGTGTTGTCGTTGAAGAGGTTTCATGTTTAGAAACACACTCTAAATGTCTTACGAAGAAATTTCCCGTATTACGAAGGAAATGGCGCAAGCATAATGCGAAGGTGGTTTTTCTTCGTATTACGAAGGTTTTTTTTTTATCTTACAATGAAAAAGCTAAAAAGATTCGTATTACGAAGGAATATTGCTTCGTATTATGCTTCCGCCGAATTCACTGTAACATACGAATAACATAGGTCAAATTTCATTGTAAGACATTTAGTGTGCACACTTAGTGCAATCTTAAAACATATATGGTTGTCAGGTTACAAGGGTCCTGTCTAATAACCGCACGATGAGATCAACACAAATGTTGCGAAGACATCATCGAAGACTCCAAAGAAGTATTGTTTTATTACAATCGAATTATCAGAAAACAGCATTGAGGGCTCCAACGTGCTTGTAATAAAACAAGACGCGTTGCTATCAAACTTAACAGCATAAGTGTTGTTAATTTTCAACATTTTTTCAAACAGTGTACACTCTCATCCTTCAATCAACATTTAATCAATAATCATTGACGTTTGTGTCCATTAATAGAGTTTTGTTAAGAATTTGTGAAGACGAAATTGACAATATTGTTTGTAGAACAAACCAAAATGTTGATGCGCTTATTAATGCGCACAAATGTCAATACGTTATTAAACAAACTCAGTACGAGTCTGAGAGTGTAGACACGTGAGAAGCAAGAATTTTCTGGTCGAATCGAATCTGCTCTTAAATTTTCGAACCGAATTGGCCAAAAAATAATTGGAATCGAATGGACTTTTATTTTGTTTAACGTCATCATTGCATTTTAAGATAAGAAACTCGACATCAAATGCTTTGTGATCGTTTGTAAAACGTATTAAGCAGAATCCTCTTTGTTTTTGTACAGAGAAGCCTTCGATCAGCAGACCATGTCCTTAATGCATTCGGCCCGCAAATGCGAAGTGACTGTGTACGCGGAGCATGGTCGGTCCTGGCGGGGCGCCTTCGACTTGGAGCAGTGTTCCAGTTCGGGAGCCAGCGCCGTGGTCCTGGCCGTGATCGCCGCCATGCAGCGCGCCCGGCTGCTCAACCTCGCAGAGGAGGTAAGGCGACGCACAGTGGGCCAGGGCCAGGAGACCGGTGGAGGCGGCCAAAACTCTAAATGCATTTTGAGCTCCATAGTCGCTGAATGACTCGATTCGGAGGAGTGACCCCTCCAATGGATTGCTTTCCGAACGAGGAATCCATTGGTAGGGTCAAACGTTTGGTTCGGGTCCTGTGTAGCTACTCTAGAGCTCAAACGCGTCCCTCGACATGCTCCGCCAGTTCTCAAAGCCTGGGGAGAAATTTGTGCCTTACACTCAAATTTTCTTACAGTGCGGTTGGCGGTAGCGAAGAAATTTGTGCTAACATAATTAAACGAACAAAATTTGTTTATATTACGAATCTGTTTGGGCTTTTCTTTGCAAGGTACAAAAAAAGAGCTCTTCATATTACGAAGGAAAAATAGCTTCATAATATGTTTGCACAAAACTCTTCATTTTATCAAGAATGGGTGTTTGCTTTCTTCGTAAGGCTTTTTGAGTGTAGCTTTCTTGTTCTCCCCTCAAAGCTGGCTCGGTGTTTGTGCAGGTAGCTGAGCTTCCGAACGAAGGATCTATGGCAGTGTCTCGCGATGTGCCGGATGTGGGGCCAGACGCGGAGGAGGTATTGCAGAATGCAGCAGGGCCTGGAGATGGCGAGGTACTTGAGACAGCTACATATCATTGGATTTTTTTCTGTTGCAATCACAAAGGCTATCTATACTCGTGTACTTTTTTTCTCTTTTTGATAGCTAGTGCCTTTCCCTAAAGGTCAAGAAATTGACTTCGAGAACATACGCCCTGGGGTCCTCTTCATGTTTGTGCGTCACCAACCTGAGTCCCCTGCAAGTATACTATTGTGTTCTTTTCCTTCGGTGCATTTTGAGATGTACTTATTTTGATTCCTTTGGCTTAGGTTACTTCGATTTCCAGTCTGTCTTGCAAGGAGTTTCTGCCGGATGTTGTGGAGATTCTTCGCTGTCACGGTCCTACACTGGAGGGGCTTAGCCTGCATGACGTGGTGGAGGATGTCCTCGTGCCGGTGCTCACTATGCCTCGACTGAAGAGACTCGAGTTAAAGGGCTGGTTGGGACAGAAAGAAGACCTCTTTTCCCACCGCCTGTTAAGCACGCTTCAACTGGAATGCTTGGAAGTGTCTGTAAGTACCATTAGGGATCACACACTTCACTATCTTCCAACGAATGTGACGTCACATTCGTTACAATGTGAATTTTGTCACGACCGTTTGAAGACGATGTCACATTCGTTGAAACAAGACGACGGCCGTTGAATTAGGATATCACAGGAGGAATTAGGATATAGACTGTTTTTTTTTCTTTTCACGGAAATGACTTCTCCGGACCTTCCTCTATAAGGGATCTTAGGGGATCTATAAGGGATTTTAGGTCTTACAAAGCAAAGCAGTATGGTATAACAAAGTATTTTGAGAACACATATGCTTCCAAAGAAAGTACTTCGTAATTCACGAACTATTACTTCGTATAACCACGGCAAAACCAACGTCCGGGTTTCCCAGGCGCACCCTGGAAAACCAGGGCATTTTTCTAGGGTGCGTCTGGGAAACCCGGACGTTGGTTTTGCCGTGACAAAGTAAATTAGTTTGTATTATATTATGCATGCTCAAGCTACAACTTCCCTCTTTTCGTGACTTGCAGGGTGACGGCTGCGAACCACCAGTCGTGGAGGCTATTCTACGGATCATCGGGGGTGCTCAGGAACTAGCCTTGCAGTGGCCAGTAGACAGCACGCGTTCCCTCGCCGATGTCATCAAGGAGCTGTCGGCGGACGCCGCTTGGCCCGTATCCATCAAGCTACTTCGGAAGGGGAGTTGCGAGCGGCGGGTCTGCAATCAACAGAGTGCCACCTACAAAGCGGCCTTGCCGGATTCAGCCGTGCATTGCGCAAGGAAATGCGCTTACATTTCGCTACCAGATGACACGGATACGGACTGAATCTGCTTTGATTCACTCAGGACTTACTTGTCTACTTTATATTATTTTCTCGTTTGCCAATCAGATTTGTTTAAGAATTTGGCCGAAACGCAGTACAATTATAAGCTTTGACCTATTTTGTGTATTTATGTAATCGCCCTAAGAGTTCGTTTCTTTCGACAATGCTCCTAATTTCCGCACTCCGGGCACACTCTCAGCACGTTACTGACTTTTCTCATTAATTACGTATTTGTATAAGCAACAATAATACTTAGTATTTTCTAAGTAAGTATGACACAGTTTCTTCCTGTAAGTTCTTACTTACTTAGTTATTTAGAAAAGGAGAAGTACGTATTATGGTTGCACAAATTACTTGCATAAGTAATGACAAAATGAGCAAAATGTCAGTAACGTGCTGAGAGTGCAGCACTCCCGTCAGAGTTACTTAGAGAACTTAGCTTATCAGTAAAGTTCTCTCCATTATGTGCACATAAGGGGCAACATTGGCTCCAAGTTACTATGTAGTGCACAATTTCGTGCATCACTGCAAAGCCGGTTGTAAGTTTGCATGCCACAAAATTGGCAAGCCGTTTTGAATGCCAAAATATTGCAAGCTTTGATCGGAAATCTTTATAAGCTTGTCTGGGGGGTACTTCCGGGCCAAGCTTGCCAAATTTTGGCATTCAAAACGGCTTGCCAATTTTGTGGCAAGCAAACCTACCACCGGCTTTGCAGTGACAGCTTATGCGCCAAAAACTATAAAGTAAAGTGCGAGGCGTCCTCCGACTGACCCGTGGTGCAGTGGTGGGTTTGTAAAAAGGGTTTTCGCACTTGGAGAAGTACCATGGTTTGCTAGGGGCTCAAAACCCACCTCAATGAGTGGTTTTGAGGGTATGGGACGAACTGGGATCGGTGAGTCTATAGGCCATAAATTTTCGGAATTAGAACAGATGTGGAAGCTGGGCGTCTCAGACCAGAGCCCACGCACTCAAAGGCCACGAAGCACGACTTTGCCGCGGAAACGCCTGCGAACTCCAAGGTAGGCACGCCCGCCACGCACCGCTGCGTGGTTGGCTGCCTACCCGACTTGCCGCAGGCGCTCCCTCCTGGCACAGTGGGCCAGAAGACCGGTGGAGGCGGCCAAACTTCTAGACGCGTTTTGAGCTCCAGAGTCGCTGAGAGGCATTTTTTTTAAGAAGTCCGATCGTGGAACACGACCGATGCCGATTTCCTCCATTTTTTGGTCAAAGGTAGTCCTTGTGGGTCTAAGAAAGGCCACAAATTTTTTGGGCCGAAATATGCACCGTTCAGATTCTATGGTCAATTTTCGTTTTCTCTGACAACTTTTCACATAATATGGCCAAAATTGAAAAATCACCTTTCTGAGGCCTCTATGCACTCGATTGAGCTCAAAATGTGGTATCTTATGTAAAATCACGCGAGGAACACGAATCCGGTGCCCGTTTGTTGATAGGACAACCCAAACAGATGTTATGACTGTTTTTCAGGTTTTGTAGTGGTTTTTACTTTTCTTGGGGTTTTGGTGTTCGGCATCGATTTTTGCCAATCCGATGAGTGGATTTTATAGATAAAGGACCAATCTATCATACTACGAGATAAAAAGTTTGTGTACGCCGCGTGAAAAGCAGTGGCGCTGCAGAAATTAAAAAACCGTCATTTCTGGGTAGTTTTAGATCAGATAAGCCACCTTTCGCGTGACCGTCTCCGCCCCATATTCAGTCTTAATATTGTCCCAAGTGATGTCGGAGTTGGTGTGAAATTTCACCGCTGTAGCTCAAGTAGTTTGGAAATGGCAGCTTTCTAAAGTTTTGCAATCACGTAAGGCATTTACTTTAAGTAGAATTGCGGTAAATGTGAAGACTTGTCACAGATCGGGTAATAAATGAGATAGATGAGTGCGTCAAAGTTCTCTAGGCGTAATTTTGGACAAGGAATCCGATTTTGCCGGTACGAAGGCCCTAGGTGTACTCTAAAACTACGTTTTCGTGCAAACCACATAAAAATGGCCTTTTTTCCAACTTCAGAGTTCGCCTAGGGTCTTCGTACCAGCAAAATCGGATTCCTTGTCCAAAATTACGCTTAGAGAACTTCGACGCACTCATCTATCTCATTTATTACCCGATCTGTGACAAGTCTTCACATTTACCGCAATTCTACTTAAAGTAAATGCCTTACGTGATTGCAAAACTTTAGAAAGCTGCCATTTCCAAACTACTTGAGCTACAGCGGTGAAATTTCACACCAACTCCGACATCACTTGGGACAATATTAAGACTGAATATGGGGCGGAGACGGTCACGCGAAAGGTGGCTTATCTGATCTAAAACTACCCAGAAATGACGGTTTTTTAATTTCTGCAGCGCCACTGCTTTTCACGCGGCGTACACAAACTTTTTATCTCGTAGTATGATAGATTGGTCCTTTATCTATAAAATCCACTCATCGGATTGGCAAAAATCGATGCCGAACACCAAAACCCCAAGAAAAGTAAAAACCACTACAAAACCTGAAAAACAGTCATAACATCTGTTTGGGTTGTCCTATCAACAAACGGGCACCGGATTCGTGTTCCTCGCGTGATTTTACATAAGATACCACATTTTGAGCTCAATCGAGTGCATAGAGGCCTCAGAAAGGTGATTTTTCAATTTTGGCCATATTATGTGAAAAGTTGTCAGAGAAAACGAAAATTGACCATAGAATCTGAACGGTGCATATTTCGGCCCAAAAAATTTGTGGCCTTTCTTAGACCCACAAGGACTACCTTTGACCAAAAAATGGAGGAAATCGGCATCGGTCGTGTTCCACGATCGGACTTCTTAAAAAAAATGCCTCTAAATGGGACTCGAACCAGCGGACGTCAGTGTTCTTCTGCATACTACGCAAACTACGGAGGCACCATACCGGGAAAGCGCTTCTGGTCTCGAGAGTTCACCGTACCGTCTCCACGGTGACAGCGATGTCTCGCCAGATCGGTCAAATCGGAGGCCCGCCACACGGCGCGAATATGGATATCCCCTCCACGCCACTGTGCCACAGCCGCTCTTGTGTGTTTGTTTGTGTGAGTGAGTTTGTCTGTGTGAGTGTGATAGGGAGGTGCGGGTCGCTCAGCTTGACCGCGTGCGGTCCAAGCAAGCCTTCCAGGCAGCCGGAACGTGAAACAGTCAGTTTGTGGACACTTTCAGCCGCGGGCCGTGGTCCGTGGTCGCAGTGTCCGAGGCCCCAGACTTCGCTCGCCTCGAAACCGCCATGGCGTGGTCTCGGCAGGTCGTGGTGGTCGTCGTGCTCGCCCTGGTCGTCTGCGGCGCCCTGCCTCCGGGAGCCGTGGTGCCCGACGGGGACGCGACGACCACGGCCTCGTCGACCACGGCCTCGACGACCACGGCCTCGTTGACCACGGCCTCGTTGACTACGGCCTCGTCGACCACGGCCTCGTCGACCACGGCCTCGACGACCACGGCCTCGTCGACCACGGCCTCGTTGACCACGGCCTCGTTGACCACGGCCTCGTTGACCACGGCCTCGTCGACCACGGACGTTCTCTCATCAGCGGGAGCGGTCTTCACGGAGGAGGTCTTCACCGGGCCGGACTCGACCTGGGGACACGGAGCTGCTGGAGGTGAGGCCACTTAAACGAACTGTACTCGGAACACCTCCTAAACTAGTTTCGGGTTAACAAACAAAAGTAGCTTGTTACAACCAAGTCTTTCGAGCACTCACAAGCTTCCAAAAAAAAACACTTCGTAATTGCGAACACATTCTACGTACAACAAATTTAATAGTTACCCGCCCATCCATTTCCAGGCGCGGCCGTTCTGCCCGAGGGAGCCGTCCCGCGGTTCAACCTCCTCGACGGCGTGCGCCGACACCCGCCCTCCGAGGCGTGCCGGCGAGCCCTCGACGACGTCCTGGAGGCCAGCACGCAGCTCCGGCTGTGGGCCCTCAAGAGTGAGTGAATGTGATATTTTACAGTCAACTTACTGGCCAAATACTGAGTAAATTTCAGATATTTATTTTTAAAGTGTCATGACTTTGGCAGTGCACTCGTCGTCCGTGATGCTCCCGGACGCGCTGCTGGCCGCCAACATGTACTCGCTGGGCGACTTCGACGGCTGCCTGTCGGTGCCCGAGGCAGTGTACTGCCTGCTGGACGTGGAGGTCCGCCCGGCCAGGCAGTCCGGGGCGCCCCCTCTGCCGACGCACCCTGGCGACGAAGTGAGCCCCTTCGAGCCGCCGCACGGCCACAACGCCACCCTCTGGGACCTGCTGCAGGTACGCTGTTAGTGAAAAAGTGCTCTGGAAATTTGCTCTTTGTGGTCAGGGTCGCTCGGAAGGAAGTGTTGCTACGTAAGTAGTCTAAAATCCCCACGATGCACCAATCTCGGAAGGGTGGCCAAACTCGTCAGCCTTCCTGGGCAAATTCTCGACAGCTAAGCCAATTTCGCCTAGTAGGCGGGCTGAAGCTGGCACCTCCTTCGACTGGGAGCATCGTGGGAAATTTTGTCTATTTGTGTGGCAGCACTGCTCACAGGATTTGTTGGGAGAAGTGGGGTTGCACTATTTACCTGCTTACAGGTGGGTTACAAATGTTTACTGCCTCCCTAGGCAGCTTGCATTGTGGGTTGCCGACATTAAGGTAGATTGCTCTGTGGGCTGCCTAAATTCAGATAGGAAAAGTCATGACCTTGCGTGCCACCGTCTGAGGGTACCCCAATGAATCTTGAAACGGAAGAGGAAGCACAAAAGGAAGCTCTAACAGCTTCTGCGCATGTGCAGACGTTTCCCCAAGACCCGGTGCGCGTGCAGAAGCTGTGTTTAGTGCTTACGTGTGTTCTTCTTCTTCTTCTTCCTCCGTTTCAAGATTTATTGGAGTACTCTATATGCTCCTGCGAGTGCACGCTAGATATTCAAAGAATGTGATGTAACATTCGAATGAGAATTTGAATTTTTCTGCCGTATCTGAATGCGACGTCATACATTCATTTGAATATTGATCTTCTTTCAAACGGATGTACACACGTCGTGACATCTAAATTAAAGGTCATGTCACGTGTCAATGAATGTGACATCGTACTCAAATGAACGTGCCAAAATCCAATTCCAACGAACAGTACGTCTTTTTCGTTGAACAACAGTGTTCGGTGAAGAATGCGTCGCGCCAATTGGCGGCATATTGACTCTCGCACCGGGACCGAAGGAGATCCCGCAATCCTTGGCGTTTCGTGACGTCTCCCGGGCGTTCCGACGAATGAAATATACAAGCTACGTCCGGGGTCACAAAAAGCCAAGTCAACCTGGATGGAATCCAAAGGACGGGTAGATTGCAACAACTGGCGAAGCTGCTTTGTGGCTCTTGTGGGTCTTTTCTTGTAGAAGCAAATCGTACGTTTACGCCTCACCTGTTTTTCCAGACTTGTTTTTCCGGTATTCGAACGCTTTTCAAGATCCGAATAATGAAGTTCTCCTCGAACTTTTGACAATTGTAGTTGCTAGACTTTTTGGTAAAAGGGAAATTGTTTTTACTGTAAATCGACAGGGACCATTGATGAATGCAACCAGCTCCTCAAAACAATCATGATTTCGCTATTCAACTTTTTCCTAATTAGGAATTTTGAAAAGAGCATGTAATTGCCCAAATCATAGGTTTGCAATTGAAGGGCTCAAACCATTATTCAACATGACTTAATTATTTTTTTTCAGTTTGGCTAGCTAGCTACGAGTTTGTCTCAAATGTTGATATTTCCTATTTCACTCCGGTTAAAATAGCTAATCTGCCATTAAACGGAACCTTAAGGCTCCTGATTCAGTCACCATAAAAGGGGGTTGACCAAGAAATATTTTTATTCTTGATTCGAGTAGATCTTGGTGGGACCTTTTCAACGAATGGTCGGAACCTAGGTCTAAAATGCTCGCATCGTCATCGGGGACCCTGTAAGGTGCCCGTCGACGTCCTCGGGGACCCTACGATCACCTGTGAGGCTTTGACCATGCCGTCCCAATGTGACATTGGCCGCTCGGACAACAGAGAGATGAACACAAAAAAAGCAACAGCGATCTCCGTCTTTCAAAAGACGGAGATCACTGTGGTTTTGGGTACAGAGCGACGCTGTGAAAAAATTAACAGGATGCCCTGTAGTTTTTTCTCGCAGTGAGCTTGCCGGGTTTTGGAAAGGGTTTTAAATGCTCGCATGGTGACGTGTGGCAGACTTCGGGCAACCGGCGGCGGTTCCGGCGCGACCTGCAGCAGTGGGCGGTGTGCGTGCCGGCGGCGTGCGGCCCGAGCGGCGGCCAGGCCGAGCAGGCGGCCAGGCAGTCCAGCGCGGCGCTGGGGAAGGCCGTGGCCGCGGCGGTGGCGCCGCTGGGCCGCGCCCTGGCAGTGGAGCTGCGGCTGCGCCTCCAGCACAGCGACTGCACCGACTTCGACGCCCAGCACGGCCACAGCTTCCAGGCGGCGCTGCGGCAGCGGCCTTCCCTTCTGCTCGTCACGTGAGTGTATGACGTCTTCGTCACATTCACAAACTCACGCTTTAATTCTTACACCAAATATTTTCAACATGTATGATACAAAACATTTAATTTCTCATACGAAGAAATAGTTCACACATTAGAACATATGTAAGCTTCCACCTGAAAACCTTACGAACTATTTAAGCCATACGAAGTAAAGTAGCTTCATATAATTAAGTATTTTGGGCATACGCAAGCTTGGAAAGAAAATAGTGCGTTATTTACTAAGTATTTCTTCGCGTTACTAACTTAACAGTTTGTGCCTTACATTTGCTCAAAATACTTTGTGAGGTTTGAAGGCTGAAGGCCTATGTATGTTTCAAAATAGTGTTATGACAGGTTACACTTTCCCGAGGGGGAAAGCACTCGCGCAATAGTCGGGTCACTCTGTCCGTAATAGCCCGCGTAATAGTGTGCGTAAATAGTAGCGTTTTTTTTGTCTGTTTTCAGCTACATCCCAATAATTTTGAGGCGTCATAGAGCTTAATAGACGTAAAAGTCGGGTCGCAGGTTAAAGAGTGATTCCCCCCTCGCACTTTCCTTTTGCAAGGCCCTAAAATAGTTCGTAAGGCTTTGAGAGCCCTGCAGTAGCGTGTTAGTGTTGGCGTTGTTGGCGCAGATTGTTCATCCTGGTATTCCCCGCCCTCTTGGTGCTGGCGTCGGTGCGGACAGCGGTCCGGGAGTCCAACGGCTGCTGCCCCGCTCCTGAGAAGCAAGGTTTGACTAGAAGCGCAGGTTCATCCTCGTGTTGCACCTTTTTGAACCTACAGTCAAAAGTTTGTACTGTGGATATTTCTTTTCGAGTTTGCAGAGTGTACTCATTCGCCCGTACTCAGTGTACTCACAAGTTCGGGAATAGTCGAAATTCGCTCATTTTTTGCTCGATTCGGATTTGAGTGCCGTTTAAAACCCTCTATAAAGCCTAAAAAGTTAAAAAAATGTGAAATTTATGAGCAAAGTAAGGTGAAATCACCCGTACTCATGTACACGTGTGTACATCAGAACGCTGATTGATTCACCCCTCGGTGAACTCGTGAATACACTCGTATGCAAGTGCGAAAAGTGCATTTTGAGAATTTTCACCTGTTCAATAGGCAAAACTGCCCGTCTCGCTTCCAACAGGCGCGCTGGGGAAGGCCCTGGACTGCTTCGCCGTACAGCGGACCTGGGCGACGCTCAGCCGCCACCAGAACTCCCAGATCCACTCCATCCAGGGCCTGCGCACCTTGGCCATGTTCTGCATCATCCTGGGCCACCGCCTGTTCCACACGATCATCGCAGGCCCGTCGCTCAACCCGAACTACTTGGAAAATGTGAGTCCACACCTGTCTCCAGCCTCACGTGTGACCGTGCGACCTTGATTGCTGAGCGAAGCGAAGCACCCTGTTGGGGAATTTAAACATCCAAATTGTCCCCCCCCCCCCGGATACCTTTAGTTTACTATAGGTATCTTATTATTGATCTTAATCTTATATGTATATATGTATACATAGTCCGAGGTCAATAGTCCGAATTCGATAGTCCGAATTCGATAGTCCAAGCTCTATAGTCCAAGCTCTATAGTCCAAGCTCTATAGTCCAAGCTCCATAGTCCAAGCTCCATAGTCCATATTCTATAGTCCCAGCTCAATAGTCCAAGCTCCATAGTCGTAGCGCCATATGCCAAGCTTCAAAGGCCATTTAGTTTGAGAATAAGGTCTGTCACGAGTAGAGTAAGATCTGTCACGAGCCCGTTAGGTTAGGTTAGGATTGGTTGGACCATTTAGTTTGAGAATATGATCTGTCGAGAGTAGGGAAAGATCTGTCACGAGTAGAGTAAGATCTGTCACGAGCCCGTTAGGTTAGGTTAGGATTGGTTGGACCATTTAGTTTAAAAATATGATCTGTCGAGAGTAGGGAAAGATGTGTCACGAGTAGAGTAAAATCTGTCACGAGCCCGTTAGGTTAAGTTAGGATTAGTTGGACCATTTCGTTTAAAGATCTGTCGACAGTAGGGAAAGATCTGCCACGAGTAGAGTAAGATCTGTCACGAGCCCGTTAGGTTAGGTTAGGATTGGTTGGACCACTTAGTTTGAGAATAAGATCTGTCACGAGTAGAGTAAGATCTGTCACGAGCCCGTTAGGTTAGGTTAGGATTGGTTAGACAATTTAGTTTTAGATTATTAGATAGCTTTCCGTCGATTCAAGGAGTAACCAACCATTGTCGAATCAAAATCCTTCGCGCAAATGCATACTTCCTGACTATCACCCCCCAAAAAGAAAAGAGGCCCATTTTCAAAATAAACAAATCCTAATTTACTACTGATGAAAATGCATTTCCATCTCCAGCTAAATCCAGCTCAGCATCGCTGGCTAGTATTCAACATTCCAAGTTTGGTCTCGTTCTGAAAACAACGCACACGGCAAAAGTACCGCCTGGGATTCCCAGGCGGTGCCTGGAAAATAGGCCCTTTTTTCCATGATGCGCCTGGGAATCCCAGGCGGTACTTTTTCCGTGCAAACAAAAAAGATCCGTTCGAGATTTTGCCTTCCTGAGAAACCGAGAATGCGAAAACACTGTGTCTCTCTCGCACTGATTGGGCGTTGCGTATGGGTGCGAGAGAGACAGAGCGACGAGGCTCTGCTCGGAATCGCCCCGCTGAGCTGATTGATAACCGCGGCGTTCAGACGACTCGCTGTCCGTTGGGTTGCCTACCTCGAGGCGTCCGCGCCCGCGCTAGAGATGACCGCGCCCGAAGAGTTTCCGGAAGGACTTTAAATCAACTGCTTTTTTCCTGTTTTTAACAGATGATACCTTTACTTAAAAACATACCTAAAACTACAACTACAAGACACATAAAGGTGTCAGCTAGCTTTTACTCGAGAGTCCAAAAATCTAACAATATAATGGGGGCTGGCTGCCGGGGCGGGATGGTGCGTCTGGCTGGCTGGCTGGCTGTGCCTGCGGCGCAGCCCGCGCGGAATTTGACAATGGCACTCCCTCCTCGCGCGCGACGGCCTGCGCGCAACATTGACAATCCCTCCCCGCTACAGCGGGGATGCATATTGTGTACATGCATGAACTGATACTATCTTTACCAATGAGCCCATACTACCCCGTAGAAGAAAACGAAACGAGTATCATCTGCTTTCATTAACGTTCGTTGAATGAGATTTTTAGCAGATGATACCTTCACACTTGAAACACGCTTAAAACTACTATACACATGAAGGTGTCAGCGTGCTTTCACTCTCGAGTCCAGAAACCAAGCGCGTATCCTAACAATATAATAGGGGCTGGCTGCCGGGGTGGGCTGGTGTGTCTGGCTGGCGGTGAGGCGCAGCCTGCGCGAAATTCGACAATGGCACCCCTCCTCGCGCGCGACGGCCTGCGCGCAGCATTGACAATCCCCCCCCGCTACAGCGCAGAGGCAGCGAGTGCTAGCAATCAAACGGGCACGTCTCGGCGGTGCAGGCCACGGCACAAAGGACTCAGTTTCTCAATACTATCTTTGGAATGAGCCATGAGCCCATACTACCCCGTAGAAGAAAACCGAACAAGTATCATCTGCTTTCATTAACGTTCGTTGAATGAGATTTTTTTCCTGGCCTCGAAAAAACATTGGAAAGATTCGTCCTGCAAAGTAGGCAAGAAGCCCTGCTTTCTTCTCGTGCGTTACTTTTGATTCCATTAGAATCCAGTTATGTAGCCAGTTGTGTAGCCAGTGGAAGTAATGAAAAACATGTCATGTTGTCATGTCAATGTGTTATGACAATACAAAAGTTGTGCGTGTCATGTCCTTTTCCACTGCAGGACTCTATCACGAATTTTCCTAATTTTTCCGTTTTTTCTTTATGTACGTTTTTTTAACACTTTGAAAGTTTCCGGAAAATTAACGTCTCTAGACCGCACCATGATTTTGGTTTAGTTCTGAGACAGCTTCAGTGTTGCCACATAATTGGGCTAAAATTCTCCCGGTGCACCAGTAAGGATTGCCAACCTTCAGCGTGCCTGCAAGGCAAGTTCTCGCGAGAGCGAGCCTTGCCTACTAGGCTGGCGAAGTTTGGCAAACCTTCCTAGGTGCATCGTGGAAATTTTAGCCTATATATGTGGCAACACTTGGCAGCTCTCATTCCGTTGCAGGGGTACACGAGCACGATGAAAATGGTGGTGGCGAACGGCACCGGCATAGTGGCCATCTTCTTCGTCATCAGCGGCTTCCTGGAGGCGCGCACCATGATGACGCTCAACGCCAAGCTGCCCCGCTTCACCGCCACGTTCCTGCTCTCGCACTACGCCATCCGCTACGTCAGGTGAGCCCCTCGCACAGTGGGCCAGAAGACTGGTGCAGGCGGCCGAAACTCTAGACGCATTGTGAGCTCCAGAGTCGCTAAATGGGACTCGAACTGAATGTGTGACCGTGACCCCATTAATTGATTGCTCTCCGAACGAGGAATCCATTGGTGGGGTCGCACCACCGGGCAACCCGCTCAAAACACGTCTAGAGTTTATGCCGCCGCCGCCGGTCGTCTGACCCACTGTGTCGAGGTGATGTCCGGCCTCTGGGCAGTGTTACTACGTTAATGGACAAAAATTCTTTAAAAGGTTGCCCAATCAAGGCTGAGGTTGGCAAACCCTTCCGACACTTAAAGTTTTTGCCTGGCAGCACTGCGCTTCTGGTCAAACCGGCCTTCGGGTCCTAAAGCAACTCCGTGCCTACAGGCTGGTGCCTGCCCTGGCCGTAGCCCTGGCCATCCAGACGCAGTGGATGCAGTACATGGGATCGGGGCCGCTCTGGGGCCAATTGGTGGGCAAGCTGACGGAGGACTGCCAGCAGAACTGGTGGTCTCACTTGCTCTTCATCAACAACTACCAGGGAACTTTCGTGAGTTTCAGAGTGTTGTGTTCTTCTTCCGGGCCAAACTTTCCTTAAAACCGTGGGAAGTATTTTGAGCATACATTATACAAACTAATATACTTTGTTATGCGAAGAAATAGTTCGTAAATTACGAAGTATTTTCTTTGTTAGCTTACACTGTAAAAAATTCGTGGAGATTTCCTAGACCATTGGGCAAGTAAATTCACTTGCCCCCGCAGGAAAGTGTCATTTTTGGCCCAGTGGGCACTGAAAGGAACATTCCATTGCCCAAACTGGAAATTTAATGTTCATTTGGGGTAGGAAGTTTGGCAGATTGGAGTAGGAAATTTAGCATCCCAAACATGAAACTTAATGTTTGGGCATGGAAAGCATGCGTTGCCTGCCCACAGAAGGAAATTTCGTTCCCCATTGGAACAGGAAAATTCAGACACAGTAACGACCTGGACTCACTTTATTGCCCACACAATTGAAAATCTCTATTGTGGGCAAGGAAGGGCTGCTTGGCTTGCCCACAGCAGGAAATTCCGTGAGGTGAGCAGCTCAAGGAAGAGGCGGCCTCCTACTTGGTGGAGTCACTAGGACTAACGACACTTCAGCTGACAGGCGACGGGGCAGCGTAGTGGTTAGCGAGGCCGGCCTTCCATACAGAGTCTTGGGTTCGACTCGAGGCGGGAACTTTTTTTTTTCTAGCTCAATGTAAGCCTCATGAGACTTGGTGTCTTCCATTGCCCACACACTGAAATTTCAACTGTGGGCAACTGTGGTAGCTTTCGTAGCCCAAATAGGAAATTTCCTTTTTGGGCAAGGGCGGTTGCGTTCGTTGCCCACAGGAGCCTGAAAATTGCTATTCCATAGAATCGCGAATTTCAGTGCCCAAAGCAATATGAAATTTGCAGTCCGGGGACATTAGATAGGGCGTTTTATTGCCCACAGCACGAAATTATTTCCATTTATATTTTTTACAGTGTGTGTACGCTGAAAATACTTTTTTATAACAAACTGCTTTTCGTTGTAGGGCCTAAAATAGTTTGTAAGGTTTTCTCTGTGCTCCTTTGAAGTGCCCTGTCGGCTCCTTTTGGGTGATTGGCGAGTTGCTCATGCCCTCCTTGTTCTGCTGCAGTGCATGGTGCAGACCTGGTTCCTCGCCTCAGTCGTGCAGATGTTCCTGTTGACGCCGCCGCTCATGTGGCTGGTGAGCCGGTGGACGCAGCGCGCGCTGTGGCCGGGCTGCCTGCTGCTGGGGCTGCTGCTGGCCGCCAGCGCCGTCGTGCTCTACGCCACCACCGTGCACCTAGGGTTGTTGCCCACCTGGATCATGTACCCGGAGTGAGTGTCGACCCTTGTCAACGGTCACCACATGAAGTGCTGCCTTGGAGTCCAAGGGAAAGTCTAAGTTTTCAAGAGTTAGCTTAAATTTGCAAGGGGTACTGAAGCCTGAAGTTTCATGGGGTAGCCTACGTCTTCAAGGGGTAGCCTAAATTTTCAAGGAGTAGCCTAAATTTTTCTAGAGGTAGCCCAAATTTTCTAGGGGTAGCCTAGATTATGGAGTACCCTAAATTTTCATGGGGTAGCCTAGATTAAAGGGTTACCCTAAATTTTCAAGGGGTAGCCTAGATTAAAGGGGTTCCCTACATTTTCAAGGGGTAGCCTAGATTAAAGGGTTACCCAAAATTTTCAAGGGGTAGCCTAGATGAAAGGGGTACCCTAAATTTTCAAGGGGTTTGAGTGAGTCTTTAAAGTTGTCCAAATTGACTCTGCTGTAAGGGTAAGAAAAGTTTTAAGGTTAAAGGATGGACGTTCGACAAACGGCTCTGTCAAGCATGAACCTCTCACTGTTACTTAGTGAGGTTGATGGGCAGCACAGGGGGCCCTTAGTCCGCAGAGTGCGGCTCCGAGAAGCCACACCCCGCTGCGCGCGTACGACTGGGTTGACTGTCAACCTTGTGGTACAGTCAGGGTTTTAACCCACCCAATCTACTGCCCGCGCCACCGTCATCGCAGCAGTGCTGGGTATGAAAAGTACACCCTTGTGGAGGTGATCTCTAGATCCTCAACGAAATCAACATAAGAATCTGAGGGAAGAAAACTTGTCAAATGGGTGTCGAGATGTCTCCGCCACAGCGGAGTGTACTTTTTCATACCCTGTACTTTTCTTCCCCAACTCTTCCCCAACCAAGGGATTCTTTTGCAAGCTGTACAACCCAGTCTCCTCCATGCCACGAGAGGCAAGTACGGGCTGTCCTGGGCACGCCAGAAATTTTGGAATTGACTGCTTCGCTGCTTCCAGGGCGCTACGACATGTGAATGTGGCCACCAACCCCACGTTCGTCTACCAGTACGTGCGCACGCACACCAACGCCCTACCCTACGTGGTGGGCCTCCTTGCTGGTGCCCTGTTCTACCTGGCCAACCGAGACAAGTGGCAGCCTTCTAAGGTGAGTTCCTTGCAGGGCACAGCGTTTTTTTCACTTCCAGAAAAAAAGTACAGAAAAAGTACGGAACATGCCTGGTCAATAATTTGCCTGACCATACCGAGTTCCGTACTTTTCTCTGTACTTCCGTCCTATAATTGTACATATTCCGTTCAAAAGTACTGATTTCTTTTACAGTGTTCAATCTATCTAGTGATACGGTAAAACTATCTCTCTGGGATCCCCAGAAAAAAACTGGAATTTCCAGGAAAACCTCCTGGAATTCTCAGGCTTATTGATCATTGGAGGGGAGGGAATCTGGGTCAGTTCTGCCTTATAAATAGGCGAAAATTCTCACGATGCACCAGTGCCGAAAAGGTTACCAACCTCAGCGCCTACTAGGCAATATCTTGGCTTCACTGTCTAGAAATTGCCTGAAGGAAGGCAGAGAGTGAGTTTGGCAACCCTTTCGACACTGGTGCTTCGTGGAAATTTTCGCACACTTACGTGGCAACGCTGGGTACCGGGGAGGTTCTGGTGGAAATGCTATCTTCTCCTAAATAGGTCCCACTGTAAAAATCAGTTAAAAATTTGATGTCTTTCGAAGTAATTATTAAAATTATTCATTGGGGAGGCACATTCTATGCCCTGAACCCAGTCGCAGAGCCTTTTTCTCCTATTTGGGCTATAACTTTAAAAATCTTCTTGCGCATACTATTTTGTTGTAAAAGGTTGGCCTTGACATTTTTCACTTCTTCGATTCATTTTTAAAAGATGCCGGCATGCACAACTCAAAAAGTTACTTACATTTTTATTTGCAAGCTTTTTAATCAAGCATCAAGCATGATCAAAAATGTACAAAATAGACAAATTTAGGGGTCTTTTCAGCTTGAAAAGCGTACAAACAATAATATAGTGGTAATTTTTTGAGCCATGCATGCCGGAATCTTTTGAAAATGAATCAAAGAAGTGAAAAATGTCAAGGTCAACCTTTTAGGACAAAATAGTATGCGCAAGAAGATTTTTAAAGATACAGCCAAAATAGGCTCAAAAAGACTCCTCGACTGGGTTAAGAGCCTGGGATGTGCCTTCAAAAGTCAAATTTTAGTCTCCTCGATGAAAGATTTTATGTTCCGAACAAATTATGACAGTGGGATCCATTTGGAAAATAGCAAGATTTTCACCAGAACCTCCGCTTAAATTTTTCCCTATGATCGGTTCGAGCCAAGGCGCAGGTGGCAGAAACTGTTTTGGAGGACTCCGCTGTGAGACATCACCAATCATATCGACGAATTTATGGGGTGGTCCACATTACCCACTAGTGGTCTATATTATCCGCATTTACGGTATACGGCTAAACTCTGGCTTCCAATTGCAGACGGTGGTGACCTTGTTGTGGCTCGGGATCCCCTTCAGCCTCGCGCTCTCGTTCGCCATCATCTTCATCGGGGTGGTCTTCAACCTGCCCTCGTTCGAGGCGCGGCCGCTGCTGGACGCTCTGTACGGCCCTGCACGGCTGCTGGGGTTCTCGCTGCCTTCGGCGTGGATCATCTTCACGTGCGGCATGGGCCATGGAGGTGAGCCAGTGTTACCAACCCTCGCACAGTGGGCCAGAAGACCGGTGAGGGCGGCCAAAATTCTAGACGCGTTTCGAGCTCTACAGTCACTTAATGGGACTCGAACAGAACGTGTGACCCCACCAATGGATTCCTCGTTCGGAAAGCAATCCATTGGTGGGGTGACACGTCCGGTTGGAGTCCTCTTTAGCGACTAGGTTGTGGCCGCCTCCACCGGTCTTCTGACCCACTGTGCAGGTTACCGACCTCAGCCTGCCTACTAGGCAATACCTGTGGTCTTGGCTCCCGAGGAGCTGCCTGAAGGCTGGCTGAGGTTTAGCGACTATATTGACGATGACGATGGTAAACCTTCGTCGAGAACGTTTGCCTAACGTGGCAACACGGTTTCTAGGCCTGTTCAACAGCCTCCTGACGTGGAGGCCCCTGGTGGTCATGGGCCGCCTCACCTACTCGGTTTACCTCATGCACTTGACCTTCACCATCGTGGCGACGAGCTCCGTACGCCACCCGATATACTTGAGCGACTACACCATAGTGAGCATCGTCATCATCAGCGGTGTTGGGCCTCTACACGCTAAATGTCTTACGAAGAAATTTCCCATAATACGAAGGAAATGGCGCAAGCATAATACGAAGGTGGTTTTTCTTCGAATTACGAAGGTTTTCCTTTGTAACTTACAATGAAAAAGCTGAAAAGATTCGTATTACAGAGGAATATTACTTCGTACTATGCTTGCGCTGAATTCACACATACGAATAATATAGGTCAAATTTCATTGTAAGACATTTAGAGTGTACAGATGTCCCCTGCCACATAAAAAGGCGAAAATTACCACGATGCACCAGTGTCGAAAGGGTTACCAACCTCAGCCTGTCTACTAGGCCGTAATCTTCGGTGTCGAGAATTTGCCTAGTCGGTAGTCTGAGGTCGGCAACCATTTCGACACACTGGTGCAACGTGTGGACTTTTGCCTACTCATGTGGCAACACGGATGAGGAGCAGTCCTGCCATTTTACCTCATTGTGTTGGAATCAGTCCCCCATTTTACACAAAATTCCTTGCCGTGCAGGTAAGCCAAACTTTGTCTGACATCGTCGTCGCCTACGCGGTCGGCTTGGTGCTATACTTCTGCGTCGAGGCTCCCATGATGAACTTGCAGACGATCGCTTTCACCCACTGTAAGTAACACAGTGGGCCAGAAGACCGGTAGAGGCGGCCAAAATCCCGGACGCGTTTTAATCTCCAGAGTCGCTGAATGGGACTCGAACGGAACGTGTGACCCCACCAATGGATACCTCGTTCGGAGAACAGTCCATGGGTGGGGTCACACGTTCGGTTCGAGTCCCATTTAGCGATTCTGGAGCTCAAAACGCGTCCGGGATTTTAGCCGCCTCCGCCCGTCTTCTGGCCCACTGTGTGACGTCGAGCATGTGTTACTGGAAGGCCGCTCGTTCCGCAGGGTTCCGCCGAAAGTCGGGTTCCGCCGGCCAGACCGCGGAGAGGAGCTTGCCAGACCAGCCGGTGCAGCAGGCCCGCAACGTGCCCGCCAACGCCGTCACGACGTCTATGTGATCGCCTTGAAGAATGCTAGCTTTCAAACCAAATTCCTACAAAATGTGCCATGACAAAATAAATACGCTTACTTTCTAAACGCTACGTATTTCTGCGTACTGCCTATATGGCGCGGTTGAAGCCGAGAGGGGACCAACTTCTCCCATTCATTGAACAAAATTTGAACACATTCCTTATTCCGGTGGCAAATGCAAGAATATGACTCTAGCGAAATTTTTTCACTAAAATTCATTTAAAAAAACGAAATTTACTGAAATTTATTCAAATTTGTCGAAGTTCTTCCAAAAATGTAGAAGTTTTTGCCCGTAATTCATCAAAATTCAACTTAAGTTCATTGGATTTGTACACCGAAATTCAAAGTAATTTCCCCGTGGCAAAGGCGCCAGAAATCTCGCACACTTCAGCACATTCCCACAATCATGGAACACTACACACTAAATTACTATGTAGGTTTTTCTGCGCGCCAAGGCACGAAATTTAACATGTACTTCGAATTTGTGCGCGACAATGCACGATTTCGAGCGCAAGTATGCAGAAAATCGTGCGTTGTCGCGCAGAAATTTGTATGTTACGAAGTACATGTTTAATTTCATGCATTGGCGCGCAGAAAAACCTACACAGTAATTTAGTGTGTAAATTAGACCGTGATCACCCGTTGTAAGATATACGTGGATGGTGACCCAACTCTCCACTAATAAAAGCATGACGATAAGGTAAGTAGAACTGTCCGAGGTCTCCTCATTGAAGTCATAGACGATGAACTACTGTCAGCGACGCAACTTTCAAAACCGGGCTTTAACGATGCTCGCACTCCTGGCGCCCACTGTCCATTGATTACACTCTTTTTAGAGCCTTTTTATTACCCCCACCCCGTTTCCAAGAAGAGCAATCTGGCCAATTCGTCAGTCTTCCGGGCATCGCCACGCGCTGCGGCCGATCTAACCAAGCCGTGCTGGACCACAAGCCCGCAGAACTCTAAACGTGCGACGTCGTAGGGATGGCGTGGACTCGTATCGCCGTGGCCGTGGCCGTCGTCGGAATGGTCCTGGCCTGCTGCAGCGCCCAGCTGCCGGGTTCCTTGACGACGGATGGGACCAGCATGACGGCCATCTCGACGACGGCCACCTCACCGTCAGCCACCTCCACGACAGCCACCTTGGCGCAGGGCGCCTTGACGATGGCCACCTCACCGTCGGCCACCTCACCGTCGGCCACCTCACCGTCGGACACCTCACCGACGGCCACCTCGATGACGGCCACCTCGGCAAAGGGCACCTTGACGACGGCCACCTCACCGTCGGCCACCTCACCGTCGGACACCTCACCGACGGCCACCTCGATGACGGCCACCTCGGCAAAGGGCACCTTGACGACGGCCACCTCACCGTCGGCCACCTCACCGACAGCCACCTCACCGACAGCCACCTCGACGACGGTCACGCCACCGTCGACCACCTCGACGACGGCCACCTCACCGTCGGCCACCTCGACGACGGCCACCTCGCCGTCGGACACCGTACCGTCCGACACCTCACCGTCGGCCACCTCGACGACGGCCACCCCGACGACGGCCACCTCGATCGCGGCCTCCCTGGAGTCCGGGGAAGCTCCCCCCGGACACTCGTCGGCCGGCGCGGTCTTCGCGGAGGAGGACGTCTTCGGCCTCGAGTCCGTCTGGGGCCACGGGGTTTCCGGAGGTGAGGCCACCCGAGTTTACTTCCGCACAGTGGACGAGAAGACCGGCGGAGGCGGTCAAAATCCCGGACGCGTTTTGAGCTCCAGAGTCGCTTAATGGGACTCGAACCGAGCGTGTGACCCCACCAATGGATTGGTCTCCGATCGAAGAATCCATCGGTGGGGTCACACGCTCGGTTCGAGTCCACCGGTCTTCTAGGAGTTCCGCCGCGGTCTTCGTTCACACCCGCCCATCCATTTCCAGGCGCGGCCGTTCTGCCCGAGGGAGCCGTCCCGCCGTTCAACCTCCTCGAAGGCGTGCGCCGACACCCGCCCTCCGAGGCGTGCCGGCGAGCCCTGGACGACGTCCTGGAGGCCAGCACGCAGCTCCGGCTGTGGGCCCTCAAAAGTGAGTGAATCTTAACTGGGTTCGTGAAGAACATCAAGACAGGTTGTTGACATTGTCACCTGCACGGTGACCTTTACTACTTCACTTTTGCCAGTGCTCTCGTCGTCCGTGATGCTCCCGGACGCGTTGCTGGCCGCCAACATGTACTCGCTGGGCGACTTCGACGGCTGCCTGTCGGTGCCCGAGGCAGTGTACTGCCTGCTGGACGTGGAGGTCCGCCCGGCCAGGCAGTCCGGGGCGCCCCCTCTGCTGACGCACCCTGGCGACGAAGTGAGCCCCTTCGAGCCGCCGCACGGCCACAACGCCACCCTCTGGGACCTGCTGCTGGTACGCTGTACGCGCCGTGAAGTGCACGTGTTTTGAAAAAGTGCTCCGAGTGGTTCCGGTAACAAATGCGTAGAGTGCATTGCACTGGCGTGCGCAGAGAGGGGGGGGGGGGTCAGGGGGGTCATGACCCCCCCCCTTTTGGCCACTAGACAGCCGCCTGGAAGGTAGGCAAATTTCGTCACTTTCCCCCTGTAAGTAGGCAAAAAGCGTGGCCTGACCCCCCCCCCCCTTTCTAAATTTCTGCGCACGCCACTGGTGCATTGAGGCTATCGGTCAGACAAAATTTTTCGACCGTTTTGCGTCAAGACTTTTTGATCCAATTGTATAATGCCTACACTTTCTGGTCTGGTATAAACTGAGCGATACTTTTTGCTTTGCCTTTGGAGTGGCGAGGTCAGCTCTTTGGATTTTCATTGCCCTGGGCGTGGTGATCCGACAGCGTTTCTGAGTAAACAAAATAAAACCTCAGCTGGCTGCCAAGCTACAGCTCAGGGCAAGGTCAATCTTGGCTTAAGTTGCTGATTGAGGAAAGAAATTCGTGCTTCAAGTGGGATCTTACAATTTTTGAATCATGCGGAGGAGTAGGAGCGTCCAATCTCTGTGTCGCTTGGGATCAAAATCTCTGTCACATCACTGAGAATGAAAGAGTCACCACCATCGCCCTTTCATAGGGTAACGCACGCACCGTTGCCCAAATTTGGGTGACGAGGCCGTGGTGACCAAATTTTGGGCAGTCATAAAATCGTCGCCCAAATTTGGGTAACGTCGTCGGTGACGCCGTAAGGACCCCGATGACGCTCTTCCGGGGCCACCACGATGAACCAATGTGGCGTTGAAGCCTCGGTCATCGTGGTGGCCCCGGAAGGACGCCATCGGGAACCTCACGGCGTCGTCGACGGACGGCGTTACCCAAATTTGGGCGACCAAACGCCTGTTACCAAATTTCGGGTGATGAACTTTTCGTCACCAAAATTTGGGCAACGAAGTTGCATCACCCATTTAACCCTGTAACGGCCAGACTACTCCCCACCGACTAAAACTACTGTTTAGGGTGTTTTTCTTCTTATTGAGGTCCTTGACAAAGCAAAATGCCCTTCCATTCCAGAATCGGATAACTAACAACGAAGTTAGAATTGTATCCATACGTTGGTAGTCCCCGGTGCGGTCCATAAAAACTTTGCATTGCATTGTAGGGGATACCTCTGGTTTCGAAAAAAAAATTGTTAGGAGAATGATAGAACAGAACAAGAAGAAGCCGTAGGAACACTTTGGAAGTCAAAACTTGGATTGCATTGCCCGCAATAGCAGTTTTAATCGACTGTGACCATATGGTCACCTTGGCCGTCCCGGGACCGGCCATTTTTGTAAAAGTACAAGTACGTGTTTATTCACATATCAGCCCACCCTGACACCATTGACGACGAAAACACGAGTTGTAACCATATGGTCACATTGGCCGTTACAGGGTTTTAAAGGGGGATGTTGGTGACCAATTCATTCTCAGTGATCGTAAGCTCTTGGTCAATGATACTCTCTAAACAAAATCGTAGTGAGACCATTCGCACGCAATATGAATTACATTCAAACAAGTCCACTTTTTAACTGACGGCCGTAAGACTTCGTCGAACACGTGGCCTCGGCGGGTTGCCTACTCGCCATCCCATTACCATTGCCATTAAGGCTAGACCATGATCGTATGCCATTTCAGGCCCGCCTGCACTGCAAAACGAGACATGGTCGTCCTTACTAAGGTGACACTTCATCCCGCAGGCCGACGCGCGGTGATGCAAGTGAAAGTGTCGCCGCATACCTAGACAGGCAGACCTAAGCGTTCGACTGCTCAGTGCAAACCTAAAAACCAGGCAGTGTCTCGCTCAGACACTAACTACGACAAGCACTTAAACAAGCACTATTTTTAGTTCAAGTGTCATGTGGCAGACTTCGGGCAACCGGCGGCGGTTCCGGCGCGACCTGCAGCAGTGGGCGGTGTGCGTGCCGGCGGCGTGCGGCCCGAGCGGCGGCCAGGCCGAGCAGGCGGCCAGGCAGTCCAGCGCGGCGCTGGGGAAGGCCGTGGCCGCGGCGGTGGCGCCGCTGGGCCGCGCCCTGGCAGTGGAGCTGCGGCTGCGCCTCCAGCACAGCGACTGCACCGACTTCGACGCCCAGCACGGCAAGCACAGCCAGCGCTCCTTCTGGGCGGCGCTGCGGCAGCGGCCCTCCCTTCTGCTCGTCACGTGAGTGAGAGTGGAGTTGATGGACTTTGACACACCTTCACTGGGAAAACCTTACAAACTATTTTGGGCCTTACAAAGAAAAGTAGTTTGTATAACAAAGTATTTTGAGCATACGTAAGCTTACAAAGAAAATACTTTGTAATTCATGAACTATTTCTTCGTACAACAAAGTATTTTAGTTTGTTATATGTATGCTCAAAATACTTCGTAAGGTTTTAAGAGTGTTAGTGCTGCGAGAAATTCAGGCAAGGTTCCCCGAAACAAGGTTCAGCCTCCATCGCACACTGCAGGCTGCATCGTACGGCCTGCACACCTAAGGCGAGGTTACAAAGCTAGGTGGGTGGGAGGGCGAAAAAAGAAGTACCCCGGGTAGGATTCGAACCTACGACCATTATTTAAGCAGTGTATAACGCGCTGCCAACTGCGCCACCGGGGCTCACATGGAGTGCGGCCATCGCTCGGGGAAGTGTTTTGGGCCTGCTTGTGGGCGCGACCGGGGTGACTCACCCAACGAAGGAGACCGGCGATGCTTGGCGTCGGCGGGAAAAAGGGGGGGGGGGGGGTAGGGGGTGACTACTGATTGTGCCAGACTGCACACTGCGCGGTGGGCTCGATGGCAGAGGTGGCCAAAATCACGGATGCGTTTTGATCGCGTTTTGAGATCCAGAGTCGCTTAGTGGGACTTGAATCGAACTTGTGACCACACCAATGGATTGCTCTCCAAACGAGGAATCCATTCACGGTAAAAACGGTTCCTGGTTTTCCCAGGAACTCCCTGGAAATCGCCTGGGTCTCTGCTATAGGCTTCCCGTTTTAACCGTGCATTAGTGGGGTCGCACGCTTGGTTCGAGGCCCATTTAGCGCCTCCGGAGCTCAAAACGCTTCTAGAATTTTGACCGCCTGCACTGGTCTTCTAGCCCACTGGGCGACGCATGAGCTAGGTCAGCCTTTATCACAGCGCTATCGCAGCCGATCGCTGCCATCCGGAAACAGCAATGCTAGAAAAGTAGTCGAAAAATTGCCGGAACCACACCAGTGTCTTTGGTCGATTTTTTGACTACACTCTTAAAACCTTACGAAGTTTTTTGAGCAAACGGTGTAAACTAATTTACTTCGTTAGTTCGTAAATTACGAAGTATTTTCTTTGTAAGCCTATGTATGCCCAAAATATTTTGTTACCATGAGAAAACCTTACAAACTATTTTGGGCCTTACAAAGAACAGTAGTTTGTATAACTAAGTATTTTGAGCATACATAAGCTTACAAAGAAAATACTTTGTAATTTACGAACTATTTCTTTGTATAACAAAGTATTTTAGTTTGTTATATGTATGCTCAAAATACTTCGTAAGATTTTAAGAGTGTATAACAAGCTGCTTTTCTTTGTAAGACCTAAAATAGTTTTTCAGATTTTCTCAGTGCACCTTGTTGCTGCCAGAAAGGCGGGCAAGATTCCCCCAAACAAGGTTCAGCAGCCATCGCACCTGCCCACTAGAGGCGTGGTTTCAAAGCCAGGTGGGTGGGAGGGCGAAAAAAAGAAGTACCCCGGGTAGGATTCGAACCTACGACCATTATTTAAGCAGTGTATAACGCGCTGCCAACTGCGCCACCGTGGCTCACAGGAGTGCGGCCTTCGCTCGGGGAAGTGTTTTGGGCCCGCTCGTGGGCGCGACCGGGGTGACTCACTCGACGAGAGAGACCGGCGATGCTTGGCGTCGGCGGGAAAAAGGGGGGGGGACGCTCCAGACTGTACACTGCGAGTTTACGTCGCGACGCATGAGCTAGGTCAGCCTTTATCACAACGCTATCGCAGCCGATCGCTGCCACACCGATAGTCATCCGGACACAGTAATGTCAGGAAAGTAGGCAAGTTGCCGGAACGACACCAGTGTCTTTGGTCGATTTTTTGACAACACCCTTAAAACCTTACGAAATATTTTCAGCACACTCTAAATGTCTTACGAAGAAATTTCCCATAATACGAAGGAAATGGCGCAAGCATGATACTAAGGTGGTTTTTCTTCGTATTACGAAGGTTTTTCTTTGTATCTTACAATGAAAAAGCTAAAAAATATTCGTATTACGAAGGAATGTTGCTTTGTATGCTTGCTCCGAATTCACTGTAACATACGAATAACATAGGTCAAATTTCATTGCAAGACATTTAGAGTGTAGTAATAGTATGCACTCTATGCACCCTGTAGGCTATATTTACCCCATACTATGACGTTTGAAACATTTTCACCTCTCCATGGAGAGAATTCTGATTCTTACCGCACTAATTAAGGTGACAATATTTTTCTGATCCCAAGGGGGGCTTTTCTCACCATTGAGTTTTCATAGTGGTTTAGTGAACGAGCAGCAAGATAAGGCGTTAAAATGGACAGTGTGTTTGTTTGGTTTTCGCAGTGCGTTCGTGTTGATGTTCCCTGTCCTCTTGCTGGTGGCTTCGGTGCGCCTCGCGTTCCGGGAGACGGACGACTTCGACCCCTCGTCTGAGAAGCAAGGTGGTGTCCGTCGCACAGTGGGCCAGAAAACCGGTGCCGGCGACCAAAACTCCAGACGCGTTTTCAGCTCCAGAGTCGCTTAACAGGACTCGAACCACTCACACTTAATGTCATGGGACTTTTCTTGTTCCACGATTTATGCAATTTTAAGCACATCCGACGCTGATAAAATTTTGTTCCCGCCTGGCGACACATTTTGTCCGACGCCTGCTGCAAATTGTACTTTCACTACACAATTTGTCCCGCCTGGCGCACTCTAAATGTCTTACGAAGAAATTTCCCATAATACGAAGGAAATGCCGCAAGCATAGTACGAAGGTGGTTTTTCTTCGTATTACGAAGGTTTTTCTTTGTATCTTACAATGAAAAAGCTAAAAAGATTCGTATTGCGAAGGAATATTGCTTCGTATTAGGCTTGCGCCGAATTCACTGTAACTTACGAATAAAGTGGGTCAAAGTTCATTGAAGGACATTTAGAGTGCGGACACAAAATTGCATCACCACCGGATGTGCTTAATTGCATCATTCACGGGACAAACAAGCTAGGGCCCGCCCTTCCGTCGAACCGAGTAGCCAGCTCCGCTTCGCTGCGCCGGCAACTCGGTTCGACAGGGGGCCGGCCCAGCTTGGCCTGCCGGCGGCCTTTTCTCGGGCCTTCGGCCCTCGCATCAGACCCAACTTGGCCAGTCGAAGGCCCGGGCCTTCGGCCCGCTCGCATCACACACACCGTGAGCGGGTAAAGCAAAGTTATCGATGTACCATCGTGACTCAGGCCCGCCCTTCTATTCACAATATGCAAAAGTCCTTACACTTTTTACTCCAACTGTCCTTAGAATATGCCCATTTCATTTGTCTCTTCACCCTCATTTCGAAAATACCCATATTTGCCATGCTACTGCAACTCCTTGCAATAGAGGCACAGCAGGAGCGCAAAACGAGTCCGTCGCACTTTTTCCCATAACTCTTGAAGGCGGGCTCCTGGACCCCCCTTCCGACCCCTCGTTGAAGAGGTCTTGCTGAGACCAATCGAAATCTGCAATAAATTTTTTTAGTCGGTCGACCCCCTTTTTTGAAGATCCTGATGTGACTAATAGACGAAGTCGGGCTCCTGGACCCCCTTTCCGACCCCTCGTTGAAAAGGTCTTGCTGAGACCAATCGAAATCTGCAATAAATTTTTTTAGTCGGTCGACCCCCTTTTTAGAAGATCCTGATCTGGCCAACTTGTAAAAGCGGCCGATGGGGTCGGGACCAGGTCCATTCATCTTGTCTCGTCGCCCCGATTCCAAAAATACCCCTATGTGCCCTGCTAGCACCAATAATGGCGGAAATCCCCCTCCCGCTCATGTAAACCATGATGCATCTGCAGCAGCCCTTGTGCGACCCGGACGGGATTTGCACCACCGGATTATTTGTTTGGACGGTACTCCTGAAGTACCCTCCAAATCTGGTTACTCTAGCTCAACTCCTTCCTTGTACACAGACGCCAACAACAACAACAACAACAACACACAGACACAAAGGCAAATGCATAGGCCCTCCCCCTATTTTTTGAATAGAAGGGCGGGCCAAAAACTTCCCATGTTAGTGTGCACATGTGATCCCACCAATGGATTCTTCGTTCGGAGAGCAATCCATTGGTGGGGTCACTCGTTCGGTTCAAGTCCCATTTAGCGACTCTGGAGCTCAAAACGCGCACGCTTGGTGCAGGACACTGTTCGGTTTGTAGAGTAGAAGCGGAGGTCCATCTTGGCCAAGTACCGTCCCGCTGCTGTCTAACCGTCTTCCCTCTCGACTGCCCCAGGCCTGCTGGGCAAGGCGCTGGACTGCTTCGCCGCGCAGAACACGTGGCGCGCGCTCCGCCGCCACCAGAAGTCCCAGATCCACTGCATCCAGGGCCTGCGCACCATCATCATGCTCTGCGTCATCATCGGCCACAGGATCACCTACTTGTTCGGCGGCCCGCTGCTCAACGCGAACTTCGTGGAGGCGGTGAGCACAGTGGGCCAGAAGACCGGTGGAGGCGGCCAAAATCCCGGACGCGTTTTGAGCTCCAGAGTCCGCTAAACAGGACTCGAACCGAGCGTGTTACTCTACCAATGGATTCCTCGTTCGGAGAGCAATTCATTGGTGGGGTCACACGGACGGTTCGAGTCCCATTTAGCGACTCCGGAGCTCAAAACGCGTCAGGGATTTTGACCGTCACAGTGCGACGTGTGTCGTAGCTGTCCGTCAGAGACCTTGATTTTGCAGTTGCTCCAATACCGGTTTCTGGGACATGCTGGGCGTACTACATTAAAAAACCGAATGTGGCAAATGCTTCCTGATTATCGTCGCCTTTACGGGTGTCCATTCATTGATGAAGCCCAGGCCGCGATCCACAAACGACTGCGGTGAGCGTGGCGCGAGGCTGCCCGTTGGGTTGCCTACCTCACGGCGGTAGTAAAGTAGACTTTGATACGAAGTAGTGGAAGGATTGACTGCCTGCTTCAGTGGCGGGTCAAGGATTTGCCTAGTAGCCAGACCGAGGTTAGCGGCACTAGCAGGCATTGCGAGATTTTTAACGTGGCAACACAGTAAACACTCTACGAAGAATCGCTTCGTAATACACTCGGTAAAAACGGTTCCTGGTTTTCCTAGGAACTCCCTGGAAATCGCCTATGTATCTACCATAGGCTTCCTGGGAAAACCGTTTTTACCGTGCGAAGAAAACACTCTCAGCCGTTTACTGACTATTTCTCATTAGCAGACGTATTTCTGTAAGCAACCATAATACTTAGTATTTAGTTCTTAACTACTTAAAAATTTCTTTGTAATTTACTAAGAAAACGGAAATATCAGTACAGTAATTAGCAATTGCTAAGTAATACTGACAAAAAATACTAAGTATTATGGTTGCTTACAGAAATGCGTAAGCCAATGAGAAAAAGTCAGTAAAAGGCTGAGAGTGAATGAAGGCATTGCAAAATCTACGAAGAAATGCTTCGTATTATGACGCAGAATCCTTCGTAATACAAAGCATTTCTTCATAATACGAAGCAATTCTACAATGCCTTCATTTTCTTCGTAGTTATGAAGCAAATGCACTGTAAATGTATTACGGTGAAAGGCTGCACCAACATATTATGGTGGGGATTTTCTCCATAATACCAACAAAATTCGTCAAAATATCTATAAGGTACAGTGAATTCTCAATGGTATGTTACGAAGTGAGCTGCACCACCACAATATGGAACATTTTCACCATAATATGGAGAATCTTCACTGTGGAACATTTAGAGTGTGCTTCGTAGGCTTTCAAGAGTGTACACTGATTTGGAGGGAACCTCTTCCGCGTTGCAGGCCTACTCGCGCGTGGACAGGATGCTGCTGTTGAACGGCACCGGCTTGGTGTCCACCTTCTTCGTCATCAGCGGCTTCCTGGAGGCGCGGCTGCTCTTGAGGCACTACGCCGAGCACCGCCGCTTCAGCGTCGCGTTCCTGCTGCAGCAGTACGTCAGCCGGTACTTTAGGTGAGAGCGACAGTGACGCCTGGACGGCCATGTCTCGTTTTGCAGTGCAGGCGGGCATGTGTCGGGCCCGAAATGGCATACGATCATGTGTGGTCTGGCCCTTAATGGTAATGGTAATGGCCACAGGAGCTCCCACGGTGCACCACTGTCGAAAGCGTTGCCTACCCACTGGGCAACTTCTTAACAGCGAAGCCAAAGATTCTTTTTCCTGCACTGACAAAACCTTACACACTTAATGTTTAGGTAGAACTTTGTACGTGCAACTTGCACGATTTTGTGCATACGTGTAATTTGCATAATATCATGTGTAAGGATGCATAAATTATTGCAAATTCACGCACAATTTTATGCACGACGGTACACAGGTTTAAAATCATGCACCACCACGTACAAAATATACATAAACATTTAGTAAGTTACAAATTATTTTAGGTCTAACAAAGAAAAGCAGCTTGGTATAACAAAGAAGTTGGAGCATACATAAGCTTACAAAGAAAATATTTCGTAATTTACGAACTTCATACAACAAAGTAAATTAGTTTGTACTATGCATGCTCAAAATACTTCGTAAGGTTTTAAGCGTGTAAGCTAAGGTTGGCAATCCTTTCGAGACTGTTGCATGGTGGGAATTTTAGCCTGCTTATGTGCACCGAGGAAACCTTACAAACTATTTTAGGCCTTTTTCAAAGCAGCTTGTTAAAACGAAGTATTTTGAGCATACATAAGCTTACACAGAAAATACTTCGTAATTGACGAACTATTTCTTCGTATAACAAAGTAAATTAGTTTGAAGCTTGTGGCAGAACTGCTAACGTTGTGTGTGTTTGCAGGCTGCTACCCGCACTCGCCGTTGTGCTGGCCATCCAGACGCAGTGGATGCAGTACATGGGCTCGGGGCCCGTCTGGGGCCAAGTGGCGGGCAGGGTGGTGCGGGACTGCCAGCAGTACTGGTGGACGCACCTCCTCTTCGTCAACAACTACGTCGGCCAGGGGTCCACTGTGAGTCGCCGAATCGCTGCCAAGATTCCCACGAAGCACCAGTGTTGAAAGGGTTGCCAACCACTGCAAGAAAAAGTGTGGATAGTAGAACAAAAGTACAACAAAAACTGTACAATAAAAGTACAACAGGGATTGTAGAAAGTACAGCGAGAATTGTACAAACCACAACGAGCCCTGGACTGCACAGCACTCGTCATGTCGGTTCCATTATACCTTGCATTATACTTTGGACAACAATTGTTGTACTTGAAAAGTACACTAAATTCCTGATATAAAATTTGCCAGAAATTTGTGTACTTCTGTTGTGGTTATTTCCTGCAGTGACCTCAACGTGCTCTCGACATCGCTATCGAGAAGTAAGCCAGTAGCCAGGCTGAGGTTGGCAACCCTTTCGACACTGATGCATAGTGAGAAGTTCTGGCTCGTGCTTCAAACGTTGCCCCAGGCTTCGAACGCCCGGTACATAGGCAACCCATTCTACCCTCGAGCTTGCTCATGCCCTCCTTGTCCTGCTGCAGTGCATGATCCAGACCTGGTTCGCCGCCGCGCTCCTGCAGATGTTCCTGTTGACGCCGCCGCTCATGTGGCTGGTGAGCCGGTGGACGCAGCGCGCGCTGTGGCCGGGCTGCCTGCTGCTGGGGCTGCTGCTGGCCGCCAGCGCCGTCGTGCTCTACGCCACCACCGTGCACCTGGGGCTGGCGCCCACCTATTTGTCGTATCCCCGGTGAGCAGTCCAGCCACAGAAGTAGCAAAAAATCCTCACTATGCATAGTACCAGACCAGACCAGAGTATCAGACCAGACCAAAGTACCTTGACCAGAGACAAGGGTTGCCAACCTCCGCCTGCCCTCGGCGGGGAAGCCAAGATAGCCTAGTAGGGCAGGCTGAGGTTGGCAACCCTTTCGACACTGGTACGTCGTGGGGATTTTTGCCTGTGTGGAAGCCCTAGCGGAGAGTAGTGGTCCTTTGCTTGCAATCTGAACGTTCCCCTTCCTTTGAATGAACTTTCCATCATGATCGTCCTCTCCCTTGCACTCAATAGAGTAGTTGAGCTGCCGGACAAGAAGAAGAAAGGCAGAACAATGCTTTAAGAACATGGCCGCCAGGGGCTTTGTCGGCTGCTAGGCCCAATCAGGAGCCTCCGGCGGCCATGTTCTTGAAGCACTTCTTCCTTTCTCCTTCTTGTCCGGCGTTAGCTCAACTACTCTTTACATTTTTAAGAAAATTGTCCGTTCTGTTGCCTCAAGGATGCTGCTGCGACAGGGCTTCGCCACCAACCCCACGTTCGTGTACCAGTACGTGCTCGCACACACCAACGCCCTGCCCTACGTGGTGGGCCTATTGGCGGGCACCCTGTTGTATCTGGCCGACCTTCGGGCATGGCGGCCTTCCGAGGTGAGTCTTTAGGCGGAATGCTGCCCCCTGCCTCAGAGATAGGCAAAAGCTGCCACGATGCACCAATGTCGAAAGTGTTGCCAACCTCAGCCGGCCTACTTGGCAACTCCACGACAGCGAAGCATTTTCAAGCGCGCAGACTGGGCTTGGTAACCCTTTCGACACTGGTACACTGTGGCAATTTTGCCTACTTCTGGCAGCATTGCGCGGGAATTTTGGAAGGAAGGTACGTGAGTGACCAAATGCTACATTCTCTCTCTCTCCCTCTCCCTCCCTCCCTCCAGCGGGTGGCGACCCGGCTGTGGCTGGGGATCCCCCTCGGCCTGCTGCTCCTGGGTGGCACCATCGTCTCTGCATTCGCCTTCGTGCGGCCCTCGTTCGAGGCCCGGCCGCTGCTGGACGCGGCCTACGGCCCCGCGCGGCTGCTGGGGTTCTCGCTGCCCGCCGCCTGGATCATCTTCACCAGCGCCATGGGCTATGGAGGCGAGTCAGTGTTACCACGTACACTCTCAGACTAGTATTGACTTTTTTCTCTCCATTTTTGACTTTTTATCCTTTGCTGACGTAGTTTTTAAAGCAGCAATAATATGTAGTATTTGCTTTGTAACCATGTACAACAAGACTAAATTGTCATCAATTATTGACTATTTTTAAGTCAATTGCGTACTGACTGTTTGTCAATAGCAATCTGACTTTAAGTCAATACAACGAACGAAATCTTACATAGATATTGAGGAAATAGTACTTTTTGTCACTGTGTAAAATACTCTTTAGTAAAAGATAAATAGTCAATAGTCTGAGAGTGTAAGTAGCAAAACTTCCCTCGACGCGGCAGAATTGAAAGGGTTGCCCACCTAAGCCTCAAGGCGTCTTGGTTTCTGAGGCAAACGCCTAAGGGCGAAGAGTTGTAGAAAACACTGGGAGCAACGCTCCGAAATCGAAGTCTAGATTGCCTAGTTGGGCATGCCGAAGTTAACCAATCAGCAACAGTCTCAGCACGTTACTGACATTTTCCTCATTAATTACGTATTCGTTTATAAAGCAATAATACTTAGTATTTTCTGAGTAAGTATGACTTACTTCCTTTGTAAAATTATGTACCAAACAAAACTGCCAGTACATTATCTAATATTTCCTTAGTAGTTCTTTAAAAAAGGAAAAGTACGTATTATGGTTGCACGACTTGCATAAGTACTGACAAAATGAGCAAAAAGTCAGTAGAACCTCAGTGAGAGTGAACCCTTCCGCGACACTGCTGCGCCGAAGGAATATCTGCCTCTTTTTTGTGGCAACACTGTTCACTGCAACCTCCGACCCGGTGTGGCTGCTGCAGGCGTGTTCGACAGCGTCTTGTCGTGGTCGCCATTGGTGGCGCTGGGCCGCCTGTCCTTCTCGGCGTACTTGGCGCACCTCACCATCATCATCGTGTCTGTGGGCTCCACGCGCCAGCCGGTCTACCTCAGCGACTACACCGTGGTAAGTTGAACTTGAAATCCCAGCGGGCTTCGCGTTCAAACCGCCATTGCGCTCCATGCCCTTAAAATAAATGACTCTTGACCAATACGTTATTTTGGGCTAGGTATACTTTATCACCCAAACTTGGGTGAGGTTTATTTCAACTCCTAAGAAAACCATTCCAACTCGACGGGGCGCGAAGAAAACTATCATAATTCACCTGGGCACTGGGTGACCATCTCAAATCCTATTAAGTTAATTTATCAATCAAATTTGGCTGAACGTAAAGTCTTGCCTCAGGTGATGAGCGTTTCCGAAAAATCATTTCATTGCTCTGTCTTTCTCACACTTCTACGGGACGCCCCAGTGTGACAGAGACGGGGCGTCGAAAAGTTTGTTTCTAAATCAGTCTGCTTTGCTCTACGCAGGTCAGTCAAGGCGTGGCCGATGTCGTCCTCTCCTACGTGGCAGGCCTGGCGCTGTACTTCTGCGTCGAGGCCCCCATGATGAACCTGCAGGCCATCGTCTTCGCCCGGCGTAAGTTGCGCTTTTAGTTTGCCAAGTGGAGTCGCGGTGCTGGGACTCGACCCAGGGACTCGACTCAGAACAGGTGCGGATCCAGGATTTTTCATGGAGAGGGCAGGCAGGCCTGTTTGCCTACTTGGAGAGGCAGGTAGACTTTGGTCTACCTGGCCAACTGAGTACCCATGGAGGGTACCCCCATAAACCCAGTAAAGTCTCCCTTTTTCCCATCCTGGATCCACCCCTGCTTAGCCCAGAGCGATGTCACGTGACCCTTCCCTTTTTTTTGCTCCTCAGTAAACAGTGCGACGGCCTCCACCACCGAGAAGGCCTCGCGGGACGAGCCGGCGAGGGGGAAGGCCCCCGGAGAAGCCCAGGACGCCGACGAAGTGCACGAGGACGCGGCCACCAGGACCTCGACGAGCACCTGAAGCGTCGCTGCAAACCAAGTTCCTATCACGTGTAAACTCCTCGTTCCTAAAAAAAACAGCTGTTATCACATGAGCAGGCAAAAATTCCTACGATGCGCCAGTGTCAAAGGGGTTGCCAACCTCAGCCTGCCCACTGGGCCACGGGCACATAATCGGCAAAGTTACCAAGGCTGTGGTTGGCCCTTTCAACACTAATGCATCGTGGAGTTTTCTTTTTTGCCTGCTCAGGTGTCAGCACTGCTACAAAATGCGCCAAAATAAAGATACGACATGCAACCTTACAACTTGCGTTTTTCTACCACCCCACAACGTACCCCATCGTGTTAGTGCTCTCTTAAGAGAGGTTCGACTTCGGCCCTTCGTCATAATGACGCAAATGAATGAAATGAGCTTCACGGCTTGGTCAATGATAGATCAGTGACATTCGGAGCGATGGTGGTGGTGAATGGCACCGGCATGTACCCCTTGATACCCCCATGGAAGAAACTTCGTCCCCCCCCCCCCTCCTTCCAGCTCTCACCTGCGAGTGACGGGTAAGAGGTTGAGAATGACCACACAAAATGTAGACAGCCAGGGTATATCGGTCCAAAAACCTCCCACTACTTCGACTTGTTTTAAAGCCTATGTTCCCCCTCCCACTTCCCGAGGAAGCAGTCGTGCCAATTAGTCGGACTTCCAGGCATGACAACACGGCGCGGCCGGGCGACCAGTCGAGTCGGAACAGAAGTCACCAGAAGTGCATTCGCTTGACGCCTTTGCGATGGCGTGGACTCGCATCACCGTCGCCGTGGCCGCCGTCGGGATGGTCCTGGCCTGCTGCAGCGCCCAGCTGCCGGAGTCCTTGACGCCGGATGGGGCCAGCACGGTGGACACCCCGACGACGGACTCCGCGACGTCGGCCACCCCAACGACGGCCTTCTTGGAGTCCGGGGTAACTCCCCCCGCACTCTCCTCGGCCGGCGCTGTCTTCGTGGAGGATCTCGTCGGCCTGGAGTCCGTCTGGGGCCACGGTGTTGCCGGAGGTAAGACCGGCTGATTCAGAAAATATTCGAGGTGGTCAAAACCCCGGACGCGTTTTGAGCTCCAGAGTCGCTAAGTGGGACTGGAACCTCACGTGTGACCGCACCAATGGATTGCTCTCCGAACGAGGAATCCATTGGTGGGGTCACACGTTCGGTTCACTGGTCTTCTGGTCTTCGTTGAGACCTGCTCCTCCACTTCCAGGGGTGGCCGTCCTTCCCGAGGAAGCCGTTTCGCGGTTCAACCTCCTTGACGGCGTGCGTCAACACCCGCCCTCCGAGGCGTGCCGGCGAGCCCTCGACGACGTCCTGGAGGCCAGCACGCAGCTCCGGCTGTGGGCCCTCAAAAGTGAGTGAATTACACCACGACTGGTGGTAGACTTTGCCACATGCGCGGTGGCGTACTACTCCCCGGTCATTTCACTTTTGCCAGTGCTCTCGTCGTCCGTGATGCTCCCGGACGCGCTGCTGGCCGCCAACATGTACTCGCTGGGCGACTTCGACGGCTGCCTGTCGGTGCCCGAGGCAGTGTACTGCCTGCTGGACGTGGAGGTCCGCCCGGCCAGGCAGTCCGGGGCGCCCCCTCTGCCGACGCACCCTGGCGACGAAGAGAGCCCCTTCGAGCCGCCGCACGGCCACAACGCCACCCTCTGGGACCTGCTGCAGGTACACTCCACTAGAGGGGGCGAGAGTCTAGACGCGTTTTGAGCTCCAGAGTCGCTAAGTGGGACTTGAACCGAACGTGTGACCCCACCAACGGATTCCTCGTTCGGAGAGCAATCTATCGGTGGGGTCACACGTTCGGTTCGAGTCCCATTCAGGGACTCTGGAGCCCAAACCGCGTTTAGAACTTTGGCCGCCTCCACCGGTCTCCTGGCCCACTGTGCTTGTCGCTAACGCTGCGGCGTGTGGCAGACTTCGGGCAACCGGCGGCGGTTCCGGCGCGACCTGCAGCAGTGGGCGGTGTGCGTGCCGGCGGCGTGCGGCCCGAGCGGCGGCCAGGCCGAGCAGGCGGCCAGGCAGTCCAGCGCGGCGCTGGGGAAGGCCGTGGCCGCGGCGGTGGCGCCGCTGGGCCGCGCCCTGGCAGTGGAGCTGCGGCTGCGCCTCCAGCACAGCGACTGCACCGACTTCGACGCCCAGCACGGCAAGCACAGCCAGCGCTCCTTCTGGGTGGCGCTGCGGCAGCGGCCCTCCCTTCTGCTCGTCACGTGAGTGCCGAGTTGACTTAGACCTGGGCAAACTCTATTCTTGACAGAAGGATCTTTCCGGGTACCTACGCGTACGTTAGAGATGAAAAGTACTGGGAAAGAAAAGTACACCCCTTGTAACAGGTCGGCCGAGGGATGGCTCAAAGTCCAGTCATCCGGCTTCACAAGGGTGTACTTTTCTTGCCCTGTACTTTTTTCCCAACTTACCCCTCAGCAATAGAGTTACCCAAACACCTGTGTTCAGCGGGAGCCCCCACCTAGCGGCCTAGCCCCCTACGCTGTGTGCACACGTTGGCAAAATTTACACACACACACACACCTGTTGGTATGTTAAACCTCACCTGCCTACTGCAACGTTTATTCAACGAATGTGACCCAATCGGGTCACATTGGGATTCGAACCTACACGTCCATCATTTAATCGAAATTTTATCAATATTAATTGACGTTTCTGCGCATTTATAGATTTTCGCTCAACAGCACAGTGGTTTAAAATGCTGTTTTAGGGGGAATAAGTCGATTTTTCAAAACCGTTTTGGAGGCATGCTGGGGGGTGGAAACGGACTATAATACTCCAATATAACGTAAAATAACGTTCATAGATTTTTAAATTGAGCCGCGAGCCACGGGGAAAGGTTTGATTCTAGTATTTTGTATTTTAGGCAATTTCACCTAATTTTCTTCAATTTTTCCGACCGCCATTTTTTCGTGTAGGGCGATGCTATTGGTAAGCTAGCGTCTTTTTCTCTTAGTTTCATCACTAGACAAAGGAAAGCAGCATATAGCACAACATTCCGTTAACGCTTGGGCCCACGGTTGCGGTTTTTTGCTATAAATGCGTTCAAAACCTTTAAAAACTTACTTTTTGAGTTTTGGTCATCTATGTGAGCGTATGTAGCTGAGTTATTGGTGCGAGGAGCTTCCCTTACATGTATATTAACATGCCCTGGCTATAACTTTTCCGCATTCGTCCGCAACACGAAACGCAAGGGGACCAACACCACAAAAACGTGCCAAATTGATTGGTTTTGGGGTTAATCGCTTCTGGTGTGCACCGTTCAAAATGAAAAAAACATTAGTGCGATTGTTTTTCCTTTCAAATATGTTGTTTTTCTTAGTAACAAAATGGTTTAATGCGGCTCAGAAGTTGAAACGAAGTATTTTGAGCATTTTTTAGTTTTGCACTTTTTGTCAATTCTGTCATTTTTCTACTAATTCAGCTATTTTTCTCATTATTTTAGGATTTTAATTCCAATTTTTATCGGACCACCTTTTCCTTTGAACTGGTCTTTGCCTGTTGCCTACAGATGATTCAGTTCAATTCTGGTAGCATTTGGTCGCACGTGACGCATGCTAGGACTTATTCCCCCGAAAATCGCATTTTAAACCAAGTGCTGTGAACAGCCCCAGACCAACTTTTCGCAGGCAACATCGGGCAGGCATTGGTCAAGTACCGGGCAACTATGCGCAACTACGGGCAACTGCCGGGCAACTACGGGCAACTGCCGGGCAACTACGGGCAACTGCCGAGCAACTCGGGGCAACTGCCGGGCAACCACCGGGCAACTCCGAGCAACTCCGAGCAACTCCGAGCAACTGCCGGGCAACTATGGGCAACCACCGGGCAACTGCCGGGCAACTGCCGGGCAACTGCCGGGCAACTGTGCGCCCGAGCACAGCTCGCGGGCAACCGAAGGAAGATGTCGGAAAACATCAGTTCAATAGGTCGGTTTTGACACCCCTTTTTAAAGGCGTAGCAAAAACATGCTAAAATCGACCTATTTTATTCTGCAGATCAGCCATTTCCAGTCTAAACCTATGACATATGGGTATCTTGCTTTTCATCTCGTTGAGATGAATCCATTTCCGACATCAGTTTTTCATTTCCACATATTTGATTTTATAAACTTAGATAACACATAAACTTAGATTCGAAATTATCAAGGATTTGAGCTTCGAACATGCCAAAGTTTCGTATACGTACGGGACACACTCTCAGCCTTTTTCTGACTATGACGGGGCCCCAAGACCCGAAGAATGCCTTCGGGCTGGTCCAACGAATCGGAGAGGGGAAGTGTGTGTGTGTGTGTGGGGGGGGGGGGAATTCGCGGAGGCCTGAGGAGTCCGAGGCAGGTAGCGGTCGGGTTCCTGCACGGTTTATGATACTCTTTTCAGATCCCCTCAAACTTCGTAGTCCGGTATTTTTAGCAGATGATACCTTTACTACTTCAAACATACTTAGAACAATACAAGACACTTAAAGGTGTCAGCTAGCTTTTACTCGAGAGCGGGACAGTGAGTGCTTGATGCACGGTCAACAATGTGCGCGAAACATCGATAACTCCTCCCCCGGGTACAGCGCCAGCGGCACCGGGCGTAAACAATGGCACCGTCTCCTCAGCTCGGCCCCGCGCGGCAAGGACCAACATCGACACTCACTCCCCAATCATATATGTTCTAACCCTTATTTACAATTATATATATAATCACAAACATGCGAGCATACTGTCAAAACTATAGCACACACGACAGTACCAGACGAGTATCATCTGCTTCCATGAACGTTTCTTGAATGGAGATTTTTAGTACTATTGACAGAAAAGAGGTGAAAAATCAAATATGTGGAAATGAAAAACTGATGTCGCAAATGGATTCGTCTCAACGAGATGAAAAGCAAGATACCCATATGTCATAGATTTAGACTCGAAATGGCTGATCTGCAGAATAAAATAGGTCGATTTTAGCATGTTTTTGCTACGCCTTTAAAAAGGGGTGTCAAAACCGACCTATTGAACTGATGTTTTCCGACATCTTCCTTCAGTTGCCCGCGAGCTGTGCTCGGGCGCACAGTTGCCCGGCAGTTGCCCGGCAGTTGCCCGGCAGTTGCCCGGTGGTTGCCCATAGTTGCCCGGCAGTTGCTCGGAGTTGCTCGGAGTTGCTCGGAGTTGCCCGGTGGTTGCGCGGCAGTTGCCCCGAGTTGCTCGGCAGTTGCCCGTAGTTGCCCGGCAGTTGCCCGTAGTTGCGCATAGTTGCCCGGTACTTGACCAATGCCTGCCCGATGTTGCCTACGAAAAGTTGGTCTGGGGAGGAGCTCAACAGATTTTGTTAAGACGAAATAGATTAAAGTGTTCAAGATGAAATAGACAATAGTGTAATTTCTAATTCAAAATAAAAATTTTTAGTACGCTTTGCGCACAATCGTCAATATCTTCTAAAACAAAAAACTCAGTACGAGTCTAAGGGTGCACACTAAATTTTTATGTACAGTTTTGTACGTGGTGATGCATAATTTTAAACTTGTGTGCCGTCGTGCTTAAAATTGTGCGTGAATTTGCATAAATTTATGCACTTTTACGCATAATATTATGCAAATTCCTCGCATGCGCAAAATCGTGCAAGTGGTACGTACGAAATTCTACATAAACATTTAGTGTGTGTGGTGTTCGCAGCGCGTTCCTGCTGGCGTTCCCCGTCCTCTTGCTGGTGGCCTCGGTGCGTTTCGCGCTCCGCGACTCCAACCACCTCGGCCCCTCGTCTGAGAAGCAGGGTGAGTGTCTGTGGGGCCACCTAGAATCGGGGCACAGTGGGCCAGAAGACAGGCGCAGGCGGCCAAAACACAAGGCGAGTTTTGAGCTCCAGAGTCCATAATAGGACTCAAACGTGTGACTCTACCAATGGATCCCTCGTTAGATTGTCCCACGAAAAATTCGATGTTTGAAAATGCAACCTCTCACCCCGGACTTAAGTTCCTTATGTAAAAAAAGGACTCCATGATTTTTTTCAGAATTTTTGAACAGAATTTAGGGGTCGCGCATCGGCAAAAACACGTTTTTTGCCATTTTTCTCGATTTTTTAAGTATGCCCTACCACCACACCACACCCAGCCCCACCCCCTCTCCTTAGTTGGACTTCTAGTGACCCCGTGACGTCGTTCTGTAGGACACCCGTCCCTCCTGGGCCCATCTAGACCCTCAAATCGGCACCCAAAACGATAAAATTAAGTCAAAAATTTCATAAAAAGCTGCAAAAGTTGTGCAAATGTTGTGTTTTTTGATAATCTGACATCACAGAACGATAGAGCGTGAAAAATTACGTAGGGGTGAAGACAAGTGAGCACGCCACACGGTCAGTTTCGGTTACATAAACGTGAGCGAAATAGAACGCCCCCACGAATTTATACATTTCCTGCTCAAAACTTGAAGTGTGGGCTTTTAATCTTTTTGTGGGATGTCAAGAATCATCTGATGATTGTTTTATATGAAATTTGTCGAAATAAAAGCTCTGCATGTAATAAAAGTACAAATATATGGTGCGGGTCGCTGGTGGCGCCTCCTGTCAGTAGTCACGGGAACTACATCGCCGCCTTTTCGCGCGCTTTGCCGCGCACACGAAACGAACCGCCCAGCGCAGCGAGCGTTGTTTTGAATCGTCGTTTGTGTTTTGGGATTTATTGTGTGGAACACGGAAAAAAAGGATTAGTTGTAACAACTAACATGTTGGTTGGAATGCGTCCAAGGAAGATTTTAGTTGCTGCGGCTAAAAGTTTGCTGCAGGAGCAATAATATTAGTTTGACCAACTAACAAATTAAAGTTGGTACAAGGATAAAGTTGATTGTGCCTACAATATGTTAGTTGTGATGACTAACATGAGCGTCACGAGAGAAAATAAGCTTCGTATAAGAAAAACCTTCAGCGGGTATCGATCGCGGAATCTGTGATCTGAGAGCTGCTGAGGCTATCCACTCCGCTGTGGTGAGCTGATAGCGGGAGAATGCCCAATGACGCTGATACAGCAAACTGACCGATGCTAGGACAAGCGACGATTAAATCATCGCCCGAAAGTCGGGTCTCCTAAGAATGTCCGCAGCGCAGTGGGCAGCGTCTCTGATTGACAAACGACAGGTCTTGAGTTCGATTCCCGCCGCAGACTTTTTTCTGTGCGTGGTTTATTTTCTTCCGTGACGCTCGTGTTAATCCTCACAACTAACATAGTGTAGGAATAATCAACTTTATCCTTGAGCCAACTGTAGTTTTTTAGTCGTTTCAACTTATAAATTCGTTCGAGCAGCAAACTTTTAGTTGTGAAAACTAAAATCTTCTTTGGACGCTTTTCAACTAACATGTTAGTTGTCACAACTAATCCTTTTTTTCCGTGAATGATGGCGTCCCGATCGAGAAGAGGGTGCAGGCTCACCTACCTTTGAGCTAAGGAGACAGTCATTCATAGACCAGCTAGACTCTCTGTTTGACGTAGCTCATCATGAAGCTACAAGCCAGTGCAACCTCTTCTTCCGTCGGGACGGCATCATTCCACACAATAAATCGGGGGCGTTCTATTTCGCTCGCGCTTATGTAACCGAAACTGACCGTGTGGCGTGCTCACTTGTCTTCACCTCTACGTAATTTTTCACGCTCTATCGATCTGTGATGTCAGATTATCAAAAAACACAACATTTGCACAACTTTTGCAGCTTTTTATGAAATTTTTGACTTAATTTTATCGTTTTGGGTGCCGATTTGAGGGTCTAGATGGGCCCAGGAGGGACGGGTGTCCTACAGAACGACGTCACGGGGTCACTAGAAGTCCAACTAAGGAGAGGGGGTGGGGCTGGGTGTGGTGTGGTGGTAGGGCATATTTAAAAAATCGAGAAAAATGGCAAAAAACGTGTTTTTGCCGATGCGCGACCTCTAAATTCTGTTCAAAAATTCTGAAAAAAATCATGGGGTCCTTTTTTTACATAAGGAACTTAAGTCCGGGGTGAGAGGTTGCATTTTCAAACATCGAATTTTTCTTGGGACAGTCTATCCCTCGTTCGGTCAGCAATCCATTGGTAAGCTTTTACGTTCGGTTGAGATTCCATCTAGCACACTACAAACCTAACTGTCTTCTAAGTACACACTTACAAATGCGTGCTTGCAAGTACACACTTACAAACGCATGCTTGGCCAAGTACACACTTACAAATGCATGCTTGCAAGTACACACATGCTTGACGCATGGAGTTATACGGCAAGCATGCATTTGTAAGTGTGTACTAAGTAGAAAGTTAGGTTTGCAGTGCAGCTCTGGAGCTGACAATGATTGCACAAACTTCTCCGTGCACTAACCGCCAAATTAACTGTAAGGAATTTGCGGACGTTATGCGCATAGTGCACCCGAGTGCACCTGTCACTGGTGTAAATTTTGTTAGAACGTCAGAAACCGTCGGAAATCCTAATCAAACTTTCGCGCACCTCCGAAAGCTGATAAAACTTTTTTTTGCAATCTGTAGAACTGAGGCCATCAGTATCAGAGTAAGTTTTCTGACTTTCTGACAAATTTTACACGAGTGGTGCAGAGTGAGTGACTTTTCTCATCTCTGCCTATCTCGACTGCCCCAGGCCTGCCGGGCAAGGTGCTGGACTGCTTCGCCGCGCAGAACACGTGGCGCGCGCTCTGCCGCCACCAGAAGTCCCAGATCCACTGCATCCAGGGCTCGCGCACCATCAACATGATCTTCTTGATCGTAGGCCACCGGCTCATCTACCTGTACGGCAGTCCACTACTCAACGCGGACTTCGTGGAGGCGGTAAGCAGACGCACAGTGGGCCAGAGGACCGGCCGAGGCTGACCGAATTCTAGGCGCGTTGAGGTCCAGAGTCGCTAAATGGGACTCGAACCGAACGTGTGACCCCACCAATGGATTGCTCTCCAAACGAGAAATCCATTGGTAGGGTCACACGTTCGGTTTGAGTCCCATTTAGCGACTCTGGAGCTCAAAACGCGTCCGGGACATTGACCTCGCTTCCACCGGTCTTCTGGCCCACAGTGCGACCATGGTGCGACGCGCGTCCAGCTAGTTGTCCGTCAGCGACCTTGATTTCGCAGTCAGTCATGAACCGGTTTGGGGGACATTACGTGCATTCTGCATTTTAAAAACGCATGTGGCTAACTGATTTCTGTCTGGGAGCCGTCGACATGAACGTCTTAGATTTCCACTTGGCGATAACTCTCAAAAGTTATATTTTCTTGCACTGTTTAAAAACCGTCGTCGTGTAGTTTTTCCATTCATTTTCAAAGCAATCTGCAACGAATGATGTCGAGACTGTCCGAGCGAGACCGCACGTTGGACCTTGCGGACGGCGGCAATAATGTAGACTTTTTGAATCGGATGAGTGACAGGATTGGCAGCCAGCCTGCCCGGCAACTTCTCGAGAGCTGGGCGACGATTTTGCCTACTAGCATGCAGTGGCGTGCGCAAGGAGGGGGGTTAATGACCCCCCCCCTTTTGGCCACTAGAGAGCTGCCTGGGAGGTAGGCAAATTGCGTCACTTGTCCCCCTGTAAGTAGGCAAAAAGCATGGCCTGACCCCCCCCCCCTTTTCCAAAATTTCTGCGCACGTCACTGCTAGCATGCTGAGGTTGGCGCCTTTTCCTTTCGGAGCTAATACGCATTGCGGGAAGTTTTTCCTGCTCAATTGGCGACTTTGATTCTGAGGGAAACCTCGAGTAGAGATGAAAATACCCGGAAAGTTTCCAAAAACATTGAAAAAAAAAACAGTGTTTTTTGGGCTGTTTTCCTGCACTGAAGACTCCTTACGGACACCATGTATCCGCAATACGGACGGTTTTGTGCAAGCGTAATTACGGATGGATTTTGTTTGTAATACGGATGATTTCATCCGTAATACAAAGGTTTTCGTGTCCGTAACATACAGACGAAAATATCCGTAAGGTACGGACGAAAAACTTCATCCGTATTACAAGCAAAATCTATCCGTAATTGCAATTGCACAAAAATGTCCGTAATACAGATAGATGAATCCGTAAGAAGTTTAGTGTGTGGCTTTGGAAAATTTGGAAAGATTCAGCCTGCAAAGTAGGCAAAAAGGACGACTTTTCCCCTGAAAGTAGGCAAAAAGCATATCTTTATAGCTTTGTGAAGACGATTCTCAGGGCACTGAAACTATACCCTGTTATGTTGCCTTTTCGTGCGCTTTTTACTGATGTGGCGGTAGTGACTCTAGGGTTGCCAGTGACAGCAAAGGCGTAACGAAACACAAAAGTAGTAGGTTTCATGTTCTCACACCACCATCTATAAAAGTCATTTTTCCTATTTTTCCGATTTCTTTTACTATTCTGCGTTGTTCTTTTAAACTTTTCGGGCTCTTTTTCCGACCCTTTGAAAGCGTCCGGAAGATTTGCATATCTGTTGCATCTCTGCGTTGTGCAGGCCTACTCGCGCGCTGACAGTATGCTCTTGTTGAACGGCGGCGGCTTGGTCGCCAAGTTCTTCGTCATCAGCGGCTTCCTGGAGGCACGGCTGCTCTTGAAGCACTACGCCAAGCACCGCCGCTTCAGCGTCGCTTTCGTGGTGCTGCAGTACGTCAGTCGGTACCTCAGGTAAGCACCGCGAAGATGCACAGTGGGCCAAAAGGCCGTCGGAGGCTGCCAAAATTCTAGAGGTCTTTCCATACAAGATTTACACGGATCCGGGTGACCTTTGACGGTTTCGACCAAAGTTGGCTTGAAGGTAGTCCTAGTGGTAAGGAACATCCTTATACATTTTTAGATCGATATCTAAAGTAGTTTCGTCTTAATCGTCATTCTAATTTTTTACTCCTTAAAAATTTGCAACTTCTTCAAAATGGCTCAAAATGGCCATTTTTTTTTGTCCGATTTTCATGCAGCAGTTCTCCTTACGCCAATTATTGTGACGATGAATCCGAATCTGCCCTCGGATTTGGTCTAGCTTGATTACCAGTGAAGTGAATTGCGAAATACATGAAAATAAAGGTATATTGCACGAGCCTGTCTATCGTGTTGGAAAATCTAAATCTTCACTTTCGAACACGTTCAATTAGTTCGTGGGCTTTCCAAATCTGTATTCGAAAATGGTGGGTGTGGCCTTCCCTTGGGAGCTGTGACCAACTCTGCAATCTACTATACTAGGATTCAGGATGGAAGGCGGCTCGGGAATCTCTGTCGCCTGGATACGCCTCCCTAAAGCCCTACAACTGTGTGAGGCTTTACGCCTCCCCAGCTACCGCAACAACATTTCTGACCTTGCCCGTCCTGGACCCTTCGACTCGACACGGGCCCCCGGACCCCGCCCCTTTGTGCGGGTGGAGCGCGACCCTCGCAGCCGGAACAAAAGGCAGAGAATTGTTGTAAAATGTTAATAACATTTTATGGAGGGTTGTGCAACCGGCATGTCGCTACGACAATTTTGACGGATTTTAGGGAAAGACTATCCAAAACTTAAATTGACTAAAAATAATGACACAGCCTTCAACTTTTTTTCTAATCAAGTTGGTTTATTCTCGTGAGTCCAAATAAACGTTCAGTTTGTAGAAACTTTTAAAATTTTTAAAAGTTTTAAAACGGTCATTATAAATGCAAAGAGACAAAAGGCGGGGACTCTCGACCCACACCACCCTCACCCGGACTTCGGGCCAGAGTCAGGTAGTCGGCCGTCATCTACCACCGCACCACCGCCAGCCGCCTTCCATCCTGAATCCTAGTATATTTTGCTACGCAAAATACACTTTTTTGAGCTTACAAGTTCAGCGTTTGGAGCTGCACGCATGCCGCTTTTACCATTCGAAAGGTAATTTTGAGACGAATCTAACGGTACCAACGAGCTCGTATTCCACTGCTGAGGGTTGACTGACAGCACTGAAAAACCAATTGTTGTGTTCTAATGCGGTTTGGCCCTAGTGCTAACGTTGTATGTGTTTGCAGACTGCTTCCTGTCATAGCCGTGTCGCTAGCCATCCAGACGCAGTGGATGCAGTACATGGGCTCGGGGCCCGTCTGGGGGCAAGTGGCGGGCAGAGTGGTGCGGGACTGCCAGCAGTACTGGTGGACGCACCTCCTCTTCGTCAACAACTACGTCGCCCAGGGGTCGTTTGTGAGTCTCAGAGTCAGAGCTGCCACACAGAATGACCGTAAAAACCCCGAAGCACCAGTGTTGCAACCTCAGGCTGCCCACTGGACAACTCTTTGACAGCAAACAACACTCAAAATTTTCTTAAGGAGAATTTGGCGGAAGTGGACGAAGACATTTGTGCAAACATTTAACGAACTAAATTTGTTAATATTACGAATCTGTTTTGGCTTTTCTCTGTAAGGTACATAGAAAAAGCTTCACATTACGAAAGAAAAATGGCTTCTGTTTGCTCAGTATTGCTCAAAACTGGTGTTCGTTTTCTTCGTAAGACTTTCTGAGTGAAGATGTTTAGAGGCTGGAGTTGACAAACATTTAGAAACTGATGCACGGTGGGAAGTTTTGCCCGCTACTTTGGCAACACTCCGAGTGCTGCTTCGGGCTTTTTACGCCCGGTGGATAGGCAACCCATTCTACCCGCGTGCTTGGCGGGTTGCTCATGCCCTCCTTGTTCTGCTGCAGTGCATGATCCAGACCTGGTTCGCCGCCGCGCTCCTCCATATGTTCCTGTTGACGCCGCCGCTCATGTGGCTGGTGAGCCGGTGGACGCAGCGCGCGCTGTGGCCGGGCTGCCTGCTGCTGGGGCTGCTGCTGGCCGCCAGCGCCGTCGTGCTCTACACCAGCACCGTGCACGTGGGACTGCCGCCCACCTTGCTCGTACTCCCACGGTGAGCAAAAATAGTGGTCAAAAATCTCCAGTATGCACCGATGGCAGCCTGCAGGCAATAGACCTCTTTGCCGCTCCCACGGTCCCCCTCCCTGGACCGCCGTTGCCTAGCAACGCGAGCCTAACAAATCGCAGGTATGCTGCACACCGGACGGCGCGCGGTGGGTGGGTTTTTCGGCCATATTTCCTAAACCGTTCAAGATAGACGTGTACAGTAAGCAAGCCGATTGTAGATCTCTGCTTAAACTACAATCGGCTCGCTTACTATACCCATCTAGCTTTAACGGTTTACGAGATATGACCAGAAAACGCATCCGTCGTGCGTCACGTAGGAGGCAGCATACCGGAGATTTGTTTGGCTAGCGTTGCTAGGCGACGGTGGTCCAGGGAGGGGGACCGTGGGAGCGGCAAAGAGGTCTATATCTTGGCTTTGGTGCCAACCTCAGGCTGCCCAAAAGACAACTTCTCAGCCTGTAGGCAGGCTGAGGTTGGCCACCCTTTCGACGCTGGTGCATGTGGGGACTTCTGCGTATTTGTGTGGAAGCCCTGGCCTGGCGGTGAGTGATGCCATTTCGCGTGCAATCTGAACGCCACCCTTCCTCGGACTTGATATGGATATTTTTGTAAAGCCCCTCTTCCCGGTGCCTTTAGGACCCTGGTGCGACAGGCCTTCGGCATTGATCCTGCGTTCATCTACCAGTACTTGCCCACGCACACCAACGTCGTGCCCTACGTGTTGGGCCTGGTGACGGGCACCCTGTTCTACCTGGCCAACCGAGACAAGTGGCAGCCTTCGAAGGTGGGTCTTGCGCGGGGGTGCACAGTGGGCAAACGTTCCCACGATGCACCAGTGTCCAAAGGGCTGCCAACCTCAGCCAGCCTCCTGGGAAACTTTTCAAGATAGACTAGAAACGAATGAAAATTTAGTCGTTCCAGAACATAGAATGTTATCATGTATCAAAGCAAAACAAATGTTGCTGAATCTAGAAAGCGACAATTTGTCGTAGAAGAACAAAATTTTTGTTATGACCATTAACGATATAATTTGTGTGCAAACAACATCTTTTGCCATAATGTGCTCGATTAAAATTGATGATGAATAATATGGGCATCATCATCTAGTTTGTTTTCACCTTCGTTGCTTTCACTTTAGTGTCAGCATTAACGTTTATTTTATGAAGAACGCGATCAATCATTTGGTGAAGGGGGTATCCAACCTTCACATGCCCCCAAAAAATGACCTATTTCCCTACGCTATTGTAGAAATGTAAGTACAAACACAACGAAGACAAATTTCCGCGTTTCAGGTTTGGTATTTTAGGAAGACTATTTCCCCGAGTTTATGTGGCGACACTTGCACTTGCATCCCCGCGTGTCAGCCTGCGGGATGGCGGGTAGGCAACCCGCCGCGGCCACGTGTGCGGCGGCACGGCCTAGCCCGCATTACCATTACCATTAAGGGCTAGACCACATATGATCGTATGCCATTTCAGGCCCGACTCATGCTCGCCTGCACTGCAAAACGAGACAAGGTCGTCCTTACTTAGGGTGACACGTTATGTCGGCGGAGAAGAACCTCAATTGGCTACATGCTCCCACTCGCAGCATGACCAGTCAGAGCAGCCTGCAGGCGCTAAAGCAGTTGGGAAGGACAATCTCTCTCTCTCTCTCTCTCTCTCTCTCTCTCTCTCTCTCTCTCTCTCTCTCTCTCTCTCTCTCTCTCTCTCTCTCTCTCTGTGTGTGTGTGTGAAAATTTTTTAGTTGTAATTAAAATCTTCCAAATAATTAATACTTAAACAAAAAACTAAAATTCAAAAAAATTCTGCAGCGGACGGCGACTGTGCTGTGGCTGGGGATCCCCCTCTGCCTGCTGCTCATGAGCGTCACCTTGGTCTCCGCGATCGTTTTTTTCCGGCCCTCGTTCGAGGCGCGGCCGCTGCTGGACGCTCTGTACGGCCCTGCGCGGCTGCTGGGGTTCTCGCTGCCCACCGCGTGGATCATCTTCACCTGCGGCTTGGGCTATGGAGGTAAGTTGTTTCAAAAACAAATAATTCCAATGCTTATTGCATTGCACGTTGTTCCTATTTTGATAGTTTAAAATGGAATTCACAGGATTTTAACTTAAATAATTCTAAAAGCCACGTATTGGACTGTGCCAACTGTTTAATAATTCTGAGAAAATTCAAAAATTTCAAACTGCGCATGCGTTACATTCAACACACTAAATTACTATGTAGGTTTTTCTGCGCGCTAATGCACGAAATTAAAAATGCACCTCGTAACGCACGAATTTGTGCGCGACAATGCATGATTTCGTGCGCAAGTATGCAGAAAATCGTGCATTGTCGTGCACAAATTCGTGCGTTAAGGGATGGTGGGGCACCTAGTGACACTTTTTGGATTTCGGCACTCACTCTGATGTGCAAGGAATAAATCTGCTTACACTTCAAAAGGTTGCTTTGATCCTTCCTTGATCGCAAAAGCATGTTGTGGCGTTTTGACAACACGTATTTCTATTATTTACACAGCTTCCCGCAGACCTCTGCACTTGTCACTCGGTGCCCCAGCCCGGGGCACCTAGTGACAGGTCCTATAACTCACATTACCAGCATAGGGCGACGCTCCAGCTAATTGAAAATTATCCGTTTTAGGCCCTTTCAGCTTTTTTAATATCAAACCATTCTGAGCGGCGCCATTTTTTCGCAAGAAACTGCATTTTACTACATTGCTAATCAAATTCAATGTTCTATGAAATTGTCGTACAAATTAGTCTCATTTATGTTTCGTTGTGTGTCAATCGGTGACAATTCACTTTGCTGTTGCCAAATCGATGTTTTGAAACGTTTAAATCGTTGAAATACGGTAAATATAGTGTGTCTGTCACTACCTGCCCCGGGGGCTCTTTTTCGTTCAAAATTTGATATCAAGGAAATGAAATCATATGTTTGAACTGGTTCAGCAAAAACAACTTACTTAAGGTCCCTATTATTGATTAAAAGTGCCAGAATGACCGGCAGTGCCGTTTACTGGAAGAATGGCGAGAAAGCATTTTGTAAAAAAGTCATAAAATCTGTGATTTAGGGTAATTATTTTCTGACTTTTATTCTAGGTGCTAAAATATTTTGTTCAAAGTCTCACTCTCACTTGAACATAATTCCACAGCACAAGACCTTTAGATTGGCCACCTCAAGATGTCTGAAAGTGCCATAGGGGGGCCAGGGCACCCCTGTGTCACTAGGTGCCCCTGTCACTAGGTGCCCCACCCTCCCTTACGAAGTGCATGTTTAATTTCGTGCATTAGCGCGCAGAAAAACCTACATAGTAATTTACTGTGAAAGTACAGTAATCAATAGAAAAGACTTCCTGTCAAACTTGGTTCAATCGCTGTACTCCACTTCGCAACATTTTAAAAATGATGGACTTAAAAGATGTTTCCAATCTCAGAACTCCGTGAACTCCGTTTTTTTTTTAATTGGCGAGTTTAAATTTTGACGGGTGAACATTTGCTGATAACACTGGTGATTTGTTGTTACTTAGATAAAACAGGAGGTTTCAGTTTTGAGGAAGGGCACATTTTTTATTTGAACTATTTTTTGATAGGATCAACGGATCACGTTTTCGTTTGTTGCAAATTTATGTCTTTGTAGTTAACGGGCAATTACCACAGTGAATTTTCAAAAAAATGTTCTTGTATTATGTTAAGTTGGATGTGGAAAGGACTTTTCACTGTTTTAATAGTTAGTTGCTTTTTATTTTGGAATCGAAGAGGAGGGGGAGGAGCGCCAGACCAAAAACAAAAGGCACACTAAATTACTATGTAGGTTTTTCTGCGCGCCAATGCACGAAATTAAATATGCACTTCGTAACGCACGAATTTGTGCGCGACAATGTACGATTTTCTGCATACTTGCGCACGAAATTGTGCATTGTCGCGCACAAATTCTTGCGTTACGAAGTGCATGTTTAATTTCGTGCATTGGCGCGCAGAAAAACCTACATAGTAATTTAGTGTGGGGGTTCATGGGAACCCCTAAAAACAGTGTTACCACCAGTCAGCAGGCTGGGCTTGGCATCCTTTCTGAGAAGTTGCTGCATCGAGGGATTTTGACTACTTATGTGGCAACGGTTGACTTGATTTCTGCATCGCCACTGCAACCTCCAACCCCATGTGGCTGCCGCAGGCGTGTTCGACCGCATTTTCTCGTGGGCGCCCTTGTTGCCGCTGGGCCGCTTGTCCTTCTCGGTGTACTTGATCCACATCACCATCATCGTCGTGACCACAAGCACCACGCGCCAGCCGACCTACGTCAGCGACTACGGCGTGGTGAGTTCATCACAAATGCCCGCCCGTTAAACTTGAAATACCGGCAGCGGACTGAGGGCTGAATAAACCCTCTGCGCTCTTTTTTTGTACACGAAAAGAAAAGGAATTCGTTGACTCAACGAAAAAGAACGTTGGTTTCGAGATAACCGAAAAAAATTGTTGGAGTAGCGAAAAGTTTGTTCGCGTAACGAATAATTCGTTGGTAGACGGACAATCCGTTGGCGGAGCAAGAAAGTTAGTTGGAGAGACAAAATCATGAATTTGTTCCTTTCACGGGTCTTTTGGTTGCGCTAACAGATTTTTAGTTTTACCAACAAAAATTTCGTTACTCAAACAAATTTTTCGTTGCTCAAACAATTTTTTTCGGTTATCACTGTGGCAAAAAGGTACGGAAAATCCTGTTAATTTTTTTGCCAGGATTCTCCGTAGCCCTCTTATCAATATTCTCCGTAGGCTCTTACAGTATTCTCCGTAGGGCCGCACAGTATTCTCTGTAAATCCGCACAGTCTTCTCCGTAGGACCTCGAAGACTGTATAGTCCTACGGAGATCACTGTGCGGTCCTACGGAGAATACTGTGCGGTCCTACAGAAAATACTGTAAGAGCCTACGGAGAATATTGATAAGGGGCCTACGGAGAATTACCACAAGCTGTTTACAGGATTTTCCGTAGCTTTTTGCCACAGTGATCACACTCTCAGCACGTTACTGACTTTTTGCTCATTTTGTCAGTACTTATGCAAGTAATTAGTGCAACCATAATACGTACTTTTCCTTTTTTTAAGAACTACTCAGGAAATATTAAGTAATGTACTGACGAATTGATTTTGTATATAATTTTACAAAGGAAATTTGTCATGATAACATGAAGTTCTATTGCTGTTGTCACAAGTGTTTTCACGAATACCTAATTAATGAGGAAAAAGTCAGTAACGTGCTGAGAGTGCACGGAATCTACGTACTTTTCCGCGCTTTTTCGTTGGGCCTACGAATTCTTTTTTTCCGTCCAAAATCCCCCTGGTGTGCAATTCTAGAGAATTTTTCCATCGCTCTGCCCCTCTCACACCCCTACGCGACGGAGTGCGACAGAGACAGGGTGTCGAATGGTTTTGATCGAAACTCTTCAAAATCATCTGCGTTGCTCCGTGCAGGCTAGTCAAGCCGTTGCCGACGTCGTCATCTCCTACGCGGCAGGCCTGGTGCTGCACCTCTGCGTCGAGGCCCCCATGATGAATGTCCTGGCCATCGCCTTTGCCCGGTGTAAGTTGAGTGAGAATGTCGAATAAGTTTTCAGCTTTCAGAGGTACACGAATTTTGATCAGGACTTGAGACAGGTTTCTGACGTTCTGCCAAAATTTACACGAGTGAGAGCAAACCATTGCCGGGGTCAAAGGTTCGGTTCAAGTCCTATTTACCGACTCGAGCTAAAAACGTCTTAGATTCTTGACCGCCTCCACCCACCTCTGACCCACTGTGGGGGCTGGCCTGGCCTACCACCTAGTGCCAAAGGCGGGGTAGATACCCCAATGTCCCTCATTAACAACCCCCTTCCTAGTTCCGCGCCTGGCCCAGGATGACGTCGTGACCCCCGTTTCCTCCACAGTTATCAGTTCGCCGGGCTCCGCCGCGAGGGTCTCGGGGGCCGTGAGCGGGAAGGCCGCCGGAGAAGCCCAGGACGCCGATGAAATGCACGAGAACGCCTCGACGAGCACCACCAATGTGTGACCAAACCTGCAGCGTGCTGCTAACCAAGTTCCTACCGCGGAGTCCCTCCCAGCTTGTAAACTCCGTGTTTCCATATAACAGTGTTGCCACATGAGTAGGCGAAAATTCCCACGACGCACCAGTGTCGAGAGGATTGCTAGCGAGGGGGTATGCACTCGCGTAATAGTCGGTTCACTCTATCTGTAATAGTACGCGTAATAATACGCGTAATAGTCGCGTAATAGCCAAAATTGTCAAAATTTTATCAATTTTGGTGTGTTTTAGGCCGTTTTTAGCTAAATTCCGATTAATTTGTGGCGTAATAGAGCGTAATAGCGTAATAGTCGGTACACAGGTTCAGAGAGCGCATACCCCCTCGATTGCCCAGTACTGGGCCACATCTTGGGCACATCACCGGCAAGTTGCATAGTCGGCACGCTGAGGTTGGAAACCCTTCCGACACTATTGCATCGCGGGATTTTTTTCCCCTGCTAAGGTGGCAGGACTGCTAAAAAATGAGCCAAAATAAAGATCCGACATGCAACTCTACAGTGTGTGTTATTCAGCCACCCCACGACGTACCCCATCGTGTTTAGTTATGTCACTAGAGTTTCGAACTCGGCTCTTCGTCGGAAGGACGCAGATGAGAAAGAGCTACCAGGGCCTGCTCAATGAGTTATTGGCATTCGGAGCGACGATGCACGGTGAGATGGTGATGGTGAAGAGCACCGGCATAGTGGGCATCTTTTTCATCAGCGGCTTCCTGGAGGCGCGCAGGTGGTCATGATAACGACCCACGCCAAGCTGCCCCGCTTCACCGCCTCGTTCCTGCTCTCGCACTACGCCATCCGCTTCGTCAGGTGAGCCCCTCGCACAGTGGGCCAGAAGACCGGCGCGGGCGGTCAAAATTCTCGACTCGTTTTGAGCTCCAGAGTCGCTAAACAGGTCTCGATCCGAACGTGTGATCCCACCAATGGATTCCTCGTTCAGAGTGCAATCCATTGGTGGGGTCACACGTTCGGTTAGATCCCATTTAGAGACTCTGGAGCTCAAGACGCGTCCGGGCCTTTGACCGCTTTTGCCGGTCTTCTAGCCGGCCTACTGTGAACAACTACCCACATTCATTGTACGAAATTCAAACACTGTCCAAGTGAAGGTGGCATAAACGCCTATGTATAGGCAACACGCGTGGCCTATACGTGACCCCCAGAAATGTCGCACGCTACACTGTTAAAAATAGTTGTTCAGTTACGACAATTGTTCGAACTACATGATTGTCAATGAAGAACTTTGTCGTATTGATTTGGAACGAAATATTTTTCGAATGACAACAATCTTGTTTAGAAACGACATTCTTGCTCAAGCACAATTATTTTTCTTTCAAACCAAAAATGAAAGTATATTGTACTGAAACGATATCTCTGTTTTCCAACGAATAATATTGTGGCACAAAGCCCTGATCCAAACCTACGAGTTACATAGTTTTGAAACAACACTCCAGTTTCAAAGCAAAACTGTCGTCAAAAAGGTAACAAAACAGTGATTCCTGAACGACTTCGACAATTTTGATTTGAAATGACACTTCTCGTTTTGAAATGACAGTTTTTGTTTTGAAACGACATTTCTCGTTTTGGAACGACATTTTTCGTTTTGAAACGACATTTTTCGTTTTGAAACGACATTTTTCGTTTCGGAACGACACTTTTCGTTTTGAAACAACATTTCTCGTTTTGAAACGACATTTTTCGTTTCGGAACGACATTTTTCGTTTTGAAACAACATTTCTCGTTTTGAAACGACATTTCTCGTTTCGGAACGACATATCTCGTTTCGAGACGACATATCTCGTTTCGGGACGAAATTTCTTGTTTTGAAACAATATTTCTCGTTTTGAAACGACATTTCTCGTTACGGAACGACATTTCTCGTTTGGCAACAAAATTTTTCGTTTCAAAATGACATTTTGTAATGAAAATATTAAAAATTGTAGGCGGATGGGTTGTATCTGAACGAAGCTTTCGTTACTGAACAAGAAAGTGGAGTTGACTCGGATCATGATTAGAGTACATAATATGTAACGATATAGGTTGTTATTGAACAACGCTTTTCGTTTCTGAGCGAATTCTGTTGTTGTTAAACGACATGGTTGTGCTAGATTAGAGGGATATGATGACCAGTGAGCACTGATGATGAGATTGTTTATGCACGATAATGAGTTGCTGGTGAACAATGTTTCTCGTAGCAAAGTTATTTTGTTGTTACTGAACAATATAGTTGAAACAAGTGAGAATGTGACAATATTTGAAGCAACAGACACAAATAATTTGTTGTCTGACAAAAATTTCATACAAGAACAACAACAACCGTACAATATGATTGTTTAAAAATAACCTCAGTCGTAATGAAACTCAACGACTTCTAAGTCGTTGAGGAACAACCTTTTTTTTAACAGTGTATAGTCTTGAAGGTTATGTTTCAAGCGATCAAAATTTGTTTGGATGCAGGGTTGCTTAGCAACCCTGGCTCGATTGGTGGCGTCCCGACGGACGAGGAAGTAGTAGGGAGTCGTGGTGGGGGATAGACTTTGCTAGTCTAAGGCACATTCCCACAAACGTTGTACACAAAATTTTCCAGGACCCGTCGCGTTAACAACGGATACCGTGTCCCAACTCTTCTCTAATGAAAACATGGCGATTTTTTTTTAGAGCTAGTAGAACTGTGAGATTTCTCCTCGTTGAAGTCATAGACCGTGAACTGTGGGACAATGAACTTTGAACACCGCGCGCGGCTTTTAAGATGTTTGAAGTGCCCACTGTCCATTGATTACTCGCGAACTCTTGCACGCTAATAACTCTACTTCGACTATATTGTCCCCCTCCCACTTCCCAAGGAAGCAATCGTACCAATTCGTTGGACTTCCAGGCATAACAACACGGCGGGGCCGGGCGACCAGTCGACTGGAAGTCGCCGGAACTGCATGTGCGTGACGTCATCGCGATGGCGTGGACTCGCATCACCGTCGCCCTGGCCGTCGTCGGGATGGTCCTGGCCTGCTGCAGCGCCCAAGTGTCGGAGTCCTCGAGGCCGGGTGCGGCCAGCACAGCGGACATCTTTACGTCGGCCACCTTGACGTCGGCCACCTCACAGTCGGCCAACCACCGTCGGCCACCCCAACGACGGCCTCAGCGACGACGGCCACCTCGACGGCGGCCTTCTTGGAATCCGGGGAAGCTCCTCCCGTACTCTCCTCGGCCGGCGCGGTCTTCGCGGAGGACGTCGTCGGCTTGGAGTCCGCCTGGGGCCACGAAGTTGCCGGGGGTAAGGCCGCTGGATTCATCCTCGTGAGGTGACTTGGACTTCCGCACAGTGGGCCAGAAAACCGGTGGAGGCGGTCAAGATTCTAGACGTGTTTTCAGCTCCAGAATCGCTGAATGGGACTCGAACCGAACGTGTGACCCCACCAGTGGATTGCTCTCCGATCGAAGAATCCATTGGTGGGGTCACACGTTCGGTTCGCGTCCCGTTTAGCGACTCAAGAGCTCAAAACGCGTCTAGAGTTTTAGCCACCGCCACCGATCTTCTGGCCCACTGTTCTCCGCCGCGGCCTTCGTTTGACACCCGCCCCATCCAGGGGTAGCCGTTCTGCCCGAGGAAGCCGTTTCGCGGTTCAACCTCCTTGACGGCGTGCGTCAACACCCGCCCTCCGAGGCGTGCCGGCGAGCCCTCGACGACGTCCTGGAGGCCAGCACGCAGCTCCGGCTGCGGGCCCTCAAAAGTGAGTGAATTACACCATTAAGGCGGGTGGCATACTTTGCCACCTGAGAGGCAGCCGCTCCAACTTCACTCGGTCATTTCCCTTTGGCCAGTGCTCTCGTCGTCCGTGTCGCTCCCGGACGCGCTGCTGGCCGCCAACATGTACTCGCTGGGCGACTTCGACGGCTGCCTGTCGGTGCCCGAGGCAGTGTACTGCCTGCTGGACGTGGAGGTCCGCCCGGCCAGGCAGTCCGGGGCGCCCCCTCTGCCGACGCACCCTGGCGACGAAGTGAGCCCCTTCGAGCCGCCGCACGGCCACAACGCCACCCTCTGGGACCTGCTGCAGGTACACTCCACTAGAGGGGGCCGAAAGTCTAGACGCGTTTTGAGCTCCAGAGTCGCTAAGTGGGCAGTCAGTCAGTTGGCAACCCTTTCGACACTGGTGCACCGTAGATAGGGCAATGCGTGCGAGCTGGGTGGACCCGAGGACCGCTGGAGGCGACCAAAACCTTAGACGCGTTTTCAGCTCCAGAATCGCTTAACGGGACTCGAACTTAACGAGTGACCCCACCAATGGATTCCTCGTTCGGAGAGCAATCCATTGGTGGGGTCACACGTTCGGTTCGAGTTCCATCCAGTGACTCTGGAGCTCAAAACGCGTCTAGAATTTTGGCCGCCTCCACCGGTCTTCTGGCCCACTGTGCTTGTCGCTAACGCTGCGGCGTGTCGCAGACTTCGGGCAACCGGCGGCGGTTCCGGCGCGACCTGCAGCAGTGGGCGGTGTGCGTGCCGGCGGCGTGCGGCCCGAGCGGCGGCCAGGCCGAGCAGGCGGCCAGGCAGTCCAGCGCGGCGCTGGGGAAGGCCGTGGCCGCGGCGGTGGCGCCGCTGGGCCGCGCCCTGGCAGTGGAGCTGCGGCTGCGCCTCCAGCACAGCGACTGCACCGACTTCGACGCCCAGCACGCCCACAGCTTCCAGGCGGCGCTGCGGCAGCGGCCTTCCCTTCTGCTCGTCACGTGAGTGCGGAGTTGACAAAGACCTGGATATACCCTTTTGCGCTCTTTTGTTGACAGAAAGGAAGGCAAGTGAGTTCCCCAAATACCGGTGCTCAGTGGCAGCCTAGCCCCTACCGACCTTTTTCTCAGGTTGGCAAAATTCACACTAGGGACTGAAAGCCTCGCAATATTACCCGTAACATTGGTAAGTAATATTGTAACTTACCGTAAGTTACCTAGAGGCAAAAATTTCGGTAATTTTGGGTAATAACAAGCTAGGGCCCGCCCTTCCGTCGAACCGAGTTGCCAGCTCCGCTGCGCTGCGCCGGCAACTCGGTTCGACAGGGGGCCGGCCCAGCTTGGCCTGCCGGCGGCCTTTCCTCGGGCCTTCGGCCCTCGCATCAGACCCAACTTGGCCAGTCGAAGGCCCGGGCCTTCGGCCCGCTCGCATCACACACACCGTGAGCGGGTAAAGCAAAGTTATCGATGTACCATCGTGACTTAGGCCCGCCCTTCTATTCACAATATGCAATAGTCCTTACACTTTTTACTCCAACTGTCCTTAGAATATGCCCATTTCATTTGTCTCTTCGCCCTCATTCCGAAAATACCCATATTTGCCATGCTACTGCAACTCCTTGCAATAGAGGCACAGCAGGAGCGCAAAACGAGTCCGTCGCACTTTTTCCCATAACTCACGAAGGCGGGCTCCTGGACCCCCCTTCCGACCCCTCGTTGAAGAGGTCTTGCCAAGACCTATCCAAAACTTAAGTAAAAATTTTCAGTCGGTCGACGCCCTTTTTTCAAGATCCTGATGTGACTAATAGACGAAGTCGGGCTCCTGGACCCCCTTTCCGACTCCTCGTTGAAAAGGTCTTGCTCAGACCAATCGAAATCTGCAATAATTTTTTTTAGTCGGTCGACCCCTTTTTTTGAAGATCCTGATCTGGCCAACTTGTAAAAGCGGCCGATGGGGTCGGGACCAGGTCCATTCATCTTGTCTCGTCGCCCCGATTCCAAAAATACCCCTATGTGCCCTGCTAGCACCAATAATGGCGGAAATCCCCCTCCCGCTCATGTAAACCATGATGCACCTGCAGCAGCCCTTGTGCGACGCGGACGGGATTTGCACCACCGGATTATTTGTTTGGACGGTACTCCTGAAGTACCCTCCAAATCTGGTTACTCTAGCTCAACTCCTTCCTTGTACACAGACACCAACAACAACAACAACACACAGACACAAAGGCAAATGCATAGGCCCTCCCCCTATTTTTTGAATAGAAGGGCGGGCCAAAAAACAAAGCAAAATGCACTTAAAACTAGTGATTTCGATCAAAACCGTCGAGGTTTTTCAATAATGACGCTCAACTTAGACCTCCTAATACCCTGCAAAGGTTTTTTGAACGATTTGAGGTGGCTAAAGGTTCGGACTACTTTCTGTCAAAATGACTTCAAGAGGCAAGGGCACGAAATGACCAGCTCTGTGACAACACTTTTTCTGGTTTTCGTACATTTTCTCCATCATAGATCTTTGCAAACTTCTTTCAAGTCAAAGTACCAGCCTAGAATATCTAGAAAATTGAGTACTATAAGATGGTTAATACCAAAGCTACCTCTCAAAACTCACCTTTTTTCAATATTACCAAAAATACCGTAATAATACGGTATAATACCAATCTTATCGTATCTTACGGTAAGGGTTTTTTATTGCCGGTATTTTTAAATCCCTAATTCACACAATCCCCTCTGTCGGTAGCTTCCTAAAATGCGCCTGCCTACTACACTGTTTTTCAACGAATGTGACGTCTTATTGACACGCACGTGACCCAATCGATCACTTGGATTTAAACCAACGACCGCTGTTTACGTTGCGAATAATATGTTTGAACGTGGATCGACATTCAAACGAACGAGACAGGTGTTACGTTTTAACGAAACGTCGCATTCGTTGAAGGACAGTGTTGTTTGGATTTCGCAGCGTGTTCCTACTGGCGTTCCCCGTCCTCTTGCTGGTGGCCTCGGTGCGTTTCGCGTTCCGCGACTCGGACGACTTCGGCCCCTCGTCTGAGAAGCAGGGTGAGTGTCTGTGTGGCCGGGCCAGAAGACCGGCGCAGGCGGCCAAAACACGAGGCGAGTTTTGAGCTCCCGAGTCAATAAACAGGACTCGAACCGAACGCGTGACCCTGCCAATGGATTCCTCGTTCAGAGAGCAATCCATTGGTGGGGTCACACGTTCAGTTCATATCCCTAGGAGTGACTGTGGAGCTCAAAACACGTCCGGGATTTTGACGACCTTTTCTTATTTCAGAATCTCAGCTTTCAGAGGGGCGCGAATTTTGATCAGGCTTTCAGACATGTTCTGACTTACTGACTAAATTTACAGGAGTGGTGTGTTTTCATAGTGTGTCACTTTTCTCATCTCTGCCTGTCTCGACTGCCCCAGGCCTGCCGGGCAAGGTGCTGGACTGCTTCGCCGCGCAAAACACGTGGCGCGCGCTCTGCCGCCACCAGAAGTCCCAGATCCACTGCATCCAGGGCGGGCGCACCATCAACATGATCTTCTTCATCATCGGCCACCGGATCATTTACCTGTACGGCAGCCCACTGCGCAACGCGGACTTCGTGGAGGCGGTGAGCCGAAGCACAGTGGGCCAGAAGTCCGGCGCCTGATGCCAAAACTCTAGACGCTTTTTGAGCTCCAGAGTCGCTGGACAGGACCGGAACCGAACGTGTCACTCCACCCTCCACCAATGGATTCCTCGTTCGGAGAGCAACCCATTGGTGGGGTCACACGGTCGGTTCGAATCCCAATTAGCGACTCTGGAGCGCGCTCTGGAGCTCAAAACGCGTCCGGGATGTTGACCGCCTCCACCGGTCTTCTGGCCCACTGTGCAACGCGCGTCGGTCTAGCTGTCCGTCAGCGAGCTTCATTGCGCAGTCAATTATGAACCAGTTTTCGCGGCAAGGATCACTTCACTGTGGCAAAAAGCTACGGAAAATTCTGTAACCATCTTCTGGTAATTCTCCGTAGCCCCCTTGTCCGGATTCTCCGTAGGCTCTTACAGTATTTTCCGTAGGACCGCACAGTCTTCTCCGTAGGACCTTACAGTGATCTCCGTAGGACTATACAGTCTTCCAGGTCCTACGGAGAAGACTCTGCGGTCCTGCGGAGAATACTGTGCGGCCCTACGGAGAATATTGAAAAGAGGGCTACGGAGAATCCTGGCAAAAAAATTAACAGAATTTTCCGTACCTTTTTGCCAGAGTGTTCTGCATTTAAATTTCGAATGTGGCCACTGTTTTCCGGCTAGAGACCTTTGTTTAATAAAATGGGTGAAAACATTGTATGAGTTTTTCTGGCTCTTAATTCCCCTTAATCTTCGAGGAATCTTTCAACATTAAAAGGACACAAATTACCGAGTCCCAAAGAACAATGCATGATTTTTATACAAATGTAAATGGAACTCCGATTTTCAAATTAAGCTTTATCTTACGGTGTATATAAACGGTGATCACAACCCCCATTTCTGAAAAGAGTAAAACTCTCGAACATTGACGCCCCGTTTCTTGTAAACAATAAGACAACGATGCTCCTTTTTTTTTTTTAAATGTCATTTTTGCACAAAACGGTCGGTAGGTTGATCAAGATTTAGCCCAATCGAAAAGTCATGGTCATTTCCAAACTCCAGTTTTTTCAGAACTCCAGTTTGGAAAGTTATCGCGAAGCGAAAATCGAAAAAGCGTGCAATTTCTGGGATTTCACTGAAAAACCAAACGTGGTCTAGACCACACCACTGGTGTGGTCAATACCACGTTTAGCTACGTTTGCTGTGGTCTAGACCACGTTTAGCTACGTTTGCTGTGGTCTAGACCACGTTTGGCGAGGTCTTTCCATTCAATGACCACACCAAACGCACCAAACGTGGTCTAGGCCACACCAACTGATGTGGTCAAAATGGCACCCATTTGACCACACCAGTTGGTTTTTCAGTGTTCTAGCTCGTCATCGTGTTGTCATTCCATTCATTTTTGAAGCAATCTGCTACCAATGGTGTCGAGACTGCTGGAGGGAGACTGTCCGTTGGGTTGCCTGCCTTGTGGCGTAGACTTTGAATCGGAGCAGTGAAAGGTTTGCCAACCTCAGCCTGCCTGCCAGGCAACTTCTCGAGACCAAGGCCAAGATTTTGTCCTAGGCAGGCTGAGATTGGCAGCCCTTTTGACACTAGTGCGCATTGTGGGAATTTTTTCCTGCTCATGTCGCGACACTGATTCTGAGGGAGCAATCAACTCCTTACGCAGGTCTACTCGCGCTTGGACAGGATGGTGATGTTGAACGGCGGCGGCTTGATCACCACCTTCTTCGTCATCAGCGGCTTCCTGGAGGCGTGGCTGCTCTTGAGGCACTACGCCAAGCACCGCCGCTTCAGCGTCGCGTTCCTGGTGCAGCAGTACGTCAGCCGGTACCTCAGGTGAGCACCGCGACGATACACAGTGGGCCAGAAGACCGGTGGAGGTGGTCAAAATTCTAGTCGCGTTTTGAGCTTCAGAGTTAGGGGACTTGAACCGAAGGTGTGACCCCACCAATGGATTGCTCTTCGAACGAGGAGTCCATTGGTGGGGTCACTTGTTCGGTTCGAGTCCCATTGACTCTGGAGCTTAGAACGCGTCCGGGATTTCGACCCGCTCCACCGGTCTTCTGGCACGGCCACATAAAAGGCAAAAATTCCCACAAGCACCGGTGTTGAAAGGGTTGCCAACCTCAGCCCTTGCCTCAGCCTGTCTACCACGCATTTTCTCTACAGTGAAGCTAAGATGGGCTGAGGTTGGCAACCCTTTCGAAAGCATTTTCACCTACTTGTGGCAACACCGCCCAGTATTGGCTGACAAGCCCGTAGTGCTAACGTTGGCTGTTTTTGCAGACTGCTTCCCGTCACCGCCGTGGTGCTGGCCATCGAGACGCAGTGGATGCAGTACATGGGCTCGGGGCCCGTCTGGGGGCAAGTGGCGGGCAGAGTGGTGCGGGACTGCCAGCAGTACTGGTGGACGCACCTCCTCTTCGTCAACAACTACGTCGCCCAGGGGTCCACGGTGAGTCCCTGAGACAGTGCTGCCACACAGAAAGGCCAAAAATCCCACCAATCACCACTGTCGAACGGGTTGCCAACCTCAGCCTGCCAACTAGGCAACTTCCTGACGGCGTAGCGAAGATATTGCCAAGTGCAGGCTGACCGAAGTTGGCACACCGTCGCAAGCAAATGCAGGGTGGGAGTTTTTCTCTGCTAATGTGGCAACAGGAACACTCTCAATGTTGTGCCGCCCGGGCTTTGAACGCCCGGTGGATAGGCAACCCATTCTACCCGCGTGCTTGGCGGCGCGCTCATGCCCTACCATTACCATTAAGGGCTAGACCACACATGATCGTATGCCAACTTGTTCTGCAGCAGTGCATGATCCAGACCTGGTTCGCCGCCACGCTCCTGCAGATGTTCCTGTTGACGCCGCCGCTCATGTGGCTGGTGAGCCGGTGGACGCAGCGCGCGCTGTGGCCGGGCTGCCTGCTGCTGGGGCTGCTGCTGGCCGCCAGCGCCGTCGTGCTCTACGCCACCACCGTGCTCCTGGGGCTGACACCGATCACGCTCATGTTCCCGCGGTGAGCAGTGGTTGGCAACCCTTTCGACGTTGATGCATGTGGGACTTTTGCCTATTTGTGTGGAAGCCCTGCACTGATAAATATTTGTCATAACTTGGCGACACATTTATCGCTTATTTTTTTAGCGACAAGATTTGTTGTGGAACGAATAGCTGGTTGAACCATGGTCGTACTGTAACTAAAGCATAATTTCACAATGACTAACTTGTAATAACACATCAACAGTCCACCTTCAAAAACAAGTTGTTGACCAACAACAAATGTTGTTAGTCAACGACAAGTATTGTAAGTCGATAAAGATTTTGTGATGTCTGCGACAAGTATTCATTGGGTACTTTTGTCGCTAAATTTAATTTGCATGGTTCTACTTTTAACAATAATAATTCCCCTATGACTTTGAAGCACAAAATAGATGATTATTCACAATATACTTTAATTGAGCAGATAATGGCAATAGATGTTGTTGCCACACAAATTGTATCATTAAGTGTGATAACAAGAATATTATTCTTCAATGACAAATTGTCGCTCACTAAATTCAATGACATTTGTTTCGCTTTGGTTCATGATGAAATTCTATGTTTTGTAACGACTAAATTTCCCTTCATCTGATTGTTTCTGTACGACCATTTTTTTAACAGTGTGAAGGTGACTGATGTTACGCGTTCAATGTTAAAAAATTCCATTCTTTTGTATGGAAAATGTACAGACAAATACAGTACGGAAGTACGGAAAAAAGTACGGAACGTCCGTTTTTGTCCCATAAGAACTCATGTTCCGAAGTAGGACAGGTGTGGACGGTCCACGCAAATTATTGACCAGACAAGTTCCGTAGTTTTTCTATATTTTTTCTCTCAGTGTTCCTCGGACTGTGTAGTATGCATATTATATGTTTGTGAAGACCTTTCTCGTCCGGGTGCCGCCAGGGACCTGGTGCGACAAGGTTTCGCCATGGATCCTACGTTCATCTACCAGTACTTGCCCGCGCAAACCAACGCCGTGCCGTACGTGGTGGGCCTCGTGACGGGCACTCTGTTTTACCTGGCCAACCGAGACAAGTGGCAGCCTTCTAAGGTGGGTCTTGCGCGGAGCATGGCAGTTACCGGGCCCGAACGGCAAAGGATCATTTGTGGTCTAGCCTCTCAAGTTCAAGTTCAAGCGGGGGCGGTGCTGCTCACGATGCGCCAATAGGGTTGCCAACCTCAGCCAGCCTCCTTCACGACAGCGAAGCCAAGATGTTACCTAAGAGGCGGGCTGAGGTTGGCAACCCGTTCGATACTGGAGCATCGTGGGAATTTTCACCTACACTCTAAATGTAGGGTGCCCAGAAACTAGGCGCCTTTATCGCCTGCCCCACTTTTTTGGGTGCCAAATGTCGCCCAGTTTCTGGGCACCCTACATATTGAGTGTACTTACGTGGCTCCATTACTCATCCCGCGTAGCCTTAATTGTAATAAAAGTCCCCTAAATATAAATACTTGTCAAATATCTAAAACAAAATAAGGCTACTTCGTGCCTAAAAAAAGAAGCTAAAAAGAAAACTTTTCTTGCAGCGGACGGCGACTTGGCTGTGGCTGGGCATTCCCCTGGGCCTGCTGCTCCTCAGTGTCACCCTTATTTCCGTGTTCCTCTTTTTCCGGCCCTCGTTCGAGGCCCGGCCGCTGCTGGACGCGGCCTACGGCCCTGCCCGCTGGCTGGGGTTCTCACTGCCTCCGGCGTGGATCCTCTTCGTCTGCGCCATGGGCTACGGAGGTGAGTCAGTGTTACCACCAGTAAATCGAGAAGAGAGTGCCTCGAGTGCCAATCTAAAGCCTGCTCTCAGTAGAGTCCTTAACACGTTCGCTGCGATACGAGAACACGCGTTCTCGTATCGGGCGGGCCAAAACTGCGGTACGAGAACATGCCGCCTCGTATTTTGCCAAATTTTTGTTCTGGCCAGAACGAGGAAACGGGCATAGGTAGGGAAGTGAGACCAAAAAAAATTTGACCTACAAGGTCTCATGAAAATTTGGGCTGTTGTTTCCACGTCCTGCGACCATTTTCGTACGAGAACGGTGTTCTCGTATCGCATTTTGGCCAAACGGCAGTTACGAGAACGGTGTTCTCGTATCGCAGGATGCGCCTTGGCAAAATTTTCTCCGGCGTCTCCCAATGTTGTCTGTCTTTGGTGCGTGGGCGAGGAATTAATTTTTGGCCATGGCGCTTCCTGCGATACGAGAACACCGTTCTCGTAACTGCCGTTTGGCCAAACTGCGGTACGAGAACACGCGTTCTCGTACGAAAATAGTCGCAGGGCGTCGAAACAAAAACCAAAATTTTCGGGAGACCTAGCAGGTCAAAACAAATTTGGTCGCTCTTTCCTACCTGTTTCTGTTTCCCCGTTTTGGCCAGAACAGAAATTTGCTCATACGACCACACGCGTTCTCGTATCGCAGTCTGGGCGCCGCGCACTGGCGGAATGGCCCATACTGCGATACGAGAACACCCGTGGTCGTATTTTTTTTATTTGCTCGTTGGTGTTTTGACCCTATGAGAAGTCGAATGGTATGTGTCCGAGCTTTCTGCGGTCAATAGTTTTCTCTGGGGAGGCCTTCGCAGTCTGGGCTTTTCCGCTCAAAACACCGTCGCAGCGAACGTGTTAAGTCCTTAAGACACTTAAGGACTCTAGCTCTCAGCAGTTACTCGAAATCAAAGCCTAAATATTGTCGAGTGGGCAGGGGGAGCTTGGTATCCTTTCCGCGACATTTGTGCATATCGAGGGAATTTTTTCCTGCTTGGCGATACGGTTTACTTCGTTTCTGCATCCCCACTGCAACCTCCAGCCCGGTGTGGCTGCCTCAGCGCAGTGAGCCAGAGTCACTAGGTTCTCGAACTGCACGTGTGACCCGACCAATCGATAGCTCTTCAAACAAGAAACCGATTTATGGGGTCACACGTTTGGTTCGAGTCCTGTTCAGTGGACTCTGGTCCTCAGAACGCGTCTAGAATTGTGGCTGCCTCCATCGGTCTTCTGGCCCACTGTGCGCAGGCGTGTTCGACCGCATTTTCTCGTGGTCGCCCATGTTGCCGATGGGCCGCCTGTCCTTCTCGGTGTACTTGATCCACTTCACCATCATCATCGTAACAACGAGCACCACGCGCCAGCCGGCCTACCTCAGCGACTACAGCGTGGTGAGTGTCTCACAAATGTCCGCCCGTTAAACTTGAAATGCCAGCAGCGCGGGCTGCGGGTTCGAAACCCCTCAGGGCGCCTCCTGTGTAAAAACACCCACCCCCTGTGAGCGACTACGCAAAGCAGAATCGTTTCATCGCTTTGTCTCTCTCGCACCTGTACCGGGCGCCCCATGAGTGCGACAGAGACGGGGCGTCGAAACGATTCTTTATTTAAATCAATCTGCGTTGCTCCGTGCAGGTTAGTCAAGGCGTGGCCGACATCGTCATCTCCTACGCGGCAGGTCTGGTGCTGCACTTCTGCGTCGAGGCCCCCATGATGAGCCTCCTGTCCATCGCCTTTTCCCGGTGTAAGTTGCGCTTTTTCTTGCCGAGTCGCGGTGCACAGTGGGCCAGAGGACCGGTGGAGGCGGTCAGAACTCTAGACGCGTTTTGAGCTCCAGTGTCGGTAAACGGGACTCGAACCGAACGTGTGACCCCACCAATGGAATGCTCTCCGAACGGGGAATCCATTGGTGGGGTCACACGTTCGGTTCGAGTCCCATTTAGCGACTCTGGAGCTCAAAACGCGTTTAGAGTTTTGTCCGCCTCCACCGGTCTTCTGGCCCACTGTGCGGCGGCGGCCAACCACCTGGAACCCAAGGAGAGGTAAATACACTCTTCCTGGTTCCGCACCTGGCCCAGGATGACGTAGAGTCCTTAAGGGGGGACCCTGGTGAAACTGTCAAGTAGGCTTCAGAATGATCCCAGAAAGTTGAAACTTTGCTTAATTATTAGGTTCATTATGGTGAGTTCCCAAAACAAAATTCAATCCAAAATGTTGAACGGTCTCTGAGAAAAGTGGCTTTTTAGTGTTTTTTAGAGCGCTGGGGGAAAATCTTCCTGCGTCTTTCATTGCGACGGAAAGTCTGGAAAATTTTTTTGGGTTATCCTAAAGATGTATAGAGGAGATTTTAGTGACGGAATTTTCAAATTTAACTTCTGTCCTGAGATATGAGTTTTCAAATTTTAACATTAAAAAAAGTGAATTTTTTCCCCTTTTTTCAAACTTTTAGGTGTGTTTTAAAAAAAGTAGGGCTGATATCAAGATTCCGTCACTAAAATTTGTCGATAAGTCATCAATGAATAGAGTCCATGCAAGACGACTCATGTAGGTGTCAACCAGGAACGCAGGAAGTCTTTCTACGACAAAATTTTTTGTCGACTGAGCAAAGCTGTGAAGTTGAGCGTAGAAGCCAACCACAACTGATCTCAATGTTATTTCCTTCCAAATGATAAAGAAACTACCCACTTAGCTTAAGGGTGTTCAACCTGTTGAATCTGAAACCTTCTATGCACATTTTTATCTATGAACTTCAAAAATACTATTTTTTTGGAATTTTGGCGATTTTTTCACCAGGGTCCCCCCTTAAGGACTCTAGGATGACGTCATGTGACCCCCCTCTTTGCTCCACAGTAAGCAGTTCAACGGGCTCCGCCGAGAGGGTGTCGGGGGCCGTGAGCGGGAAGGCCCCCGGAGAAGCCCAGGACGCCGATGAAGTGCACGACAATGCGGTCAGGACCTCGACGAGCACCACCAACGTGTGACCAACCTGCAGCGTGCTGCAAACCAAGTTCCTACCTCCCACGATGCACCAGTGTCGAAAGGGTTGCCAACCTCATCCTGCCTACTAAGCGGCTGAGGTTGGCAAAACATTCGACATTGATGCATTATGGGATGTTTTGCTTACTCAGGTGGCAACACTGCTACAAAGCGAGCCAAAATAAACATTAGTTCTGCATCCCTACACCGTGTGTTGAGCGTTTGTTCTGCCACCCTGCGACGTTACCCCGCCATTTTAGTGGCCTCTTACGAAAGCTTCGACTTAGTCAAAATGACAGATGAATGAAATGAGTTTCTAGGGCCCGGTCAATGATATCATTGAAATTCGGAGCAAAAATAAGCGCAGTAGCAACAATTTTTTTCCCCCGCCGGGGTTTTTTGGGGGCCTCTGTGCAAGGAAAAATCAGCTCACTTACTATACACTGCAAACCTAACTGTCTACTAAGTACACACTTACAAATGCTTGCTTGCAAGTGCACACTTACAAACGCGTGCTTGGCCAAGTACACACTTACAAATGCATGCTTGCAAGTACACACTTACAAAGGCATGCTTGACGCCGTATAACTCCATGCGTCAAGCATGCGTTTGTAAGTGTGTATACTGTATACTTGCAAGCATGCATTTGTAAGTGTGTACTTGGGCAAGCATGCAATTGTAAGTGTGTACTTGCAAGCATGCATTTGTAAGTGTGCACTTAGTAGACAGTTAGGATTGTAGTGTAACCCTCTAAACTGAGTGTTTCGGACGCAGTGACCGGAAAACCCCGGCCGGAGGGGTCGGGTTCTTTCGTCCGCTTTTGGCCCACCTAGTAGTCTACCTAGTACACTGGTAAAACTAAAGCGTAGTGTTACCCACCGTTTTCAAGCGTAATCAGTTTACGCTTGAAATCAAGCGTAACAGGCTCATCCGCCAAGATTTCCCCTATCTAAATGCACGCGGGAATTTCTAGCCTATGCTTGATTTCAAGCGTAACGTCTTCAAGCGTAACTTTATGCTTGACTCAAGCATAGAGTTACGCTTTAGTTTTACCAGTGTACAACCCGGGCGCGGCCGTCTGCCGTCTGCACGTCTCACGCCGAAGCCAAAGGCGAGAGGAGATCTCCTGACTGATTTCTGGCGATCCAGATGTCTGGCTGTCGGTGGCCGAAACTCCACACTCTGAACGCCTTACGGTGAAAGGCTGCACCAACGTATTTTTCTGCACAAGACTAAAGAAATTCGGGAAAATATCTCGGTCAGGTACAAAGAATTTTTAAAAAGTGGCTTACAAAGTCAGCTGCACCATGTTGATAAAGAGCATTTCCATCATAACATTTGGGGAATCGTCGCTATAAAACTTTTAGAGTACAGCCAGATGGCGCTGAACTGTCACACCGTGAGTGCACTGCAGGACTGCAGGGGAAGCAGAACTCGCTGCCACTCTTTGGTGGGTTCAGGTTCAACCCCCGTTCCCGTAAGCTGGAGTGATGCTCAGCGCATTGCGTCCATTGCGAGTCAGACGCGGGGTCACGGGTTCGAATACCAGTGCGCGCGTGCATGCGGCATTCCACAAAAGAATTATAAATACTCGGCGACACGGTGTAAGGCGGGCCTGACGGCGTGCCCTGACCGCAGCGGGCCGCCCCGCCGCGCCCCACCAGACCGCGCGGGGCTGCGGGGCGGCGCGGCCTGCTCCAGCCACCGCGCTCCGGTCCCCAGACTCTGTCTGACTGACTCGATATCACGTGCTGGGGAAGTTGTCGGTCGCGAATGGCACGTAGGCCGTAGGGATCGGAGCCCCGCAAAGCACTCCGCGTCCGTGTTCGCGCGAGGTTGTGGATGGCGGGGACCATGGGGTGGACTCGGAGCATCGTCGTCGTCGTGCTGGTGCTCGCCGGCTGCAGCGCTCTGCCGCCGCGCACCGAGACCATGGCGCCGGCGCCGCGGCCGGCGTCCTCGACGTCGGCCTCGTCTGAGACGGCCTCCTCGTCGACGGCCTCCTCGATCACGGCCTTCCCGACGACGGAATCCTTGACAACGTCCTCCTCGTCAACGGCGTCCTCCAGGACGCAGTCCTCCTCGGCGTCCTCCACGACGGAGTCCTCCACGGCCTCCTCAACGGAGGCGTCCTCGACGACGGCGGCCTCCATGACGGCGGCCTCCACGACGGCGGCCTCCACGACGGAGTCCTCCACGACGGCAGCCTCCACGACGGCGGCCTCCACGACGGCGGCCTCCACGACGACGTCCTTGACGAAGGTCTCCGCGAAGTCCCGGGTGTCTTCGGCGGCTGCCCCCGGGCTGGGCTCGGCTGGCGCTACCTTCACCGAGGAGGCCTTCACCGCGACCGGCTCCGTCTGGGGGCACGGGGCCGCTGCAGGTCAGTTGCACCGACACACAGTGGGCCAGAAGACCGGTGGAGGCGGCCAAAACTCTGGACGTGTTTTGAGCTCCAGAGTCGCTAGATGGGACTCGAACCGAACTTGTGACCCTACCAATGGATTCCTCGTTCAGACAGCAATCCATTGGTGGGGTCACACGTTCGGTTCGAGTCCTGCTTAGCGGCTCTGGAGCTCAAAACGCGTCTAGAGTTTTGGCCGCCTCCACCGGTCTTCTGGCCCACTGTGCGACATTCGAGTGTTCTTTCTAGAACCCCCTCCTCAAATGTGTGCCATTCGTACATAACAGCGTACTTACCATCGCATTCCCTATGAAGATACGTTGTTCTGTCAGATGGTCACTCAAATCGACTTAATTACTCGAGCCGAAATGCGGAAACATCTCTGACGACATCCGTCCTTTGACACCCAGGCGTTGGTCTTCTTCCCAAGGGCGCCATCCCGCGAGTCGACCTCCTTGACGGACTGCGCGAACACGCGCCCTCGGAAACGTGCCGGAAAGCTCTGGACAAAGTGATCCAGGCCAGAACCCAGCTGCGACTGTGGGCCCTCAAAAGTGAGTCATTGAATTCATAAGAGGCGTTTAAGCGCCTTCCCTTTGTCCTCTACAAAAGGCTTGTATTATTTTACCGCGGACTCGACGGTATTTCGTCAGTGCTCTCGTCGTCCGTGGCGCTCCCGGACGCGCTGCTGGCCGCCAACATGTACTCGCTGGGCGACTTCGACGGCTGCCTGTCGGTGCCCGAGGCAGTGTACTGCCTGCTGGACGTGGAGGTCCGCCCGGCCAGGCAGTCCGGGGCGCCCCCTCTGCCGACGCACCCTGGCGACGAAGTGAGCCCCTTCGAGCCGCCGCACGGCCACAACGCCACCCTCTGGGACCTGCTGCAGGTACACTCCACTAGAGGGGGCCGAAAGTCTAGACGCGTTTTGAGCTCCAGAGTCGCTAAGTGGGCAGTCAGTCAGTTGGTAACCCTTTCGACACTGGTGCACCGTAGATAGGGCAACGCTTGCGAGCTGGGTGGACCCGAGGACCGCTGGAGGCGGCCAAAACCTTAGACGCGTTTTCAGCTCCAGAATCGCTTAACGGGACTCGAACTTAACGAGTGACCCCACCAATGGATTCCTCGTTCGGAGAGCAATCCATTGGTGGGGTCACACGTTCGGTTCGAGTTCCATCCAGTGACTCTGGAGCTCAAAACGCGTCTAGAATTTTGGCCGCCTCCACCGGTCTTCTGGCCCACTGTGCTTGTCGCTAACGCTGCGGCGTGTGGCAGACTTCGGGCAACCGGCGGCGGTTCCGGCGCGACCTGCAGCAGTGGGCGGTGTGCGTGCCGGCGGCGTGCGGCCCGAGCGGCGGCCAGGCCGAGCAGGCGGCCAGGCAGTCCAGCGCGGCGCTGGGGAAGGCCGTGGCCGCGGCGGTGGCGCCGCTGGGCCGCGCCCTGGCAGTGGAGCTGCGGCTGCGCCTCCAGCACAGCGACTGCACCGACTTCGACGCCCAGCACGGCCGGCGCGCGGACACCTTTTGGAAAGCGCTGCACAAGAACCCTTCCTTACAGCTCGGCACGTGAGTAGCCTTGCGGCAGCACTGTGATAACAAGCTGCGCACAAAAATGACGTCATTGTTTTGTTTCGGGGCAGATTGTTCATCCTGGCCTTCCCCGTCCTCGTCCTGGTGGCCTCGGCGCGCACCGCGTTCCGCGAGTTCGGCGCGGACCCCGACGCCGCCGACTGCCGCCCTCTGCCAGAGAAACAGAGTAAGTCCCACACACTAAATGTTTATGTACAATTTTGTACGTGGTGATGCATAATTTTAAACTTGTGTGCCGTCGTGCATAAAATTGTGCGCGAATTTGCATAAATTTATCCATTTTCACGCATAATGTTATGCAAATTCCCCGCATGCACAAAATCGTGCAAGTGGCACGTACAAAATTCTACATAAACATTTTGTGTGCACCAGAGTGGGCCAGAACACTCTAAATGTCTTACGAAGAAATTTCCCATATTACGAAGGAAATGGCGCAAGCATAATACGAAGGTGGTTTTTCTTCGTATTACGAAGGTTTTTCTTTGTATCTTACAGTGAAAAAGCTAAAAAGATTCGTATTACGAAGGAATATTGCTTCGTATTATGTTTGCGCCAAATTCACTGCAACATACGAATAACATGGGTCAAATTTCATTGTAAGACATTTAGAGTGAAGACAGGCGGCCAAAATCTTAGACGCGTTTTGAGCTCCACAGTCGCTAAAGGGGACGCGACCCAAACGTGTGACCCCACCAATGGATCGCTCTGCGACCGAGGGATCCATAGGTGGGGTCACTCGTTAAGTTCGAGTCCCGTTAAGCGATTCTGGAGCTCAAAACGCGTCTAAGGTTTTGGCCGCCTCAAGCGGTCCTCGGGTCCACCCAGCTCGCACGCGTTGCCCTATCTACGGTGCACCAGTGTCGAAAGGGTTGCCAACTGACTGGCTGACTGCCAGGCCTTTTCTTTTCTTGAGAACAAAAGCCGAGGTATTGCCTTGTACGTTGGCTGAGGTTGGCAACCCTTTCGACACTGGTGCATCGTGGGAATTTTGGTCTATTTCTGTGACGACATTTTTGGCTCGCATGGCTCGCCTGGGGTCATATTGTATGTAAGGGCAAGGGTAATCTTGTACTTCTGACCCCGGCAGGCATGCTGGGGCAGTTGATGGACTGCTTCGCGGTGCAGAACACCGGCAGGAAGCTCTGCCGGTTCCAGAGCTCCCAGATCCACTCCATCCAGGGCCTCCGCACCGCCACCATGATCCTCATCGTCTTCGGCCACCACTGCATGTATCTGTTCGGCGGCCCGGTGCTCAACCCAGACTTCTTGGAAACCGTAAGTTGCTGCTTTAGTTTCGTTTTTCATTTATTTCGTTGTTTTTACGGCGGTGCACAGTGGGCCAGAAGGCCGGTGGAGGCGGCCAAAACTCCAGACGCGTTTTGAGCTCCAGAGTCGCTGAACGGGACTCGAACCGAACGTGTGACCCCACCAATGGATTGCTCTCCGAACGAGGATTCTATTGGTGAGGTCACACGTTCGGTTCGAGCCCTATTCAGCGACTCTGGAGCTCAAAACGCGTCTAAAGTTTTGGCCGCCTCCACTGGTCTTCTGGCCCACTGTGTGGTGGGGACAGACCTGCAGCGACTGCGGTCGTTTTCGGAGAAAGATAGTCGTGCCGTTTGTGGCGCTACGTATCTGCCGCATCGCTCCGGCTGTAGGGTTACCTACCCTCAGGCGGCTGCTGGTAGGGTTGCCTACCTCCAGGCGACTTGGATCCAGCTGTAATCTCTCTCGGCAACGAGATTCTTTGGCTCAGTGCTGCCACGTCAAAGGACGAAAATTCATGCGATACACTGCACCACACTGCAAGAAAACGCCTCTACAGAAGTACACCAATTCCTGGCAAATTTTTTATCAGGAATTTATCGGTAGTTTCAAAGTACAACAATTGTTGTACAAAGTACAATGGAACCGGCATGACGAGTGCTGGGCAGTCCACGCCTCGTTGTGGTTTGTGCAATTCTCGTTGTTCTTTATACAATCCCTGTTGTACTTTTACTGTACAGTTTTTGTTGTACTTTTGCTCTACTATTTACACTTTTTCTTGCAGTGCAGTGTTACCAACCTCACCTCAGCCTGCCTACTAAGGAAGTTACTTAGTAGGCAGACTTACGCTTCAAACTGAAGTGTGTACTCAGTTTGCATCTACAGATGTATACTTTGCAAGTACACATCTACAGATGCATACTCAGCTGAGTACACATCTGCAGATGCATACTTGGAGAGGTCAGGTATGCATCTGTAGGTGTGTACTCAGCCAAGTATGCATCTGTAGATGTGCACTTGCAAGTATACATCTGTAGATGCATACTGAGTACACACTTCAGTTTGTAGGGTAGGTTGGCAACCCTATAGACACTGAAGCATGGTGGGATTTTGGCCTTCTTGTGTGGCAACCCTGCGTTGGCCGCGTTGCAGGCGTACACGCGCCTGATGAGGATGCTGGCGGTGAACGGCACCGGCGTGGTGGCCACCTTCTTCGTCATCAGCGGCTTCCTGGAGGCGCGCCTCTCCATGATGCACATCGGCAAGCTGCGCCGCTTCAACCTCATGGTGGTGCTCGCGCACTACGCCATCCGCTACTTCAGGTGAGCACATCGCACAGTGGGCCAGAAGACCGGTGCAGGCGGCCAAAACCCCGGACGCGTTTTGAGCTCCAGAGTCGCTAAATCACTGAGAATGAAAGAGTCATGATCATGACTAAAATTTTGGGTGAGGAATTCTTTATTACCCAAATTTGGGTGAGGAAAGTTTCCTCACCCAAATTTGGGTCATAATACTATGGAGCTAAATAGGGAGCTGATACACCCTTCCTCACCCAAAATTGGGCGAGGAAGCTTTCCTCACCCAAAATTGGGCGAGGAAACTTTCCTCACCCAAATTGGGCGAGGAAACATTCCTCGCCCAAATTTAGGTGAGAAAGTAAACCTCGCCCAAAATTGGGTATTGATCATGACTTTTTCATTCTCAGTGATGGGACTCGAACCGAACGTGTGACCCCACCAATGGATTGCTCTTCGAACGAGGAATCCATTGGTGGGGTCACACGTTCGGTTCGCGTCCTGTTTAGCGACCAGGAGCTCAAAACGCGTCTAGAGTTTTGACCGCCACCAGCGGCAAACATCCCCACTGAGCACCAGTGTCGAAAGGGTTGCCAATCTCAGGCTGCTCACTGGGTAATACCTCGGCTTCGCCGGGCTTCGTTGTCGAGGAGTTGCCAAGCCCGCAGGCTGAGGTTGGCAACCCTTTCGACACTCATGCGTCATGGGAGTTTTTGACTGTGGCAACACTTCTCGGTACCAACAAGCGTTCCTTCCTCAGGCTGTTGCCTGCGCTGGCCGTGGTGCTGGCCGTCGAGACGCAGTGGATGCAGTACATGGGCTCGGGGCCGTTCTGGGGGCAAGTGGTGGGCAGGGTGGTGCGGGACTGCCAGCAGTACTGGTGGACGCACCTCCTCTTCGTCAACAACTACGTCGCCCAGGGGTCCACGGTGAGTCAGCTGAGTCAAAGCGATGGCCAGAGTGACTTAGAGTGGCGCTGGCATCGCAGGGAAGACCGAAACCGGGAGTGGAGGCTTGTAGTCGCTTGAGGCTCTTCCCCGCCGGGATAAAGTGTCACCTTAGTAAGGACGGCCATGTCTCGTTTTGCAGTGCAGGCGGGCATGTGTCGGGCCCGAAATGGCATACGATCATGTGTGGTCTAGCCCTTGATGGTAGTGGTAATGGTGCACGTCCACTGCACTGTGAGGTTGGCTGCCTACCTTGCCGGGCGCTTCAGTCTGCTTAAAATCTGCCATACTTCCGCTCTTTTCGTGGCGGTCGATGTATGTTCCCGGTACGAGAGGAGATTTTCCCCCCAACTGTGCACGCCTTTTGAGGTGTCGAAGCTCCACTTTCGCATTTGTGGCGTTTCCAAGCTTTCCCCAGGGGGAAAAACGCTCTCGATACGTGCATTCGAGAGCACAATTCGAGCACAGTTTTTTGGTAGTGGTCCCAGTTTTTGTGCTCGGCTTGGTAAGTTCGGCCAACAACATGGACACAAAACGCAAATCCCCTGGCCTGCAGTCTTATGCAGCGGCGTCCCTATTTGTGCACAGTTATTTTGGAGGGTTAATTTGGAGAGCACAATTAATTTCTGATTTGATAACGTTGTTTTGGAGGGTGTTGTGTTTATGGGTGAGGCGAGTGTGAAGTGAGCCTCACCCGTGTTTTCTGATTTTCTATATTTTTCTATCTGAGCACAGCCCTTGTCTCTACGCGCAGTTGAGAGCACAATTATAGCACAGTTTTTTGAGCATAGTCTTATCAGTTGTGCTTACTTGGGTGAGGGCAGCGTTACGTGAGCCTCACCCAAAACGTTGCACTCGATTTCCACCGACTCGTTCAAGCACAAATGAAATCTGTGGCATATTCTGAGAGCACAGTTCGAGCACAGTTTCTTGAGCGTAGTTTTTTAAACTGTGCTCAAATGGGTGAGGCCATCTTCACGGAGGTCCGCGAGTCAGCCTGCGGGATGGCGGGTAGGCAACCCGCCGAGGACACGTGTGCGGCGGCACGGCCTAGCCCGCAGCCTGCAGGCGCTAAAGCAGTGGGGAAGGTCAATCTCTCTCTCTCTCTCTCTCTCTCTCTCTCTCTCTCTCTCTCTCTCTCTCTCTCTCTCTCTCTCTCTCTCTATGAAACTAAACTTGTGTGTGAACTGCTTGATCTCTGTGGTTACGTCTCTGTCCCTTTTGAAGCCACCTTTAAACAGCATAATTGTAAATCCATACTAGATGTGATTGCAAGCAACTGTAATGATCATGTGGTTGAGTACGGCCAATGCGTGGCGCCAGGCTTCTCGGCTCATGACCTTATATACTGTGTGTTGGACTTTAAAGTTCAAGCAGTCAAAAATAAAAAAATAACATATAGGAACTTTAAGAAAATAGATAATGCTGCTTTAGTTGATGATGCTAAAACAATGCCTTGTGAACAATGAATGTGCAACCTGTGATGAAAAAGTTGAAATGTTAAATGATTTCTTGTTACAGCTTCTAAATAAACATGCACCCTTAAGGACTGTAAATGCTAAAAAAGATGATGCACCATGGATGACTGATGATTTAAGGGTTATGATCGATGAAAGAGACAGAGCCAGGGCCAAAGCTATTAAAACTAATAACCCGCTTGATTATGAAATGCATAAGGACTTAAAAAACAAAACTAAGCAGCAATTACGCAATGCTAAAATACGGCATTACCACACAATCTTTGACACAAATGAATCTCCAAAGCAAATTTGGGCAGCCATTCGAAAGCTGGGTATAGGCAAGTCCAAACATCAAGTAACCTCTGATTTTCCTGTGACAGCTAATGAGCTTAATGACCACTATCTAAATGTTTCTAAAGTTGACGACCTGCACGGTAACACCGAGACATGCGATTTCTCCAGACCTTCCAGGTGACAAGAATCGGAGGCATTGCTTGACTTTTTTTTCTCAAGAGAGGTCTGGAGAAATGAGATGGGCAACCGAGGTCTTGCCAATCGGCAAGCCGCAGTCTGGGTTGTTTTCCGCTGAGCGCTCGACAAAACGCAAGTCTCCGACGTCTGCCGGGCCACGCCCGGCCCGCTCCGTGAGGCGCGCGCCGGAGGATTAGCATGCTCCCCCCACCACTTCTGCCAGTGCGGCCTGGGGAAAAGTCAAGTCTCCGCTCGGCCATCGTCAGCAGCTCGGTCGCCTTTCTTCTTGCCCGTTCTCGCTGTTCGGCGATCGGTCGATGTGGATTTTGCATACGCACTGTTGCCTATTCTCATACTCTCTCTGACTTATCTGCAACTGCTTTCTCGCCATTTGGCGGTTGGTCGCTCTCGTTTCTGCATTCGTACTTTTGCCGTTCTAGCGGCCGTGGCGGGGTTTTTAGCAAAGAAATGGGTCGAGATTGAAATGTACATTTATTGATGTAGTTAACACAGTAATTAATTTCATCAGTTAAAAAGAAAACTTGGCAGAAAGTTCTAATTTAAAAGTGTACTGGAGCTTAACTAAACACAAAGATTTTTCACATTTCGCTGAAATAGTTCATGCAGAATGTTGGTTGATATTGACATCTCTACACCACTTGTCTGAAATGAGGAAAATCAAAGATAAAATAAAATAAATGCATGTTATGTAAGTAATGATAACATGAGGGGAGAATCTACCTACATTTTGTTTAAATATTCCATAAAATAGTTGTTGTGATGAGTTGGACTGTGGACTGTGGACATGTCCTGATCAAAACAAAACAAAAGTTGTTTTCAGTGGCTGCTGCGGGAAACATGAAGTTATAAATGTGGTGATCCATAACTACATATTACTCCATTTCTTGATAAGTTGTCTGGAATGAGGACAATAAAAGAAAAACAATCAATAAATTAATCAATTAAATATGTTATGATAAAATAGAAGAGGAGAGTACTCACATTTTATAAAAATAGTCCATAAAAGAAGATGCAGTGATGAGTTGGACTCTATCGACAATGTCGAGATCAGAACAAAACAAAAATAGTGTTCAGTGACTGCTTCGGGCAACTCAAAACCAAAATGTGGTGTCCAGAATCATAAACGAGGGCCACATATTGCTCCATCTCCAAATTACTTGTCTGAAATGAGGAGATTAAAAGAAAAACAATCAGATAAGTCATAATTTAAATAAGATAGGGTGAAACAAGAGATGAGTCTACTTACATTTATCTAAAATTGTAAACAAAAGGAGATGTAATGAAGTTAGTGACTCCGTCAATAACTGGAAGTCCAGAACAGACATATTTTTATGTTCTTGAGCTGTTGCCGCCCACTTCAAACAACAAGTGGGGTTCTCAATTATAATCGAATTATCATTTTCATGCCGCCTCTTCAATGTTACCCTAGAATTTAGTAAAATAAATTAAAAACAAATCAAGACAACAGTATGAAGAGTTCTTCAAAAATAAGTGGAAAAGCGGATTACTTACATTGTAATTAAAGAGTAACGACATAAATTATGAGAAGCTCTGGATGGGCCGGCTTTAACCAAACTTAAGACAGATATCAAACAGAGCAGTTGTTAGCCAAGACTTTCTGGGGTGCTAGAACAAAAGAAATAAATTAGTATCGAAGAGAAGAGGTATTATCATACTAAAAATATAAGGTTTAGAAAATAGGGGGCAAAAGACCAGCTAGAGTGTGTTAATTTTTCAAGAAAACCCAATGACTTTGATAAGAGAAATACTTCGAGGGCAATTTTATTTGTTTGAAAGAAATTAGAATTTGTAGAAATAGAACAAACATAGCAACAACAGTCGATGAGGATTAAAAAGTACTGAAATAAATTGCTTTTGGACTTATGGCTGGAGAGGTTATGTTTCCTTTGGAGCAAATAACAACCATTCTTTCACTTCAAGCCAATCAGAAACTAAACCGAAAGCTTTAAATTACACAGTCTGTTTGCTACAAATTAAAATAACGAACACTTCACGGTAACATATAAATAATTGTTCATGAAACTAAAGAAAGGACCCGGCGAGAGTAGGCGACGAGACAGCCAACGCGGATAACGTTTGTCAATGTTTCCAATTTTAAAAATGTATTTTAAACAAATATTAAAACAAAATATAAATCAAATGCACATTACTTACCTTCTCATTCCTCCAAAACAACGATCTTAAATTGGTATTGAATGCCGTGCTGGTCCGATCGTCCGACAAGAGATGCCACAGGCTAGGCTAGGCCACCGCAAGGGAGCAGGAGGGGAGGGGGGAGGGGGGGAGACGACAGCCTACGGGGAACGGGAGGCGGAGGGGAGGGGGTAGTGAGCAGTGACGTAGCAGCCCGCCGGGCCCAGCCCAGCCGAGCCGCACCTGGGCGAACGCCATCCGGCGAGACTTGACTTTTCGCATGACCCCAGAATCCCAGCGCTCTCTTGACTTTCGATCTTGCGTTTCCGCAATGCTGTGTTGGAAGCTGCTAGTTGGCAAGTCTCGCTTGACAAAACGCAATGGCTCGGCGGATTCGCAAGATGTCGCTGGAGAAAATTGTCAAGTCTACACTTGCCCACAGAGAATCGCATGTCGCGATGTTACCGTGTGGAATTAGCCACAGCTACCGAAAGGTCTTACAGTGAGAAACACCGCAGTGTCCCTTTCGATAATCAATTCTTTTTTAAATTTGTACCAGCCTATGAAATATGTAATATTATAAGAGGTTTTAAGTCTAATGCGGTAGGTGTGGATGATGTCTCTCTTAAGTTCATTAAACTCTTTCTGGATGAAATTGCTTTTGTTTTAGAACATGTATTTAACTTCTGCCTTCAGTCTAGTGTGTTTCCGTCACAGTGGAAGCGTGCAAATGTTTTACCTCTTCCTAAGGTCTCTAATCCATCTCAGTGTGCTGACTTTAGGCCAGTGAGCATCCTATGTCTTTTTGCTAAGGTTCTTGAAAAAATAGTCCATGATCAGATGTATGATTATGTTATATGTAATGGAATTATGAACCCACTTCAATCAGGGTTTAGAAAGGGGCATAGTACCACTACAGCTTTGTTAAAGATTGCGGATGATGTAAGGTTAGCCATTGATCAGAGGAAACTGACCTTATTAGTGTTGTTGGATTTTAGTAAGGCGTTTGACAGAGTTAACCACAAGTTGCTCCTAATAAAACTTAGAAATATTGGTTTCTCTGAATCTGTCATAAAATGGTTTCTTGATTATTTGTCAAATAGGTGGCAGAGAGTTCTATCAGGTGACTTCATCTCTGACTGGTCTCTGGTAAAAACTGGAGTGCCTCAGGGCAGTGTACTTGGTCCACTATTGTTCGTTTTGTACCTTTATGATTTTCCTAGTATCCTTAGAAATGTTAAACATCATCTTTATGCAGATGACACACAACTATACGTTCATTTTGATATTAATGATATCGACAGGGCTGTCACATTGATGAATGATGATCTTGCAAACCTACTTAAGTATATCTCTGGTCATAATCTTACCCTTAATATTAGCAAAACTCAACCGATTATCATAGGATCTGGTCCTTATATTAACAGGCTGAACCTAATGGATGTTCCTTTAATCAGTATCAATGATACTACTGTGCCATATAAAGATGAAGTTGTAAATCTTGGAGTCACCTTTGACTCGACACTCAGCTGGAGACAGCACGCGAATAAAGTTGTGAGTAAGGTGTTTGCCACTTTTGCACAGGTTCGCCGTAACTTTGATTGTCTACCTCGAACTATAAGACTGCGTATTGTTCAAAGCCTAATATTGCCTCATCTCGACTATGGTTCGGCTCTTTTTACTGATATGAATAAGTACACCACTGTTAAACTTCAAAGAGCTGAAAATGTATGTATTCGTTTTGTTACTGGAGCTGATTTGTTCGAGCACATTACACCTCATTATGCTGGCCTAGATTTGTTAAAACTCCAAGACAGACGAACAGTAAATTTAGCAACATTGATATGGAAAGTTCTAAGGACTGAAACGCCGCACTATCTGTTTGAACTGTTTAACTTCTCGTCACGTCACCCTGATAGAATTTTGATTCCACAGCATAGAACGGCAAAGTACGCAAATTCATTCTGCATATCTTCATCTAGAGTATTTAATATGTTCTCAGGCTTCAGTTATCTAAGTCATACGTCAGTCACTTCCTTCAAAAGATCCATTAAAGCACAATTACTGTCTAAATATTGATATTGTGTATCATATACTGTCGCTGCTATTGATGTAACTAGTTATTTTCTTCGATTGTTGATATAATTTTTATTTTTTTTTCCTCTGTTACAATTTTGTATCTTTAGTTTATTCTGAGAGCGGTACATACGCTCGTGGGACTCTCCAGTCCCGTTGTACTGTACCTTAAAAGCAATAAATCAAATCAAATCAAATCAAATCTCTCTCCCCCCCCCGGGCCCCCTAGACACTAGACAGTCGCCCAAACATTACGCAAATATCCTCTCTTTGACGCCCTGTAAGCACCCAGGCAAAAAGTACGACAGAGAGAGAGAGAGAGAGAGAGAGAGAGGGTGAGAGAGAGAGAGAGAGAGAGAGAGAGAGAGAGAGAGAGAGAGGGACGTTCCCCCTCGGAATCAGTCTGCTGCTGGTCGCTGCAGGTTCAGGATCGCCTCGTCATGAGAGAAGGTCGCCCTTTTCTCATGGCCCCGGGCAGCCTGCTACTTTGCCCTGCTAACTCGAGGTGGTTCGTCTTTCTGTTGCCGCAGTGCATGATCCAGACGTGGTTCGTGGCCGCCATCCTGCAGATGTACCTGGCCACGCCGCTGCTCATGTGGCTGGTGAGTCGGTGGACGCTGCGCGCGCTGTGGCCGGGCTGCTGCCTGCTGGGCTTGCTGCTGGCGGCCGCCGCCGCCACGTACTACGCCACCGCGCTGCAGCAGGGCCTGCTGCCCTCCCTGCACATCTACCCCCAGTGAGTACCACGTGTGACCCCACTAATGGATTGCTCTCCGAGCAAGGAATGGGTTGGTGAGATCGGTGGAGGCGGACAAAATCCCGGACACGTTTCAAGCTCCAGAGTCGCTGAACGGGACTCGAACCGAAGGTGTGACCCCACCAATGGATTGCTCTCCGAACGAGGAATCCATTGGTGGGGTCACACGTTCGATTCGAGCCCCATTTAGCGACTCTGGAGCTCCAAACGCGTCGAGAGTTTTGGCCGCCTGCACCGGTCATCGGACCCACTACGTGACGCCTGGCCCCAGTGCTGCCACGTTAATAAGCAACAACTCCCACGATGCAACGTGTCAAAAGGGCTGGCAACCTCAGCCTGCGTACAAGGCAATACCTGAGCTTTGCGCTCTCGACAGTTTACCCTATAGGCAGCTCGAGGTTGGCAACCCTTCCAACACTAGTGCATTGTGGGGATTTCAGCCTACTGACGTGGCAACACTGACACACTGCAAGCACGCTGTGAGAGCCGATTACGTTCTTGACCGCCACGCTCGCTGCCTCCAGGCTGCTGCGGCGGCTCAACCTGGCCGACGACCCCACCTTCGTCCACCAGTACGTCCAGACGCACAACAACGCCGTGCCCTACGTGGTGGGCCTCATCGTGGGCACACTGTTCTACCTGGCCAACCGGCGTGAGTGGCGCCCCTCCAAGGTACTCGTCTTAAGCCCAGGGGTGGATCCAGGAGGCACAGTAGGCCAGAAGACCGGTGGAGGTGGCCAAAATTATAGACGCGTTTTGTGCTCCAGAGTCGCTAAATGGGAGTCGCACCGAGCGTGTGACCCCACCGATGGATTCCTTGTTCGGAGAGCAATCCATTGATGGGGTCACACGTTCGATTCGAGTCCTATTTAGCGACTCTGGAGCTCGAAACGTGTCCGGGATTTTGTCCGCCTCCACCGGTCTTCTGGCCCACTGTGGAGCGAGGGGGCGGCAAAAGTGCGGCTTCTTGCCTGCCTTTCAGGCGGCTTCACCGCCGGGGGGGGGGGGGGGGGCAGCTGCTCGTCCTCGGATCCTTGCCTGAGAAGGGAACAGCGAAACTCACCACACTGCCAACTTCGCAGACGATGGGGACCTTGATGTGGCTGGGGATCCCCCTGACCCTCGTCATCCTGCTCGCCTCCTTCTTCTCGATGGTCGTCTTCTACCTGCCCTCGTTCGAGGCCCGGCCGCTGCTGGACACGGCCTACGGCCCCGCGCGGCTGCTGGGGTTCTCGCTGCCCGCCGCCTGGATCATCTTCACCTGCGGCTTGGGCCACGGCGGTGAGTTCGAGAAGTTGCCTAGTCGGCAGGCTGAGCACAGTGGGCCAGAGGACCGGTGGAGGCTGGCGAAATCCCTTACGCGTTTTGAGCTCCAGAGTCGCTAAATGGGATTCGAACCGATCGTGTGACCCCACCAATGGATTGCTCTCCGAACGAGGAATCCATTGGTGGGGTCACACGTTCGGTTCGAGGCCTGTTTAGCGACTCTGGGGATCAAAACGCGTTTAGAGTTTTGGCCGTCTGCACCGGTCTTCTGGCCCACTGTAGGGTGACGCCTCCATCTCTTCTTCTCCTGGATTTGCGCATGCATAAATTTGGCCGCTGGCGCCGTTGTTCCGGCCCAGCGTCCAGCGTGCTGCAAGGGCGGGTTCAGTTGGGGGGGGGGGGGTCTCGCAAAAGTTGCGCAGGGGCTAAGTGCAACTTCCTTTCATCCTGGCGTACTGAGGTTGGCAACCCTTTCGGCCCAAGCGCATCGCGATTTGGTCCCCGTGTCGTTGCAGGCCTGTTCGACAGCATCCTGACGTGGAAGCCCGTGGTGACGCTGGGCCGCATCACGTACTCGGTGTACTTGGCGCACGTCGCCGTCATCCTGGTGTCGTCGGGCATCGCGCGCCACCCGATGTACGTCAGCGACTACAGCCTGGTCAGTGTCTCAGCACCGCAGCGATCGGGGCGGCCGGGCCGCGGTTCGGCCAGAAGACCGGTGGAGGCGGCCAAAACTCGAGACGCGTTTTGAGCTCCAGAGTCGCTAAATAGGACTCGAACCGGACGTGTGACCCCACCAATGGATTGCTCTCCGAACGCGGAATCCATTGGTGGGGTCACTCATTCGGTTCGAGTCCCACTTTTAGCACTTCTGGAGCTCAAAACGCGTCTAGGTTTTTGGCCGCCTCTACCGGCCTTCTGGCCAACTTTGGGCCTCTGTTTGCTGTTTTGACCTCCCTCGACCAACCTTGTTCCGCTGCAGGTGGGCCAGTCCGTCGGCACCGTCGTCGTCTCCTACATCATGGGCACGGTGCTGCACTTCTGCGTCGAGGCCCCCATGGCGAACGTGCTGGCCATCGTCGTCGGCTACTGTGAGTCCCATTTCCGCTTTTTCTTGCAGTGGCGTGCCCAGAAACGTATGAAGGAGGTGGACCAGAAGACCGGTGGAGGCGCATTTTGAGCCCCAGCCAGAGTCGCTAAATGGGACTCGAACCGAACGTGTGACCTCGCCAATGGATTGCTCTCCGAACGAGGAATCCATTGGTGGAGTCACACGGTCCGTTCGAGTCTTGTTTAGCGACTCTGGACCTCAAAACGCGTCTAGAGTTTCGGCCGCCGGTGCCGGTCTTCTGGCCACTGTTGGGTTTCTAGCGAAATGCGTTGCAATTTGCTTGTCTCGAGCTCTGCACGCTTCCAAACGCTGTGAGTATAGCTCGTATGGTGCAGTGCATTGAGATATTGCACCAAACGTGCACCATGGCCTTGCACCTTACGTGCTATGCGTCCCGAAAATGCCCTATGCTAATGCATGGGAAGGCATTGCACTTCACGTGCAATGCAATAGCATTGCACCAATCTGGTGCAATGAAAACGTCTTCAAATGCATTGCACTAATTGGCGCTTTATACGTACTCATAGCGGTTGGATTCTCAGTGTGTCGGGTACGAAAAGAGGGGGGCCATGACTCCTCTGGCCTCCTGCCTGCGCACAATAGGGGAGGCGGAGCACAGTGGGCCAGAGGACCGGTGGAGGCGACCAAAACTCTAGACGCGTTTTGAGCTCCAGAGTCGCTAACTAGGACTCAAGCCGAACTTGTGACCCCACCAATGGATTGCTCTCCGGACGAGGAATCCATTGGTGGGGTCACACCGAGGGGGTATGCGCTCTCTGAACCTGTGTACCGACTATTACGCTATTACGCTCTATTACGCCACAAATTAATCGGAATTTAGCTAAAAACGGCCTAAAACACACCAAAATTGATAAAATTTTGACAATTTCGGCTATTACGCGACTAATACGCGACTATTACGCGTATTATTACGCGTGCTATTACAGATAGAGTGAACCGACTATTACGCGAGTGCATACCCCCTCGGGTCACACGTTTGGTTCGAGTCCCATTAAGCGACTCTGCAGCTAAAACGCGTCTAGAGTTTTGGCTGCCTCCGCTGGTCTTCTGGCCCACTGTGCGGAGCTGGCATTTGAACCCGGGACCAACTGACTTTCAACCCTGCTCGCCGGGCTCCGCAGGGTTCCAGAACTCGGACTCCGCCGCCCTGACCAAGGAGAGGGGCCCTGCGGACGAGGTGGCGCAGCAGGCCCCCGAGGCCCCCGACGACTCCGAGGACGTGCACGAGGACACGTCCAGGAGGAGCTCGACCTGCACGACCAACATGTGATCCTCGGAGGGGATGATGCTCTAATCACCAAAAACCATATGTACAACATTTACAATAAACGGCCACAACGACATCAATCTCGTTTCCTTGGCGAACTTTTATTTCCTTTTGGACCCAACTGCAGACTGATTCCGAGAGTCGTTTTCGTCGCTCTGTCTCTCTCGCACTCAAGGGCTTCCCGTCTGGGTGCGAGAGAGACAGAGCGACGAAAACCACTCTCGGAGTCAGTCGTCCGTACTGCACAGCGCGAGGCCCAGCGCGCCTGATCCGCGGGGGGAGAGATTTTAGGAAATTCCGCCGGGCCTCTGGGCGCCTCTGGGCCGGGACGTCGGTAGCGGGGAAGGCCTGGGCCGGGACTGCGGGTTGGATGGGTTCTGGGATTTGTGATTTCCTTTGGGAAGGATCCAGGTGGATGCAAGAGGTGACTTGTGGCGGATTCCGTAGCCCCGAACTAGTAAGCGACTCTCCTTTGCACTTTGCATAGACAGTTCAGGAATAGGGTACTCCAATGAATCTTGAAACGAAAGAACAAAAGCAAGCCCTAAAAACCGCTTCTGCGCATGTGCACCGGGTAGTAGGGGAATGTATGCGCATGCGCAGAAGCCGTTTAGGGCTTACTTTTGTTCTTCTTCCGTTTCAAGATTCATTGGTCCAGTTGCGGATCCAGAGACGGCCTGAGGGAGGACTGGGGGAGGGGCAAAGTAGCACTGTTTTTCTCCTTACAAGGGAAAGGTAAAAGTCAGGCTTTCATGAAAATCTAGGGGCCAAATCCTTTTGCCGCCCCCCACCCCCGCCCCCAGCTCAAAAAACCATGGTCGTCATGGTGAATTTCCATGACCATAGGGCTGTCCGCCATGGTGATAGTTGTCATCCCCCTTTTCTTCCCCCGGGGCGGCCTACTGGATCCGCGGCTTGACCACCACACTGTGAAAATTTGTCGTCACTTTATGACAAAAACGTGGATGATATTTTCATCACTTTCAAATGATGACGATCTCATCACAAATTGATGACGTTTTCATCACAAAGCTCCTATACTTATTGCATGGGCATTACAACAATGTCGTCAATTGATTTGATGGCATCCTTGTAAGGAAAATTATCCTTGAAATTGTCATCAAGTGACGACTCAAATTTTCACAGTGGCAGGACGACCTCAAGATGTCTAGCCCTCGTGCGTCACGCAGCCCAGGACCCAGGCCGGCCCAGGCCCAGGGCGGACTTGGGCTGCCCGGGGTGGCAGGCCCACCGTTCCAGGAATTCCCCCAGTCGGGAAGAATCCAGGTGAATCCAGGTGCGTCACGAGTCGCGAAAACGAAGCCACGCAACTCCCTTTTCTCCTGCCCTTTTCCCCTGCCCTTTTCTCCCCGTTTTTGCGCATTTCTTTTAAGAGTAATTTTTAAACACTGCACTGCAAACAGTTTTCTGCGGAGACTGGCGGTGTTCCAGAGAACCTATTGGGCATCCGGCGGCATCGCGCCAAGGGTACGTACGTAGTTACCAGTGCACTCGCAAATACTTTTGACTGCATTTTCGGAGGGCGTGGCGTTAGTACGCTTGCCGCCCTCAACCACTCACAAACGCGAACGACCACTTCTCTCTCGGCCTCGCCCACCTCAAACCCCTCCCCCCCCACGAAGACGATTCTGAGAGTCGTTTTGGTCGCCCTGTCTCTCTCACACCCCCATAGGGGACGCCCCATGGACAGAGCGACGAAGACGACCCTCGGAATAGGTCTGCTGCTTCGGCTGCAGACCGATTCCGAGAGTCGTTTTCGTCGCTCTGTCTCTCTCGCACCTATACGGGACGCCCCGCCCCATGAGTGCGAGAGAGACAGAGCGACGAAAACGACTCTCGGAATCAGTCTGCTGGCGCAGCCAGCAACTTCGGCGAACTTCGGGGAACTTCGGCCGTCTTCGGAGCCCTTCGGCTGGCTTCGGCGCAGGAAAGCCCAGGCCCGGCTGCGCGGCCGGGAAGGTCCGGGCGGCCAGTGCACGGAGCAACGCAACGCAGCAACACAACGCAAACGCAGTCAGAATGGTGAGGGTCAGCGCAGTCGCGCCACAGTCTCCGTCCACGCGGCAACAGCCTCGCCGCCTACCCTGCTCCCCGCGGTCCTCGCCGCGCTCAAGACCCGCGCGTTCCTTGCGGAGGACTCTGCCCGTCGGCGTGCTGAGCGTCGTCAAGACGGTCTGCAGGAAGCTGAGCGTCGGCCCCGTGCGCCACCGAAGGCAGACGTCGTCCACCCGGCCGGACCACAACGAGGACCTCGCGCCGTTGCCGTCGACACTGGAGTCCAGCCTGAGTCAAGTGAGTCTTTGATGCAGTTGGTTTTGATTACGTTATGCAGTTTTGGCTATTGTTTATTTAACAACCGCCCCTGTAACGTGGCGTTACGCAGGCCTAGATCCCCCACCCCCTCTCACTTCCGCTGTTTCGTAAAGTTTCTCATGTAAAGACTATTTTTAGCCTTATTCATTGTTTGTACTTCTGAGATGTGCTCTCATGCCTAACGTTACGCTAGGTCGGACCCCAGTCTCCTCATGTTACCTCAGCGTTACGCAGACCAGATAGCCCCTTCCCCCAAAGTGTTTAACATAACTAATGGACGTCCCCTCTGTCTGTCAGTCTGTCTTTGTTGTCTGTCTGTCAGTTGGTCTGTAAAAGGAAGTTTGAAAAAGAAACAAGGCAATGAGTGAAAATTCAGTTAAAATGTAATTATAAGCCAAAGCGAAACATGTGCCGTAGAACCTAGAAAGCGACATTCTGTTGTAGAACCCAGAAGGCGACATTTTGTCGTAGAAACCGAAAGGCGACATTTTGTCGTAAAAACCGAAAGGCGACATTTTGTCGTAGAACCCAGAAAGCGACATTTTGTCGTAGAACCCAGAAAGCGACATTTTGACGTAGAACCTAGAAAGCAACATTTTGTCAAAAGAGAACAAGATTCTTGTTATTACCAACATATTTTGACTTTATCTGCTCAATTTAAATTAATGAAAAGTAATAATGGTATTATCATCTATTTTACTTTATCAGATTATTACTATTATTACAAGTAGGACCATCAAAAATTAAGTTAGCGGCAATAGTACTCAATCAACATTTGTTGCAGACCATCCAAATACTTTTACTGATCAACAATACTTGTCGTTGATTAACAACATTTGTTGTTGGTCAACGTCTTGTTTTTAAGGTGCGCGGCAGATTATGTATTTGAAAGTTTTCGTTGCGGAACTACCCTCTTATATGACAGTTGTCCATAAATCTATCCATACAAAAACAGAATGTGTCGTTAAGTAACGACAAAAATTTATCAGTGTCTGTCAGTGTTGTCAGTCTGGTCTGTCAGTCTGTTGGCATTGTTGTCAGTCTTTCTGTCAAAAAATTATCAGTGTCTGTCAGTGTTGTCTGGTCTGTCAGTCAGTCTATTGGCATTGTTGTCAGTCTTTCTGTCAAAAAATTATCAGTGTCTGTCAGTGTTGTCTGTCTGTCAGTCTGTTGGCATTGTTGTCGGTCTTTCTGTCCATAGAGTCTGACGGTGGTGCTTTGTGTCCTGCAGATGTCCCGGTCGTCCAGCATGGAGGTGCTGCTGCAGTGCGCCAACTGCGCGGAGAGCTTCGACCTGGAGCGCCGCCGCCCCAAAGTGCTGCCGTGCGGACACACACACTGCCAGGCGTGCGTGCTCGCCAGCCTGCGGGACAACAGGGTCATCTGCCCCACGGACCAACTGGTGAGTCAAGCCCCCCATTTGAATTCGCCCGGTTTCGTTAAGTCTTCGTGAAAAGAGGGTTAACTGTGCGGGGTTTGTTGCAGGTCGTTCACGTCGACGCTCTTCACCTCCAGGACGATCTGCAACTCATCTGCTGGCTAGGTAGGTGCTGAGTGTCTGGTCGTCTGCAGACTGATTCTGAGAGTCGTTGTCTTTGTTGCACCCATACGGTACGCCCCGTGAGTGCGAGAGAGACAGAGCGACGAATCGACTCTCTGAATCTGTAATGTGCAAGGGGGGTGTGACTCTGTGTGAACTCGTCCCATTCGCTGCACTGGAGGCTTATTCCGAGCACTGCTTTCGTCGCTCTGTCTCTCTCGCACCCATACGGTACGCCCCGTGAGTGCGAGAGAGACAGAGCGACTAAAGCAGTGCTCTAAACCAGCTTGCTGCAGTGGCTGGACTTGGAGCACCACGTCGACGCTGTGTTTCTGTGCGTTGCAGAGGCGACGGCCCAGGGCCTGGTGGAGTGCGTGTGCTGCGCCGAGCCCTTCGACGGGCTGCTGCGCCGGCCGGCCGCGCTGGACTGCGGCCACTCCGTGTGCAGGGTGTGCTTGCAGGCGAGCGGCGTGCGCGGCCCGCGCCTCCTGGCCGCGCCCCTCGCCCGCGCCGACTCGATTGACGAGACCTGGGAGTACTCCCAGGACGACGACGAGGCCGGCGACACGTGCTCGTCGGTGTGCTCCCTGTCGAGCGACGAGGGCGTGGCCGTCCGCCCCGTCCGCGCGCGGGAGCTCCTGGTGGACTGCCCCATCGCCTGGTGCCTCAAGGGCGTCCGCGCCAGGGACAACCTCCACCTGCTCGGCTGCCTCGACGACTCGGCCGCGTCTCGGAGCCAGGCCAAGGTCAAGAGGTAAGACCCGGGTACACCTTTGTGCTGTAGACGGGGCACAAGACCGGCGCTCGCGGCCAAAAGTTTGGACGTGTTTTGAGCTCCAGAGTCGCTACAGAGGACTCGAACCGAACGTGTGACCCCACCAATGGATTCCTCGTTCGGAGAGCAATCCATTGGTGGGGTCACACGTTCGGTTCGAGTCCCTAGCGACTCTGGAGCTCAAAACGCGTCCAGGATTTTGACCGCTTCCACCGGTCTTCTGGCCCACTGTGCGGAGTTCTTGTTCTGCGTGCTCAGCAAAGCATTGCTTCCAGGGCCATCCGCTGCGAAGACCAGCTCCTCGAGAAGCTGGCCGTGCTGGAGAAGCAGATTGCCTCCGTGTACGGCGGCGACGCCTCGGCCAAGGCGCTGAAGGGCCTGGACACGGACTCGAGCGCTGCCGGCCACCATTTTAACGACGCTGACATGAGTGCTCTCCTGGCCTCCGTTCGTCAGCTGGTTGAACGCAAGGTATGACTTTTCCTCATTTTTGATAATCTCCTTTTTGTCACTTTTTCATTACATAAATGTTTTTTTTTACGACAATTACGGATCTTGTGCGTGTACTCAATCTTTCCTTTGTGTGTCTAGGATTCGCCTCGAAGCGAGCCTGCTGTATTCAACCAGGTAATTTATCTACGGTTGATTTCTTGCAAGTGCATTATCACGTTTGGTTTTAGTTTCTTTAATCTGACAATTCTGTTTTCTGGTTTAGGTCGTAACTGGAAATTGTGCTTTGCCTGATTTAGTAATGAATAAGGCTGCATTATTGAGGAGGAAAGAAGAGTCCTGTGATATTTTTAGTCTCAAGGTAAGCAAATTTCATTACTCGCCAAGTTACAATTTTAATAATAATAGGTTCCCTGTAAACTAAAATTTGATGTCCAACTTCTTACAGGATTGCAAGATTGAACTGGATGTGTACGACATGTCACTCTGCTGTCCAGGTGAAATGCGAGTCAAGAAGGAAGCAGCTTTACGGTCGGACAAAAAGGTGAGACTTACATTGGCCTGGGTTTGTTAGAGGAATTTTACGACACGGAGTAAATATAGGACAGCTGTTTCCTGAACTTGTCTTCACACTTGAGAATTCACGCCGAGCTAAATGTGATGTTTTTATTGTGAAAGTAACATTTGATAAGGTATGTGGTCTAAAATGTCAAATCGTGTCCAGAAAACAGTTGCCCCATTTTTACCCCATCTTTATTGATTTACCCAAGAGTATTACGGTAACTGACCCCAAGTTGAAAAGGCCCGTGGTGTCTAAATTTGTGTCTTTTTCGCCTCACAGGTGTGGAAGCTGACTGGCGTGGACTGCTGGTGCGACCCGGAGTGGACGCTGCGCCTTCTGAAGCGCTGCGCGCCGCACCTGGAGCAGCTGCAGCTGCAGTACCCCGGCCGCGAGCACCTGGAGGTGGTGCGGGACTGCATGCCCCACTTGAGGCGGCTGGAGATCCGCGGCTGGTGCGGCCTCGACCTCCAGCGGGAGCCCTTCCACTTCGACCAGGGCCCCGCCGACAAGCGGAACACCCTGGACTGGCTGGAGGTGGGTGGCACGTTCATCATTGCCTTAGTTAAAATTCGGCTTCCCGATCCACAGTGGGCCAGAAGACCGGTGCAGGCGGCCAAAATTCTAGACGCGTTTTGAGCTGCGGAGTCGCTAAACAGGACTCGAACCGACCGTGTGACCCCACCAATGGATTCCTCGTTCGCAGAGCACACGTTCGGTTCGAGTCCCATTTAGCGACTCTGGAGCTCACAACGCGTCTAGAGTTTTGGCCGCCTCCACCGGTCTTCTGGCCCACTGTGCGCTGCGCCGACGCCATGCTCATGGTCCTTCCCCGCCTGCAGGTGTTCCTCCCCACGCAGACGGCGCTGTCGCTGCTCCGCGCGCACCGCGGCTCCCTGCGCAAGCTGCGCCTGGTGGTGGCGGAGGAGTGGGCCGCGCCGACGCCGTCCCCGAGCTGCGAGGACGTCGTCCCGGACGCCGTCGAGGAGGTGGCGGGCAGCGAGTGCGAGTGGCCCGAGGAGGACGGGTTCGCCGTGGTGCCGTGGGGCGAGGACTGCGTCAAGGACGTCCGGGGCGGCTGCTGGGACGAGCTGCTGCAGGAGTGCGTCGGCCACGCCGCCGACGACGTGGCCCTCAAGTCCGTCTCCCTGATGTGGCTGTCGCCGCGCTCGCACGACTCGTGGCACTGCCGCCGCTTCGCGCGCACACTGCGCGACGCCCGCGCCGACATCGCCGTCGAGTGCGAGGTGTGCCGTCGGTACGGCGCGGACCGCGTCGAGTAGCTCAGCTTGCCGTCACCATTCTTTCTATCCAGTGACTAAAATTTTTAATGTTTATTTAGTATTGGTGTCGAGTCGCTTGCCACCATCGCGTTTACAATTGAGTGACTTCAATTTACAACACAGGTGTCGAGTATCTTGCCACCACCATCTTTTCAATTGAGTGACTACAGGTTTTAGTATTCGTGTAGTAGCATGTATTTATTTATAAACTAGTATTTATTCTGTGTTTGTGAAATGAAATTATTTGTAAACAATAATCAAGTTGTCCTTATGAATTGACGCCTGTTGTAAATAAATGATTTGTTTTAAATGAAGCTGTTGAGAAGTTGCCACATTCCATGTTGATTCCAGACACATGTGTTGTGGTCAACCTTTTTTTTTTTCACCAAAACCATCGTAGTATTTCAAACGGTTCAGGCAAAAAAACTTTGGGCTAGTCATAAGGCTGGTACCAACAGTTTGGACGAGGCACTCTTAGATGGCTAGAGGCTCAGAGCGCAAACTGCATTAGACTTTCAGACATAACAATTCTCTTTGTTTCCACACAAATTCGGCAAAATCCCTCTAATACTGGTAGTACAAAAACAGGTGTCTCGGAGGCTCCGATTTCATAGGTAGCGGCCCTCTTAGGAAGGGCCATGGGAGCAACTTCCAATGCATATATAAACATTTTCCTGGGTTTACGGTACCACCACACTAAGTTGAGGCAGGCTGTTCAACAGGAGCCTCGTGGGCTGAGGTGTCGGCCAGCTGGGTTCAAATCCCGGCGGGGTGTGGCTCCCTTTTTCCGCAGCGCTGCTTTCGCAGCAGCGTGAAGAGACGCGACTCCTCCAAAAGACGCATCCAAATAAGAGGCGCGACTGTCTCCCCCTCTCTCCCCCTAGACGGTAAAGTAAGGGACGCACCCAAATAAGAGACGCGACTCTCTCAGGAGACGTAACCATGTAATTGGACGCGCCCCTCCTCTCCCTAAGCAGGATAAGGGACGCGTCCAAGTAAGAGACGCGACCCCCTCTCCCCCACCTGGGTCCCTATCCCCAAACCCACGCGTCAGCAGGTAGGTGGTGGCCTACCCATTGTGTGGCGCGCCCCAACCCCCACGCGTGTCCAATGGGTCCTACCTCGGTGGCGCGCCCCTCTTGCTCACACGTGGGTGCAAAAGAGTTCCCGCCGTCGGCCCCTCCCCCCCTACCCCCCCCTCCCCGAAGGAGAGTGGAGTAGGGCAATCATAAAGGGTTAGCAACCTGACCTGGCGGGTGGCGAACCAGGTCCAACGGGAACGCTGCCGCATGGCCTCCGCGGCCCATCGCTCTGCCACCTGAGCTACGACAACACACCTGCTGGACACGTCCTATCTTAGAGTGATGGTACCGGGTTTGAGAAGTTAACAGAGGAAAAGATTCGCTCAACTGGGATTCGAACCCAGGACTTCCCCCCGCCGGCCGACTCCTCTACCATCTCGGCCACCGAGCTGCTGTGAGGTAACTCGATCAATCTTAGAGTGATGGTACCGGGTTTGAGAAGTAAACAGAGGAAAAGATTCACTCAGCTGGGTTTTGAACCCAGGTCTTCCTCCCGCCGGCCGACTCCTCTACCATCTCGGCCACCGAGTCACTGCGGGAGGACTTGATCAGTCTTAGAGCAATGGTACCGGGTTTGAGAAGTAAACAGAGGAAAAGATTCACTCACTTAAGAGTCGAACCCAGGATTTCTTCCCACCGGCCAACGCCTCTACCAACTACCGGACACCGCACCACTGTGAGACTGATCAGCACGGCTATCGGTCGATCTGAACTCTTTTGTCTCTTCTCAGGGGAAAATTCGTGAGTTTTCTTTCTCAGAGCCTACACTTTCTAATCACAGCACGGTGCCATGTCGAAAGGGTGGCCTACCTTCATGGCGCCATGGCCGTAGCCGTGAAGGTAGGCCACCCGCAGGGATCCGTAACTTACCTCATAAGGGCATCATAACGTTATGATAAGAGTTAAAGTTATTACCCTTAACTTCTAACATCTTTTCAAAAGGGTAGGTTATTTTTTTATGTCTCGAATTTGTGTGGATATACTTTTGCAAGTACTTTCATAAGTCCGTGCGTACCCTTAACCTTTAGCGAACACTGTCTTATGTTACGTTATGAAAGCAAAGTTAAGTTAAGGATCCCTGGCCACCCGTTCAACACGCGGCAGCGCGGTGATGAGAAATTAGAGACATCCTACGAAAGCTTTCTACAGTCCTTAATGCACCTATAGGACTCTAAAGCTTTCCTCCTGTGAAGAGGAAAAACGTCATAAGTTCATCTGTAACATTTTTTTTTTCGACAAAAATGGTTGACCACCTCCAATTTGTCTGAGATTGGTATTAATCTTTGCTAGGGGTCTACAAGACAGACGCCCGGTGCCCAACGGTCTTTGATACATTCAATTGGCTGCAGAGGCATTCAATGTAAGGAAAAGGGAAACAGAAATTCAATCTAACATAATAATAAAACAATATTCTTAATAATAATAAAAAATAAAGCACATTGTAGAACCATGTGCTTTCTGTTGCAAAGAATTATATAACAAAGTGGTTCAGACACTTCACTTAGATATAAACTTTATAAACATAAAATCAAGTCTAAACAAAGAAACGATAAAAGACAATAAAAATAATTTGGTGTATAGTCAGTTTTAGTAAAAACAGATTTACCTTAAGATAAGGTACACAAGCAAGGACATTTACTGGCAATTATGCTAGAGTGCCGTGAATAGCAATCCAACTTATAATTATCAGAGGTTTAAAGTTGCTTTAGCTTGCCAGATTTTATTAATTTTAAAAATACATCATCTTCTGCTTTAAATATGGGCTGTTCGGGTTCACTGTAAGAAACAGGACTTTCAACAAATCTTGAGGTTGATGCTCCAAAATTTACTTCTAACGATTTGCGTGCATTCTTCTGTGGGCTTGGTTTGCGAATTCCATGAGAAAAGAGCATAGAACCAATCAGTTCTACAGCCTCTACCGAACAGCCAGTTCCATGGTCAATAGCTTGATGCTTCTTGTCAAAACATGAAGCATAACATTTGTCTTCATTAGATTTTAACACTGCATCACCACCATCAGCACACTCCTTCAAATTAGTACCACTTGACAAGGCCTTTTTTTCTGTATTGTCTTGAGCTCCTTTTCTATTCTTTTTATAAACCACCTGTTCCACCAAACGGATGGCCTCTCTGCTGAGACTGGGGCAGACCGATTGTGCCTCTTTTTCAAATGATGACGGAGTCTCAGAGCCGACAGAATTATCAACATCTTGATCCTCTGTGATTGATATTCTTGATTCCTCCACACTAAAATCGCCTCCAGCTTGAGGAGCAGCCTCTGACGGTGGGAGTTCCATGTTGCTACTGCAAGGAACCTGGACAACTTTCTTCTTTGGTGAAATGATTTCGACTACAGATTCTGACAGGGGTCTCACTCTCTTATGCATGCTGGCACTGACCAAACCCAATTGCTGTCTTTTCTGGTATTTGTTCAAAAGATTCACTTTTTCTTGTCTTGACATCGATATGACTTTAGTAGCAAGTTCCAAGGGAGTAAGAAACTCTTGTCTAGCAATTTGGGTAAATTTTAATCTGAAAAATAATTTATTTATGATTATTTGCTTTTGTTTAGCACTCAAGTGTCATGTGGCAGCAAATGTAATCCACTAATGTCTACCAACCTGGAGCGAGCCGTGATTTTACTACCCTCTTCATGTTTGTTTTCCACAGTTGTGTTCTACAAGAGATAAAAATTGTGACAGGTTCTTATTTGTCTGAAGAAAAAGAGAAACTTCATATGTATGTGGCCTCTTACCTGAGTTTCAATTGAGCAATCAAATGCCGGTAATTGAGAATTTATTCCCTTTTGAAACACGTCTCTTATGGCACATGCAGCGACAAACTCCTCAACTTTGCTTGGAGCAACTACTTCTTGGTGCTGAAGAACATGCCTTACCGCACCACTTTCTGCATTTAAAAAAAGGAAAAGGAAGAGCTATGAAGTGAAACAAACGTACATAGAGAGGACAAGCATTTAGGGAATAAGCAACTTACTTTCCAGAAGAGTATCAATGCTATTGCACTTGGAGTCTTCATCCTCACTATCTTCTTCCTCATCATCTTCATATTCATTTTCTGAATGAATGGTGGTACGGTTGGCGTTCTGCTCATCTTGCCAATCCTCATTCTCATCATCAACAGGAGTCTCAAAGACGTCCTGACACAGCTGCGCCAACCCACTTTTGGAAGTATTTATATCATCTTCTAAAAATTCAAATGATAAGGTAGATTTGATCAAATAAATTTTCCAGACATGTAATGAATATACATATACATTGAAAATGCAGCGCTTACTAGTATTAACTCCAAGGACAGCACATTGAGCTACACATGTCCTTGTTCCTTTCTCTCTGACAGGTGTCTCCAATTTCAATCGAAACTTTTCTTCTAACTGTTGTTGCTTTAATAATAATTCTTCTGTAAGACTTCTGTAAATTTCAACAGGGTATAAATAAACCTAATTTAAGGAATCCAGCTCAATTTTTTATGTGTCTCGGTACAGGTGGTGTCAACTTACCCTTCACTTTCTCGGAATGAGAACAGATTCCGAATGCCAAAAAGTTCCCCATAATATCTTGTGTCACCAGAAACACCATCAAAGTAGCGTCGTCCACTTTTACTTGTCATGGAACTAGACCCCAATTGCTGCTTGTACACTTGACGTAAATAAACAAATTCTTCAATCGTTGAAGTACTCAGTAATCGATACACTTTCACACTCCGTTGCTGTCCTAACCTGTGTGCTCTGTAGAATTGATTCAGAAAATTGAGTGATGGAGAAATCACCTTATAAAAACAGCAAGTCACAACTTTTCACCAGCAACTTACCGATCTTGAGCTTGCATATCATGAGCAGGATTCCAATTAGGATCATAAATAATGACAACATTTGCACTTGTAATATTTAGTCCAACCCCACCAGCCTTTGTGGAAAGCAAAAATATTGACATATCTGGTGAGGAGTTAAATGTCTTCACCATTGGAAGACGCAACTTGGTTGGTGTAGTGCCATCAAGACGACAAAACTTGTAACTAGAAAACGACATAAAAATTAGTTTTCAGTCAAACTACTAAGTCTCTAATGTTTAGCATGCAAACTCCAAACCTCATCTTTTTGAGATGATTTTGAACAAAATCAAGAACTTTAGTGGAGTAGGAGAAAATCAAGATTTTGTCTTTTCTAGCCAAGAATACTGGAAGCAGTTGTGACAATGCCTAAAATTCAACAAAAAGTTCATTTTAAAAAATCAACAATTTTTTTAAAACTTTTTTTAGTAACATTTGATATTCTAAAGATCTAAAGAAACTCACCAGCATCTTTCCAGACATACTTATATCAGATAAGGCATCCATCCACTTTTTTTCTGGGATTCCTTTGAGTCCTGCACAATCTTCTAAAGCTTGGCGGCACACCTTTTGTGTCATATCATTCATTTGACTAGATATTCCCGAGAGAAGAAGGCCAACATGATTGGCTGTTTTTTGCAACAAATGCAAGTAAGTAAACAGGAGGCCTGTTCTTCTCTTTGAAGCAACAGTCTTGGAGAGAAAATTAAGTCCATTATATTAGGCCAGGCTAAGAATGAGAATGGGACACAGAAACAGTTGTATGTACTAGTTTTTAACATAGTGCAATACCTTTTGAGCATCCTTATCCTTTGAGCAGCTAAGCAGTTTTTGAAGATCTGGTAGTTGAGTGATCATTCTATAAATGTCTTTTTGAGTTTGTGTCAGTTCACAAAATACCACCTGGTTGAATCAAAAGAGTGTCCTATTAGTCAAAAGGTATAATTTAAAAAGAGAATACAGATTTGTTTATTGTTTGAAAAGAGGTGATCTCTCTAATAAAATTAAGAATACCAAATCTGTTTTAGGGGGCAAATGTTTGGCAAGAATATCTTTTGTTCTGCGAAATATATATTCTCTTTTCAGTTGCTTGAACCGTAAACAGGCTATTCTATTCTCTGATATCTCTCGTAATGTTGCACTAAAACGGCTCCCAAGCTCAACAGCCCTACAGAAAAGAAGAATAGAACAAAGGTTGAGATTTAAATCTCAGCATGTGTTTTGCAAACAATAAAGCATTTATTCAGGACACATTTTACCTTGAAATATCATTGGCACATGCATTAAAATCGCTCATGGAGTTTGGATTGGACCAATTAAGAAGGCATAAAACTTCTTTAAGGTTGTTCTAAATTGAGGAAAAAAGGAAAGAAAAACTAAAGTTATTGAAATACTTGATTGCTTTACTGTAAACCTCAAATAAGAAAAAAATTCTCACCTGATAAGGGGTTCCTGTGAAACCAAAACGGATTTGGCAGCGTAAGCGACACAAAGCTTTAGTAATCTGAGAATTGTATTCCTTGATACGATGAACTTCATCTGCCAAAATGCATGTCCAATCAACCATGTTGAGTAAGTCAATGCAAGATCGGGCGAGTTCAAATGTGATTAATACAACATCACATTCCTTCCGTCTAGCTCTATTGATCAAGTCCAACCTAAGCATAAAATAAAATTCAGTAATGAAGAAGATTTAAGTACCAAATAATAAATGGCAACTTAAAAGACAAGAAAAGCTGCAAAGAGCTCTTTAACTTTTGAGATTAATTAATGGCAACTTATCTACCTGTTTGCCGTTGTTAGCTTCTGCACCCAAAAGTGTCCCCACGTTTGAAGTTCATCGAACCAATTGTCTATGAGTGAGGCGGGACAAATGACTAGAACTGGATTCACTGATGGCAGTTCAATGCCAGGGGCAATATCTTCCCGTATGTATGTCATGCAGTGTCTTAGCTTATCCTCTTTGGTACCTAACAGAAAACATAATATCCAACTGAATGTTAGCATGTAAATATTAGATGATGCAAGGTAGAAGAGCCAACTTAAAACACCTTTCATTTGAAGAATAGCAGCTATGAATGCAATAGCTTGTACGGTTTTTCCAAGTCCCATGTCGTCACCCAGAATGCCCCCTTCCCCTTTCTTGAATTTCCGATACAGGAACCGAACACCGTCTAATTGATAGTCCCGCAAATATTGAGCAATAGATGGTGGAACCTAGGAGAACAAGAAAATTTAAGATACAGTGTTATCAGTAAGTAGAAAATCTTAATTAAAGACACGAAGACTTGATTTACTTGAATCCGAGGCTGGACATCTTCATCGGAAAGAACCAGGGGCAGTTTCTCTGAACAGGGCTGACATCTCAGCAACGGTTTCTCATAATCATCATCCATGATTAGAGGTTAAAAACCAATTATACAAAAACGAAATGACTAAAACAGGAGGCTCACATTGATTTATGAGAACCCTAACCTCTATAAAACAAAATTTTTAACTTTTCAGTTTGGGAAAGATAGGCCTTGACAGATTCATTACAAACGCATGCATGGATATTTTAGGTATCACAATAATTGGAAATAATAAAAATCTGTGAAGAAAGACACAAGTGGTTCAATTTTCATATTGTTTGTTGTTGCTCTTCTTCAAGTGTGTATGTAAACATCACTGTTGCCAGCTTCACGACTTGACTCTTACTCTTTGTCAAGCCATCAATCAAAAATGTAAAGGAGGCATTGCTGTGGGAAAACACCAGAGATCCTCTCAAATTTCTTTTATGCTATGTGAATTTTCAGGTCAGTCTAGTGCTAAATATTATTCAACAATTCCCTCTTGTTGCACAGCGCCGGGAAGGTAGACCACCCCTTTGGCACGTCGCAGGGAAGACATGCAAAACAAGACATTGGAGATTTGTCGCGCCTGGGAGTTGAACCCAGGTTCTTTATCAGGCCGGCCGCGACCTTCCCTCTTCCCTGCCAGAATTTCGTGCTCGAAACGACGTCGATTCGAACACCTACTTGTGGCTGGGTTGCGCTCTCAGCCACCCTTTTTTTATCTTTGTTAGAGAAGTAAACCGAGGAAAATGTTCAAATGCTAGTGGCAGTGCTGGTTCTAAACATATGACTCAAATTCCAATGTCTCAATTTTTTTATTCAATATCATCTGTGTCACATGAACTAAATACACTTCGTTTTTTGCAGGAAAAAAAAAAACAATCCATAAATGCTTGTTGCCTCCTTCAATTTTTTTGATAGAATATCAAACAATAACTCAATACAAATAACATTGCTAAGTACATCACATGACACTTTTAACAGAGTAATTAGTATAACATACTCATTTAAAATACACAATTTCCTATAAATTGTAATATCTCTTACACAATTTCACACAGACTCTAATTAATTAACAATCATACAATTGGTGTTATGGCAAAAATCCAGGAGGGGGAAATTCTCGAGGTGTGAACAAACAAGCAAAGGAGGGTATAAATTTGGTCTCAACATGCTAATAAAATTTAGCAAAACGAATATTTGTTCACCACAATGTACTCACATAAAAAATTGATCCTTATACAAAAAAAAAACAAAACAAAATTTATTCCTCAGCACTTATACTATGTGTAGCCTTAAAATTGCTTTGTTGGTTCATTTCCCCTCCACATAACAATTATAGGTTGGTAAAAGATCTACCTTGTGTGGCGTGATTGGAAGGAAAAGATAACTTTTAAAATAAACTATACTCTATGATTTTACCATAAAGTTAACCATGAGCTCATGCAACTAGATTACAAACATGACTTGCATTTCTTTGTATATTGCAGTACTGGTAGAATGACAAATCAAATATACAAAACCTTAACATACCACTTGGAGGGTTGTATAATATCACACAGAAATTGCTTATAGATCCCTCATAGACAAGCATACAATTATGTTCGGTCAAATGCTTTTACTTTACAACTTATGAAAAAGTACCAAAGTGCAAACAATTGCAATTCGCTAGGATCGAATCACAGCTGTATGAACCAATGTCTATACTTAACTTAGTTTATTTACAATGTAGTGACGAAATTGGCTTACATTAATCAGGTAGGAGATAGAAACGGAAACGTTTAAGAATCTAATTACTGTTATTTGAGAAATCATCAGATTCTGGTAAATTCAGCTTCTTTCCCTAGTTAAAAGGAAGCAATGATACTCCATATCACAAATGCCCATGATTGCTGGAATTCAAACTTTATTTTCACCCAGTATAAATCTGATTTAGTTCTTGGACAAAAAAATCAAAAGAAACTGCAATCTCTAGAAGAGACTGCGTCTTTAAAATTCCAAGAGAAAATCTAGTTCAGATTGGAAACAGGCAATAATTGGTTTTGAAATTTGGGCACCCTCTAGACACTCACTTACAGTCCAGCAGTGCCTCAGCACAATCTGAATAGCATGTGAACACCGAACAGTTTCTTACAAGTGTGCAAGGAAATGCTCTCCTCCAAGGGGAGAAATGGAATTGTGAGGGTCACGACACATTAATGGAGCATCATTGTCCCTCGACTTTTGCTAGGCAATTCTTGCACTACATACTCTCCATTCGACTGGTTGATCTCCATAGTGAATCATGACGTGACGTCTATAGCTGTCCTTTGATACAAAGGCCTTTCCACAGACCTCACAAACAAAAGGTTTCTGCTCACTATGTATTAAGAGATGACATTTAAGCTTATCCTTTCGGGCAAATGCTTTACTACACATTTCACACTTGAAAGGTTTCTCTCCTGTATGTATCATCAGATGTTTGGTTAGATCTGACTTCCAAACAAAGCCTTTACCACATAGTTGACACTTGTATGGCTTCTCAGCAATGTGAATCATGAGGTGCTTAGTGAGGTCAGATTTTGTAATAAACCCTTTGCTGCAGAGGTCACATCTGAAGGGTTTTTCACCAGAGTGAACAATGAGATGTCTTTGAAAGTCCGACTTAGATACAAAACCCTTACTGCAGACCTCACATGCGAAAGGTTTGTGTTCACTGTGAGTTAAGACGTGGTACTTGAGCTTGTCCTTGCGGGCAAACTTTTTGGGACAGAGATCACATTTGAAGGGTTTCTCACCCGTGTGCACCATAAGGTGCTTCGTGAGGTCCGACTTCCAAACAAATCCTTTGCCGCACAGATGACATTTGAACGGCTTCTCGCCGACATGGATCATCTGATGCTTGGAGAGGTCAGACTTGGAGATGAATCCCTTGGTGCAGAGGTCGCATTTAAACGGCTTCTCTCCTGTGTGGAATATAGCAAGATAGTTAGAGTCTCGGTTCCAAGGAAAAATTTAGTATCACCATTGGTATTTAAAAGGTTCCTGACCTGAATGCATCATTTGGTGCTTTGTAAAGTCTGACTTCCATACGAAACCCTTACTGCAGGACGAGCAATTGAAAGGTTTGTCATCGCCATGTGCTAAACGGTGAGGATTCCCCAAATCCCTGCAAGCAAAACATTCCACATTAAAACACAAGTTTTACACTTGTTTGAACGACAACAGTTTCTAGCACATTATCTAGAATGTAGTGATTTAAGCGTGGTGCTGGAGCCATTCCGCCCCTCAGGTTAAATTGGGGAAGAAAAGTACAGGGTACAAAGAGTACAACCCCCAGTCACCTACAACAGAGATTTCAACATCCATTTGACTAGGAATTCACACTAAAAATTTTGTATTTAAACTGCTTGTCGAATGGCTCGAAGTCAAGATATCAGTTCCATAGGGATGTATTTTTCTCCTCAACCCTTCTAAAGGCTCCAGCCAGGGTGCGCTAACTTAACATTATTTTGAAATTTTTTTAGTTTTATTTCCAAAACGGTTAGAGATTCAAAAAAAGTTACACATAGAATGACTTTAGTTAAAAAAATAAAAGTATTATGGGCATAACTTTTTTATATCTCTCGCCGTTGACAAGAAAAAGGCGCCCAAAATGTCAATAAATGTCAAGTTGGCGCGCCCTGGCCCTTGGCCTCGCAGTGTGCCAGAAGACCGGTGGAGGCGGACAAAACTCTAGACGCGTTTTGAGCTCCTGAGTCGCTTAACAGGCCTCGAACCGAACGTGTGTCCCCACCAATGGATTGCTCTCCGAACGAGGAATCCATAGGTGGGGTCACACGTTCGGTTCGAGACCTGTTCAGCGACTCTGGAGCTCAAAACGCGTCTAGTGTTTTGTCCGCCTCCACCGGTCGTCTGGCCCACTGTGCCTCGCCCTCGCCCTCGCCCCTACCTCCGTCCGCAGGTCTCGCACTCCCCCGACGAGGCCCCCGCCTGGTTGCCCTGCGACGGCCGGGACTGCGGGTTGCTCTGGCCGGGGCCGCTCTGGCTCTGTCCGGGCTGCGTCTGGCAGGAGGCGGCGTGGAACTGGCTGCCCTGGGAGTTGGAGACGCGGTCCTCGGCGGGGGCGCCCTGGCCGCCGCCCTGGGCGCGCTGGGAGTCCGCCGTGGTGCCGGACGAGGCCGCGGAGCCCGACGGCGGCCCTGGCGGCCCCGAGCCCCCGGGTCCTGGCGGCGCCGTGCCGCCAGCCGCCGCCGCCGCCGCGTTGGCCGCGTACAGCTCGTGCGCCGCGACGTGCTGCGTCATGAGGTGGCCGTGCGGGAAGCGCTGGCCGCACATCATGCACAGGTAGGGCTGGTGGTCGTTGAGGTGGGTCATCATGTGCGTCACGTTGTCGCGGTGCGTGGCCGAGCTCTTGCCGCACATCCAGCACGAGTGCTGCATGAAGGCGGCCGCGCCCTCCACCGGCACCGGCGCGTGCGAGTGCGAGTGTGCCGGCGGGATGGGCGGCGCGCACGAGTGCGGCGCGGCCGTCATCGTGGTGCTGGCCGTGCAGGCCCTGCTGGCCCTGCTGGTCCCGGAAGAGGAGGGGGGCGACTTGCGCCGGCCGAGGACGCCGTCACGGACACCGAACGGAGCGACCTGGCGGCAGGGAGAGACACGGGCACAGCGTCAGTCAAACAAGTAAGACCAAAGCGAGCTCACGGCTAAATGTTCCCACTCCCACAAAAAAAAAAAGACCAAAATAAAAAAAAGCTAACAAAGAGAAAAACTAACTCAGATATTGTAAAATATTAAATTGAAGATTATTTCTGCGATGAATGAATATAGAAAACTTAATACAGAACAGATTGCTATCTGATTTAAAAATTTTTTTAAATAGACGTATCAGAAGAATTACAAACAAAGGGGGATGCACAAAAGTGCTAATTGACGACAAGAATAGTCAAGTGGTCAAGACCAAAATTAGTTGTTCGTTTGATACAAACAAGTTCGTCATTGAATTAAATTTTCAGCAAAATTTTTAATTTGAAGAGGACGCACTCATCAGGGTGAAAATGTCTCACCTAATTTTTTATCTGTTACGTTGGAACTATTGAAGTAGTCTTCGGCTGGCAGGGGGATGTCATTTGCCCATTCAAAGATGTCATTAAAAAACTCGCTGATCGGTTTCCTTTGTGCACCTGGAATATAAAAAAATAATATTTAATGGGACTTGCCATCAAATGCACAACAAGTTAGGAAAATCATTGTCGTCAATGAGAAACAACAGAGGAGCGACGTAGCATATAATTTTTTAGAATGTTGTCAGGTAAGTTTCTACAGCATTCTATATATTGTTTATCAATTTGATACAAGAATTATTTATTTTTGTCATGATGGAACACTCAAAGAAGATGTTTCTAATAAAATGAAACATGTTGCAAAATGGACAGCTGACACAGTTATTGCGGCTCAACAATACGACAATGTTGATTTTATCAAGGAAAATTTGATCGGATCCTTACAGACAGAATGGAAAATCATTCCTTCCTACACATCAAAAGTTGTGACAGTCTTGAAGAAGCTTGTTTTGTGACAACAACTAACCTTAATCGAACGAAACGCACTACGTATCGCCTCACGGTCAAGTAAAGCCACTGCTGGCGCGGAGTATCGCCACCAAGGAGCTGGCGTTACTCCCGACAAGCGCGTTTTTATAACCTCTCATAACCTAACTCACACCTTCCGCCTTACAAATTTCAACAAGAAAGGTACACTCCCAAAATTAGCGAATAAATGGATAGTACAGAAACACTAACTTTGAAAGGTTTGAAGCTACAACAAACGGTTTGAAGAACCACAACGGAGGCGGACTGCGTCCTCTGACTAGCAGACACATCAAACGCGCCACAACAGGAAAAATAACCCTCAACATCAAACATGAAAGCAAAATTACATCGCTCGAGATAAGAATGCCTATTTGAACAGAGATGTGCAATCCAGCGAAATGAGGGGCGTTTAAAAAGAGGTTGTGGGTTGACAAGACGAATGTTTACACAGGGTTGCAACCAAAACAACGCTCTGGGAAACTCCAGATTCCGCTTCTTGATGCTATCTCTTTAAAATCGTTAAAGTACGGGGATTAACAAGTCAGTATGCAGTGTCGGAATAAAGTTATTTTGAAGAAAATGGGTCGATAGCGAGAAAGATAACTGCACTTGCATCGGCAGCACTCAGCCAGCGTCCCTACAGAAGTACACTTTGACAAGGCAACTAACGATGGCCTGCGACTTTACCCGTAAGGACACTTTGCAGAAAGGTTCCTTAAAACTTTATTTCAGGAACTTACCGAAAATTTCAATTAAAAGCCCGTAAAACTCGGCACCTGTATGCTTCTTCGGAAGTGAGGTTATGTTTACATCTGTCCATCGTCGCCAACGCGCGTCTCCGGCGACTTTCCGACCTGTGGGGGCAGATGGAACCGACAACGGCGTTACAAGACACTGTAATGACCGGCAGAAAGTCAAATGCGGTCGGCTGCGCGGCGCACGGCTCGCCCGGATGGTAAACAAGCCCGCAGGAGGCGCAGGATCACCTCTTCCAAGCCAACAGCTGGGGGGACGCGGGGTTTATCCGCGGTTTCCGAAACCCCGAACCCGGATCGCGAACCCGGCGCGCACTTTTCCCGGTTAATATCGGTAAAGTCAAGGTTTTTGATGACCTAATCTTTCATCCCATCCCCACACTATCGATTGGCGTACGCAGGCGCGGCCCCGGAGGTACAACTAGAGGAGGGGAGGCGGGCGGGGAGGGCAGGGGGAGGGGTCTGGCAGGGCGGGGCCGCCCAGGGCAGGCAGCCAGCACCGCGGGGCGGCGCGGGGCGGGGCGGGGCGAGAGGCTTTTGGACCGGGACGGCGCGGCGACGGGCGGAAGCCCTGCCGGTGGCCGCAGCCGAATTTCCCTTTCCCCGGTGGCGGCCGCGGGGCAGAGGACGACTTGGAGGACCACGTCGACGACCGGGCCTCGCCGCCGCAGCCACGGTCGCCGCCGGAGGGAGTCCCGGAGTCCTGCAGCACCTGGCCGCGCCGCCACCGCGCCGCCGAAGTCGCGGGCCGGGGAAGTTCCCCTGCGGCTGGCAGCACTGCGTCGGGGCCGAGGAGGGCGGGGCACGGGGCGGGGCACGGGGCGGGGCGGCGGTGGGCCCGGGTCGGGTCGGCCCGGCCCGGGGCGGAGGGGCCTAGTGGGGCCGAGGGGCCGGGGCCGAGACGGGGCCGCGGCGGGTGGGTCGGCCCGCGGGGGTCATCCCAGAAGCACGTGGCCGCGCGGTGGAGCGCGGCGGCGTTCCCTGCAGGCCCGCGGGCCCGGCCTGCCGACTAATTCCGAGGGCCGCCTTCGTCGCTCTGTCTCTCTCGCACTCGTGGGGCGTCCCGTACAGGCGCGAGAGAGACAGAGCGACGAAGGCGGCCCTCGGAACCAGTCGACTGCCGAACCTGACGACGCGGCCAGCACGGGCTTGAATGAGAGCGGGATGAATGGGCTTCCCTTCCTTTCCGGTCGTACTACGTACGTACTCCGCTGCTCCACTGGCAGTGCGGCAGTGCGGCGCGGCCACTCGCGGGGCCGCCGAGTCGCGTGGTGGGGAAGCGCGAGGCGCTGGCGCGGCGCTTAGCTGCGCGCTGCGCTACCCCATCCGCTCCGCGCTCCGCAGTGCACCAGTCAGTCCGCACCTGGAGTCGGCGCGGACGCCACGCAACACGTGCAGCGCCACTGCAAGGCGCACTCGGCAGACTCATTCCGAGAGTCGTTTTCGTCGCGCGGCCTCTCTCGCACTCATGGGGCGCCCCGTGCAGGTGCGAGAGAGACAGAGCGACGAAAACGACTCTCGGAATCAGTCTGCTGGGAGCGCCTTGCGGTGGCGCCGCCGAGTGGAGTGATCCCTGACGTCCTGACATCCTCGCCGTCGTGACGGCCTTTAGGGACGGCCCCGCGGCATGGGCCCAGGGCGCTGCGGGCTCGGGGGGCCCCGGGGGCCCGGGGCGGGGCGAGGCGGCCCGGGTAGGGTCGGCCCGGGGCGGGGCGGGCGGGGCGGGGCGGGGCGGGGAGTGCGGTTGGTGGCCTAACGAGCGGGCAAGCGGGCGGACACACGGGCGCCAACCAAGGATAGATCGGCGGCCGGTCGGACGGGACGGCCGGGACGCAGGCGCGGGGTAGCGCGGGGCGTCGGCGTCGCTTCCCTAGAGGCCCCGGGGCGCGGAGTATCGCCACCTCGGCGCGTCGCGCGACGCCACCACGCAGTCGTGCCGTCTGGAACCGGTTCCATTTTTGGCGGTCTAGTCACCGTGGCCGCTGGACCGCTGGCACCCAACTCGCTGATTCTCGTCGCTCTGTATCTCTCGCACTAATGGGGCGCCCCGTATAGGTGTGAGAGAGACAGGGCCACGAGAGCTGTGCTCGGAGTCGGCCAGCGAGGCAGAACCACCGCACAGTGGGCCAGAAGACCGGAGGCGAACAAAACTCTAGACGCGTTTTGAGCTCCAGAGTCGCTGAACAGGACTCGAACCGAACGTATGACCCCACCAATGGATTCCCCGTTCGGAGAGCAATCCATTGGTGGGGTCTCACGTTCGGTTCGAGTCCTGTTTAGCGACTCTGGAGCTCAAAACGCGTTTAGAGTTTTGGCCACCTCTACCAGTCTGGCCCACTGTGCGCCGCCACAGTTCGCAGGAGCACTGGGGCACTCGCAGCCCAGCGGAGCGATTCGGATGATCGGTTTGTCTCTCTCGCACCCTCATGGAGAGCCCCATGAGTGCGACAAAGAGAGAGAGGCGACACGGCTCTTCTGATCAAACGACCAGTCGGCCAAGTTCAAGGTCAACATGCTTGCGGCTTGCGCGGGCTGGGCTGCAGGGGCGGAGGCGTGCATGTTTGTGGCCACAAAGAACGTGACACTACTTACATCTTAGCAATCCTGCACTATATTTTTCCGTGTCCAGCACTTGGTTCTCAGAGTGGTCCTTCAAACGAATCTGTATAACTTGCGGTTTCACCACGCGTTCACGTGAACAACAGTTCAGCAAACTGCTCTTCAGCGCCTGTGAGGTGGGCCACGGACCCGGTCTGCGAGGCTCCGGTGTGGAGACGGTGGCCTACCTCGCCCCTGTGGAGAGGAAGGGGCAAGGTAGGCCACCGTCTCCACACCGGTGTCTTGCGCGCGGGGTGGTGGCCTACCTCACATTACCATTACCATTAAGGGCTAGACCACATGATCGTATGCCATTTCGGGCCCGACACATGCTCGCCTGCACTGCAAAACAAGACAAGGTCGTCCTTGGCGCTGAATGCCACAAGGTACTGCACTGTGGGCCAGAAGACCGACCGGTGGAGGCGGACAAAACTCCGTGTATTCACTGTGATTCCAAACGACATGAACATACTGTATCACGTAATGGTGCAATGCGTTGAGACATCTTGCAATGCCACATTCACACCGCACCCTACGTGTGATGCGTCCCGAAAAGTCCTGGGGAGGCATTGCACAGTGGGCCAGAAGACCGGCGGAGGCGGCCAAAACTCTAGATGCCTTTTGAGCTCCAGAGTCGCTAAATGGGGCTCGAACCGAACGTGTGACCCCACCAATGGATTGCTCTCCGAACGAGGAATCCATTGGTGGGGTCACACGCTCGGTTCGAGTCCTGTTCAGCGACTCTGGAGCTCAAAACGCGTCTAGAGTTTTGACCGCCTCCTGTGGAACGGGTTCAAATGTATTGCACCAAATAGCGTTTGGACCCTCAGTGTTGACTCAGCGGTGACGTCATCGGGCGGGATTCCCCTGCGAGGCGTTGTTGGTATGAGAAAATGGCGCGCGCACTCCTCGCTCTGTCTCTCTCGCACTCATGGAGCTTGCCGTAGGGGTGCGAGAGAGACAGCGAGAGTGCGCGCCGCCGATCGCTCGACAGGCTGGCCGCGCCCCGCCCCGCCTCGCCCGCCCGCCCCCGCCCCGCCGCGGCGCCCGACGTGCCGGCGACGCGCGTCGGCGGCCCGGCCGGCGGCACTGCCACGGCCACGGCCAGTGTAGCGGAAGCCGGCTGACTATCCGGCCGCTGGTTCCGTTCGGCGGGCTCAAGCTTGCAGCGCCGCGCCGCCGCCGTGAGCCACAGATCCACACGGCGCCCGTGCTAGCCGCGCCGGCACCCAAACACAACAAGTCTCGAGTCTGCTGCACTCGTAAGTAAACAGCGGCCCGGCGGGTACTTCCCTCTTTATGCGTGCAGCGGCCGTGTCCGCCCCCAGCCCGAAAGTAAAGCAAGGGTTCCGGTTCCGGACGCGCTCGCGTGTGGGTGTGTCGATGTTGCGCAACGTTGGGCAAATCTGCCGTCTCGCTGCGGAAGCGAACCACAGTGGGCCAGAAGACCGGTGGAGGCGGCTGAAACTCTAGACGCGCTTTGAGCTCCGGAGTCGCTAAATGGGACACGAACCGAACGTGTGACCCCACCAATGGATTGCTCACCGAACGAGGAATCCTTTGGTGGGGTCACACGTTCGGTTCGAGTCCTGTTTAGCGACTCTGGAGCTCAAAACGCGTCTAGAGTTTTGTCCGCCTCCACCGGTCTTCCGGCCCACTGTGCGGACGACAGAAAAAACAGTCCTCTGGAAAGAATGCAGGACGCGAGCTCGACTGCGTGTACTTTTTCCGTCTTTCGGTAGTCGGCCGGACTTTGACTCGGTGTGAGTGATCTCACTCAACGCTATAGATACCTTTGCAGGTGTGGCGATGAGATTGGAAGTGGAATCTAGTATTTGGGCTGTATACTCGTTGCAGGTGTGGCGATGAGATGGGAAGTTGGTCCTGTGTTTTGACAGTACTGTACTAGACAGTGCGGGACGCCCCATGAGTGCGAGAGAGACAGAGCGACGGAAGCGACTCTCTGAATCAGTCTGCTAGGCCAGGTTTTGCACGAAGGGCGCTATGACGCACTTCCCGTCGGCGACACTGCAACTCGAGTGGGCGGATCGGGCTCGTAGCTTTTCGTGACGTAGACGCGCCAAACGCGCAAACGCAGTCCGATTAGCCGTTCCCTTTATCAGCGTCCCGGACAGCCCTTGTCGACCGATGCGTCAGCGTTGCTTTGCCAGGAAAAAAGACGGAAATTCCACGATGCACCAATGGATTACTCTCCGAACGAGGAATCCGTGGGTGGGGTCACACGCTCGGTTCGAGTCCTGTTTAGCGATACTGGAGCTCAAAACGCGTCTAGAGTTTTGGCCGCCTGCGCCGGTCCTCTGGCTCTGGCCCACTGTGTTTACGGTCTGTACAACGCCGCGTGAGTAGGCAACCCACTCGGCGACGGGATCGCCTCGCGGTCCTCGCGGTGAGTCATTTCACTCCCCCCCCCCCTTCCCTCCCTTGCCGCCCACGGCCCGCGACCTCGACCGCCAACTGTAGCAACTCGGCGCGGCACGCAATGACGGCTGGGATGGTGACAGCGATAAGAGCGCAGTGTAGCATCGATAGTCCCATTGCCTGCCGGTAGGCAACCTGCAGCGTTTCTGTGTGCGCACCAGTCAAGGGGTATTGACCACTCACCTCAGGAGTGTACACAGGATTACTGATTACCAGTGATTGCCTACAAACATTCTCAAAAAACTCCATAATTTTGGCCAGCTAAGAGCATTTTGGCCTAATTTTATAAGAAAAAACCCCAAAATCCTATAAAAACGGCGAAACTTGCCAGTTATGGTACGTGATTACCAATGATTACCGGACGAAGTGTACACACGATTACAAGAGTGGGTAACCCCTTGGCACCACTG